GGAAGCAGAGAATCGGTGCCAGGGGGAGTTTCTCTATCGCGGACTACATACTCGCGAATTCAAGTGTGCGGGGAGAAACGCTGACTAATGAGATGTCAGCAGCCGACGCTTGCGTTCTCTTCGATAGACGTTTTCTTCCTTGGATATTTAGTTTCCAGCAGGATCCGTATCGTTGTCGATAAATTCATCTTATCATCTTATTCTAACTTCTTATCGTTTACACTCGATTATTTGCACATATTATAATACCAGGTAATCCCCGGGTAATCCCCGGGTAATCCCGCCGCTCCTGCATTCCTGACGACGAGCTCAGCACAAACGAACGAGCTCTTTTCTTCATGCGTATTAAAGCTACATTACCTTTTTTTTTTTGTTTAATCGGCTAGACAATTTTCATTCGATACCTTGAGACGGCTATTATTTCATAATATCGACGTATTTATGGAGGCACATTAACACGACGACGTGAAGTCAATCCGCATAAAAGAAACGATACCGGCTGTCATGTCGTGTAACAATATATACGTGTCATTGTTTATCGCCGAACGCTGAATGACTGCGAACATCTAGCGCCTCGATATGTCCGCGATTGAAGTCCCAACAGTTAAAGAGCTTTTTTACCCGTACACTCTCCGTTAATCTCTCCCTCTTACGTAATAACGACTCATGATTCCGATCTAACCGATTCAAATATCTGCAGTTCAAGATTGCGATCGCACAGGAGATCCTGCGGCTGCACGAGAGATGCACTACAGCAATACAGCGGCGCGAATCGTCCGGCTTCGTCCGATCTCGCTCAACTCAGAGACGACGAACCGGCAGTCTCAGATTTTCACGTGGGTTGCAGTCGCGGCAAAGATAATGACCTTCCAACGACTCGAGAACATTCGTGAGGCAGGTTTTAATTTTCAAGAGGCCGGCCGTCTCTCTGCTTCTCTCTCTCTCTCTCTCTCTCTCTCTCTCTCTCTCTCTCTCTCTCTCTCTCTCTTTGCCCGTCTCACTTTCTCGCTCTTTCTACCCGGTCTCAGACAGCAGCTGTGCTCGCCGACCGGGCGTTTCATTCGATTTGGCACGTGCCACGAAGCTGCCACCGCCGCCACCGCCGCCACCGCCGCCGCCGCCGCCGCCGCCGCCGCCGCCGCTGCCGCCGCTGCCGCCGTCGCTGTCGCTGCTCTTGTTACTGGCCGCCTTCATTGCTCGTCGTTACTGCCTAAGCGGCGGTTCCCGGCAGCTTTCGGCACCTGTTTCACAGCTGATACGCGGCTGCTACTTTCGCCCGTCCGATATGCCAGAGCCCTTAACGTTCTCCCTTCGCGACTACGACTTCTTCTCCCCCGTTTCGAGCTGCTTTCCGAGACGACTTGGCTGCGTCGGGATTTTCTCCTGTGTCGATCTGTTAATTAAGAAGCGCGCAGCTTGCGCGAGGCTGAGTAGTTCGGTGACGAAGAGAGCGGAGGGAATTCTGTGATGCATTCGACGAAACGAGAATATTTCGAGACTCCGCAGCTGTGGGAAGATAGATTTGAATTTCAAATCTCCCGCACCGGATTCTTCCATCGAGAGCGCGCTCCTAAAAACCGTGGCCAATCGTGAAAATTAATGGGGGACAAATTGACTGTGCATTAATTGCACGTCATGTATTATGTAGCCAATAAATTCCGTTATTTCACGTTAAGAGAGAAAAAGAACAGCGTGTCTTTGGACGAAAAATTCAATGCGATAAGAATCAAGTCCTCATTATTAATATAAATTTCGTCGAAATCATGAAATAATTGTTTGCGATACTTCTTTTTTTTACGTCACGAGAACCGAACTCAAACTCAAACATCTTCTCTAAATAACGTAGAAAATGATTTTTCCCCAATTTCGATCACACGACGAATTTTTTTCTAATTTAGCACCGTGCTTCTTTTTCTCCCACTGGCCGGGACCTCTCTCGGACTTCTCCATCGGTTGCACCAAGAGAGGTCGCATTTTTAGGCATCCGCGAGATGCCTGAAAACCGAAACGGCTGGCTGTGGGAGAGAGAGAGAGAGAGAGAGAGAGAGAGAGAGAGAGAGAGAGAGAGAGAAAGAAAGGAAAAAAAAGAAGAAAGAAAGAAATGAAAGAAAGAGAAAGAGAGAAGCATACGTCTCTCTGTGTGTGCAGCGTGAGGGCCGGCTTCAAGCTGCACTCCCACGCTCATCGCCCATGAAACGGGGTGCGAGGTGGTGCAGCTACACGCGAGCCTTGCAGGTGTACTTAGAATATGCAGGGCTTGTCCCTACAGCCCTATTAACGATGCCACGGTCGCCACATGGACACACAGGCGTATGGGAAAACGAGGGCTTCGCGAGTAATTATTTCTAGGGGAAAACGCATCTAAGACGCTCGCTGACGTAATAATCGTCAGACGATGACATCGACCGAGTGCGATGATGCGACAGAACGTACTTGACTATGTCTATTTTTAATCACAGTTGCACAGTGTGCAACTGACCGATTGTCATTCTTGTGATTTTTATCGTGCGATTTGTGGCAGAGGCCGGAGATTTACTCTAACGATCAAAATTAATGAGAAAGACAGTAGGTTGTCTCGTGCAGAGAGATCGTGAGTTCTCTTGAATCTCATGTCGTAATAAACATTATTCTCTATGTTTATTAATAGCAAAATATACTGCAAAGGAGGAGGATATCTTACAAATTGATCCTTTAAATTCAAATCTTTCCAAAGATTTGATATTGTACAGATCCCAAGAGCTCTTTTCCTCCCTTTCAACGATTGTTAATTGTAACGGATGAGATAATAATCAACGGTTATTGTCTCATCTGTTGTAAGTTGGAGCATTCAATTCAATTAATTAATTCAATTGTTATCTGTTTCATCACAATTACCCCATTGGCTACAATTAACATGAGAATACGATTTTATTCGTGCATTCTGAAGGCAGACTACTGTACTACCGGGAATACCTGACCGATGCGATATTCGCGTGGCGCACCACCTGTTCACTTGTTCGTTATTAAAACTTAAGTGTGGGAATGTGGGGTGTTTGCGTGTCACATGCACAATAACACCTCAGGTCTCTAAACGTTGATGGATTATGGTAATTCGTGAAAGCCGTCGTTCGGCTATTTTTCGGATATTATCAAACAGAAGCTCCCAGAGGAGGAACTTGGAACTCCAAGGAACTTTACGCGAACGAAGCTGATTAGACCGAGTAAATGAGAAAAGTGTAATAAACATATAACAACACTTAGCTATAATGATTCTCGTGAGCCACCTGGTTTCTCACCTTAACAGTTACAACATGCTCGGTATCACCTGCTTCGTGTTGACCCTCCTAACTAACCACGAGTTAATAACTCGCTTCTCCCCTTCTTTCTTTTTCTCTTTTAAACTGCAGCTCTGTGTATGTAATGTACGAATAAATAGAGAATTTATCTAATCTTCGACGTTAACAAACTTGATACCACGTGTGACTAGTGAGCGATATCGCGAAAATAGTTTTATAAAACTTCTCAGTTTGCAATAACGATTTTTTTTATTTTTAGAACGTTGCTCGCTTGCCGAAATCACAAGTCGAATTTAATTATTATCTGTCACTAGCTTGCGTATACACATTTTTACGTTCGACTTCTTCAAGTGTGATAGGAAAAGTATCCAAAGCTGAGCTATTTACGTATGTAAAATATAAGGTAGCCGTAGATTTCATCGTAAATGTCAAACCTAAGATAAGATTAAGGTGGCTGTGTCTATTTTCGAGCATAAGCCACGCCATTGAACGCTCCTCTCCAATTATTAGCACGAAGTCTTTATCTTTTTTTTTTTTTTTTTTTCCTGATAAAAATGTAAATATTTGAGTTTCTCAAGACAAATTAGTCCGATAATTTCGAGTGTACTAATTATGTGCGATATATATAAAAATCCATAGATTAAAATATGTTCAAAAGATTTAGTTTTTATATTTATCCCTAAATAATTGTGATGTGTAAATAACGTCTCTTGCATGAGACACTGCAATGATATTCGTAGTCAACCCGTATATTATATTATTAATTTCATTAAATCCAGCTTGTGTGATTATTATTTGTTTGATTTCAAGACTTGAATAGCCTGAAATAAGCTTGAAAAACTCGAGGTCTTAAAATATTCGTAAACCTGAGTCTTAAATCCAGGCTGATGCGGTGTGCAATTCAACGTGAAAGATTTGTACGTGACAGAGCTGATCTGCGTCATAACACTTCATTAATTTAACGATCGCGACATTGCTTCGTTGCTAAGTATATACCATGTGGCGATTCGAAGGCTCTTCACTTACCGAACGTGCGCGCAGCCTCAGCAACCTCCGCGATGGAACCTTGGCTCCCCGCGGTCGGCTCGCTTGGGTTCTCTCTTCGCGATCGTAGAGCGGAAGTCGAGGATAGGCGGAGTTGGTTCGGGCCAATCGTCGAGATACGCGCCGCCCACGTGTCAGCGGTTCCTCCATTGCAGAGTGTCGCACGCTGCAGCACGAAGAGACGTGCAGCATTGTCCTTTCTTCCTTGATCCTTAGTTCGATTTAACGGCAACAGAATTGTAACTAAGCACTCTGGTATCTGCAAGGAATTTTATGATAAAATGTAGAGAAGTAGAAAAATCTTTACATTGAATTTGAAGAAATTTTGGAGATTTACAGTATTGTTCAAATTGGAAAAAATCCCGATATGTTAAGACAAAATAAAATATGACGAATTATTCGTAGCGCAGCCTTTCGTATATCCGGAACGTTTCTCTTTAGATTAGATTCAATTACTATTTTGGTCAGATGATATAGTGTATATTACTTTACTTTATAGACGCGTCTGTCTATTCTCGCCTATTCTCATATATTAGTAATTGTCCTTTCATGAATCTACTTACTATATGGAAAGAGCAAGTAAATTGAATTGAATTGAATCGATATTTGAAAATAAAATTTACCTCAAATATCCATGAGAGAGCCGGCAAATAAAAGATCGCTTTTTCTTTTCTTTTTCAGGTGGTTATAATCATCTTCGCAGTCCCGTGTGCCAAGACGAGAGTCAAAGAGACGAAACGTCGCCACCGCCCCACAGCCATAGCACCCAACCACCGACCTCTCACTCTAGTACTCCTAACAGTAATAACAACAATAACAACAACAACAATGCTAACAACGCGTACATCCATCTACGGAATTTAAGTCAGCTCAAAACGGAATGTAAGTACTGCAAGTCTCATTATCATATTCTTTAATATGTTTTAGCGCTACGCATCGAGTACTATATTTTCTAAATTTCGCACAGTTTTTACAGCAGTATTCTCATTGAACATCTATTAGTTTTACATCTTCAGTATTATATCTTTAATATCACACACTTTTGAATTGCAGTGGTGGTGGAAAGAGTGTACTATTTTGCGAAAATAAACTTACAGCGAACTATAACAATCATCACATAGCGGAGCATCTCCAAGGCGGAGGTGGCGGACTGGGCAGCGGTGGTGATCTTGCTGGTACAGGGAATAACGAGAGCGACTTGAGAGTCAGCGCGACCGCCACGGAGAGTTACATGACGCCGGCGCATTATTCTGGATACGACGATACCTCTGAGTATCACAGCTTGCCGCAGGAGCACCAGGCGCCGCATTCTTATAATTTGGACAATTCGCCAGAGTTCTACAGCACCAGCGGGATCCACATCGAGCCGAAGTATCAGCCGTCACCGTTCAAGAATTATCCTCGAGGTGAATAGTCACGCGATTAGGATGATCTGCAAGAAAAAATCTAATAATTCCAAAGATCACTTCCAATTCTGAGAAAGAATGCGTTCCTTCGGAAAGAGACTTGTTGTTTTGGTATAAAGAACGTGGATGTCAAAGTAACATTCGATATGTTAAGGTAACATAATATCTTGCTTCTTATATTTCTCTGAGACTCTTGTACAACAGAGCTCTTGAACAAAGTGCCAGTATGCAACTCGCGAATGTTAATAATATTACCGACACGTCTACATATTTTACAGGTCGCTATCATGAGGGTTACAGCGAGAGCGGATACGGATACGATACAGCGCCGTTTCAAACGGTTCCCGGAAGCGGGAGCGGTGCTGGAGGCGGCGGCGTTGGCGGTGATCAGTGGGGTGTCGGACTTAGCGAACATCCTTTGCCACATCCTGCGTTTCTACCAGGGCTCGGGCCACGAGACTCCTCCAATCCTCATCATCCTACGTCCATTGCCAATAATGCGGACCAAAAGCCATTGCTGCAAAGCACTATGCTTCCAGGTTACGCAGGTAAATCCAAGGCTCAACTTAGCGTATTGATCTTAAAATTCGGCCAACGGTTTTTTTCTCCTCGTATGGATGAAATATATAGTAAATGTAAGTATAAATGTATCGGTAAAAAGTATAGAGAAATAAGTAAAACAGATATAACTGAAATGGAATACATATAGATGAAATGGAAATTTCTATAAATATAACTGAAACCTACTAGAAATGAACTTTAGTTCTTTTTTGTTTTCGACATACAAAGATACTTTAGTAATTATAATAATTCAATACTAGAAATAACGAGAAATGTTGCTTTCAGGTGGCGGGCCATGTTTCACTGGATCAGGTCCGATACAACTGTGGCAATTTCTGCTGGAGCTTTTAACCGACAAGTCGTGCCAAGGTTTTATCTCGTGGACCGGTGACGGCTGGGAATTTAAGCTGACCGATCCAGATGAGGTTGCGCGCCGTTGGGGCATCCGCAAAAATAAACCCAAGATGAATTACGAGAAGTTGAGCCGAGGTTTACGCTATTACTACGACAAGAATATCATACACAAAACTGCTGGGAAGCGATATGTGTACCGTTTTGTATGCGACTTACAAAGTCTACTAGGGTATGTATGCAATGTACGCAACCATTTAGATTTTATATAAACGTCACGTATCGCTGTGTCAGATCTTTTTGAGATAGGCTTGCACAGTGAATTCATCGACATAAATTTCCCCGAATGAGAACATCAAGTCGGAGATATGATATGAATCATGATCGAATTTTTCTCTTTTTTTACTTTCGCAGATACAGTCCTGAGGAATTACACGCAATGGTAGACTTGAAACCCGAGAAGAAGGAAGAAGACTGAGTTTTTGTTAATGAACATGCTTTAGGACTGTGTCACACCGATAAATGAAAAGTAATACAATGTTTCTTTGCTTCGTGCGAAGAACAGAGAAAAACGGCGGGACAAAGTATCCGTAACTAAGGAATCACTATAAGATAACTATTCTCTCAGATGCAGAAGACTGTGATAGTGCGTCTTCTTTGTTCAGATGTAACAAAATCGGATCGGTCGTATGTACCAAAGACAGGGTCTGCATACCATTGGTGCCTAAAGTTAATGAATCGTGAATTTGTTTCTAAGTGATTAATTTGTCACAGCAGATTTTAGAGAATATTTATAGGAATAACTCGTCAATTTATACATATATAAATATATATTTTTAATGTTAAATGATTTTTCAACAACTATTAAGCACATCGGATGATCAACTGATGATGCCCTAAATTATTTATGACTCATCATTTTAACATGTGTGTTATATCTCGTTGATACAATGATAGATGACACGATATGTGATTGTTATTACTATAATTTTACTATAATAAACTCATACAATATACTATGTAGCGAGCTTCAATCCGATATTTTCATGCTTTTCTATGTATAGATTAATTAAGATTATAACACTACTTTTCTCTCTTCCAAGCTCGCTTCTCACCAAGAAAAAAAGAAAATGACGTATTTTATATTATTTCTTAATTCTTAAACATATTTGGTATGTGCTCGATAGTAAAATATATCTCATATCCACACTTCGCGATAAAAGCTGTTGCAAGTGTAAACTGAATTGGAAAAGTGCGTTATAAATGAAAAGAGTATGCTGTTAATTTATATAGTTTTCCGTAAAAAATAACGTTTATATTATGAACTTGGCTTTCGTTCGCTAAGATGTTCTTATTGAGAAATTGTACATTCACGATTTAAAATAAATCTCAGATGAATATTTACGAAAAAGAGGAGAAAGAGAGAGGGCTATGTGCAACCAATGTTCCACAATACGAGCCGAATTATGGAAATTATAAACAAAATTACATCACAAAAAACACGGGAAAAAATTTTATTTATCAATATTAAAAATTATTTAAGTAAATATTGCTAAAGAAAAATTTAACGATTTCCAATCTTTTCATCTGTTTCTGGCTTATAATTATCTTGTTCAAGATCTAAATTTATTATCCTTGAATACATGTACCACATAATATACTCAACAGAAGTTTCCTTCGCTCTTCTAACTATTCTAATGTGGAACATTGGGTAATGCAATTAGATCAAATTTTAAGCGATATAGGGTGTCCGGGATCTTTTAGGAAAGGAAAAATTGTGAAGATTAATCAGATCACTGAGATCGACTGAGAAGAAGTTATGTACCATTTTGCAAAAATCGCAATAGTTATTATATAAAGTTTGCATTATCAGGGCTAGGAGCTCCGATAGTTATTAAGTTATTAATGATTGAAAATCACTACATCTAGAAGCTCTTTTAATTGATAACTTGAAAATTTGAGTACTTATTTGCAAAATTTGTAAAAGACTTTTATTTAGGACAACTTAATCTACAATTATATGACAACTTAATCTACAATTATATGACTATTGTGCCTAACGACAGGTTCGTAATTCAGAATTCAAAATTCATTATGCTCATATCTATCGCTAGACACAATAACCGTTATATAATTGTAGATTAAATTATTCTGAACAAAAAAGTCCTTTATCGTTTTGCAAATAAAGTAGTACGCACATTTCAAGGTTATCAATTAAAAGAGCCTCTAGATGTGATCATTTTCAATCATTAATAACTTAATAATTATTGCGATTTTTGTAAAATGGTGACATGACTTTTCTTTCCAATTTGATTCGATTAATCTTCACAATTTTTCCTTTCCAAAAGGTCCCGGATAACCCGTATACATATCTATCTTAATTTCATAATTTACCAAATGTACTTTCTTATGCGTAAACGACCAGTGTTCTAATCAGGGAAAATGTTACATCGAACTGCTCGAATGTAAATGATGCCGCGAATATACAGCGATACCGCGAATATACCGCGAAGGTCGAAAAGACGGAAAACGAGCAATATACTTCGTGTTTTTCTTTACACATGTCGTATATCGTATATATATCTAGGAAAACATACATAAGAGTATGTATATGACTTAAACTATTTTTGTATTCGCTGTGTTTGTTAAGTTTCCACGTACCAAAATACTTTGAAGCCTGTTTCAGACAATTTGTAATTCACGACAGAACTCGCTAGAGTATTATATTTGTAATTTTACATGCTGTATAATACAGAAAGCATTTTGAAATTTATAAGTATATATGTATATATGTATATGTATACTTTTATGAATGTAATTCAGATTATTCAAATGCTCTCTGTAGTAAGTCCATTTTAAGCAATCCAACTTACAAAGTACGATATTTTATCCGTAATGCTACGTGTCGAATATAGCAGAAAACATTGGAAGATTTACACATGTACGTGTAAATATACGCATTCACAAATGTACTTCTGATTTTTCAAATGTTTGGCTACGTTGCAAAATACGTAAAATTGCAAAGAAATTCTAAAAGAATTGCAAGTTTGCACAATAATAGTTATATCAATTGCAACTCTATTTAGAATCCTATTGAATTGTGAATCCTCTGAAATGCGCATGTCAAATTACGAAATTTAAATTGTGAATAACAAATTGTCTGAAGTCAGCTTTACACTACGAGTTAACGAATGACGATAAAAGCTGTATTATCTTTATGCATAATTAACAGTATACTAATTTCAGAGATCGTTCGCGAGTTTATTACGTTGATCGAGGATTGTTGAGAAGAAGTTAAAATTGGTAGCGATTCTACTAAGGTCTCTTATTATCGAAACAACCACCAGGATCCTTCTAGCGCGATAATCGTTGCAATTAAAGTTTCTCCTAGTTGTATCGTGCGGTCGAGAGCCCGCGGATATTAATAAATTATATTAAAATACTCTTAGCCCCCCCCCCCCCCCCCCTACGAATACACACACACACACACACACACACAGCGAGATAATGCGATGTATAAAGAGCTACTCGAATGTTAATATTAAGTTATCGCGGTCTTGGCACTTGTTACTCAAAGAGAGCCATACTTCTTTCCCAGGATTATTATAGCATTTCAAAAGAGATATGCTGCGGATGTGCGGAAACTTTTTAGTAGATGCAATAAAAAAAGGAATAAAGAGATTTTTATAAATACATATATTCGATCGACCGTTGTTACTGATTTGTTTCCTAACGTTAACTCGATGCCTCGTTGCAGCGAATAGCAGGAGGATCCATTTCCTTCGAGCGGCCATTATATTCCAACACGAAAAAATATAAGAACATGTTCAACAATATCGTGTCGATAGAGATCAGTTTCAACCTCAGATAGCATAAAACGTTCCAGAATTATCTAGACATATCCAGAACGTCCTGACTATAAAAAAAAGCCATAAAAAACGCGTTAGGCTATCTGAAATTGTCATTCATTTTTTCTTTATTCCACAGGCCAATGGATATAAACATTTAACCTATTTTAAACGCCGAAAATATAAGCAGTCTAATCTTGTCATCTGCGATTTATCTTAATAATTATAACGGAAAAACTGTGCAAATGCAATGAGATACTAAATATTATACGTACACAATTGAGCAATACTGTGAACTAAAATATAAAATTCTCAATTCCTTGAAAGTCCATTTTGGAAAAGAACTTGCTCTACGAAACATTGCAATATATATGCATACATAGCTGACAGCTACAGACCAAAATCCAAACTAAAATTTGAATTTGAATTGTATGTGACCATAATAAGACTTGAGTGCACTTTCGGGTAAAAGAATCGCAGCGTTGCGTTTCAGAACACGCCAATTTGTCCAATTTGTTTCCTGACAGTTCCTCTCTCTAGATTATCTTTATCAGATATTAATTTTATATTATACGCATATGTAATGTAAATTCTTAGTCCACTTTTTTTTATTTACAGCTGTACTTTTAAGTACAGCTGTACTTTTAAAAAATATAGAAGTGTAAAAAGTGCAGAAGAACCGACCATTTGGTGCTGTAGTTATGAACTATAATAATGATTGGTTCATTTTAAATACGCGGTATGATGGAGATATCCTGAAAGAATAGAGCCGCATAAATCCCTGTTGCGTCCATTTGTTTCCTCCATTTTCTCGTCGTGATTTAGCTTCCAAGTTTTGAAAACAATGGCAAGCTGCTCAGGACTAAATCTGGGAACGTTAACAAAGTCGAATGTCACGTCTTTCGTACAGTGCGTCTTGGAATTGGTATGTCGCCGTACACTGAGATCAGTTTAGTTTCCGATATTTTAGTAGTTTCTATGATATGATAATCATGATGATGCTTATTTAAAAGAATCACTATATTTTTATTCAACACAAAAATTCTCTAGTTGTGTTACGGTTTTCATTATGAAGGTTTTATCTTTTTGATTGTACTTTTGGGTGCACTTTAAGCGCACTTTCTGTACTTAAAATAGGATAGATATATGCGATATGTACGTACTTGGAATAACGGAAAAGAGATGATTGCGAAAAAATACAGCAAGTGCAATTAGATTGGATGTATACATACTTAACAATTTTCCCCTTTTTCTTCGAAATGAAACCTCACGTAAATTTATCTCGCAAATTTTATCTGACACTTTTTGCTTAGTTTTATGTGAAGAATCATCTCATCTGATAATACTATATCTCAAGGGATATCCTATATATTACGATAAGTATTAGGTAACATCATGAAGCTAAATATACCTTATCAACTGTGATTAGAGCCTTATCACACATCTTGTAATGTAATGACTTCTTTAATTAAACGAAAATTGCAGGTTGCGGATTCTTTGACTACACACGCCACAGCGATTGCGGTAAGAATACATACGGAGAAACGCGAAATTCAAGTTATCGACAATGGCATCGGAATACGAAAAGATACTTTAGACCGTGTCGGGGAATACGACGCAAAAGGTGCGAACAATCCGCAAGAGCCGTACAATCTATCTGATTCAAACAGTCGTATGCTAGTAAGCATTCGTCATTCGTCAGACGGTTTTACCGTAGCTTCGAGGTATAAAGATTCAATGGAAACATTTATGAAGGTACAATTTATAATTATGGGACATTGAAATAAAAATACTAAAATTTACCGTATAAAATGTACAGTACCATTTTTATCATTATTTGGTATCTATTCTCAAATCTTGAAAGATAGGGAAATAGAAATAATCTTATCATTTCATGTTTTTCTTTTTTCTCAAGATATATAAAGTAAGCCAGACACCCATTTTAACGGAGATAGAACAGAGACCTACACATGGTACAACTGTATCTGTTTATGGTTTTCACGAAATATCACTGAAGAAAAACTCAATAAGCACTATTTGTTGTTTCATCGCAGCTGTAGCTGTTGCGAAATTAAAAGTACATAATTTATTATAATATTAATATGCAGTGATGTTAATTTAGTTTAAAATCGATATAATTTCGATAAGTTAACTGTACAATTAAGCAAATAAATATTTGATGTCACATTTTATTTATTTGCAAACGTACATAAACATCATTGTCACATATTGAAATTTGCACTTAACGAAATTATATCAGTGCCAATTTTTAATACAAAATGTTGAACATAATTTTCCATATTATAAAGATTTTATATTGATTCAATCAGGTCTCCTTCTCAATTAGAGATGAAGAACAGAAGAGAGTTGCGTTGAGAATTGCTAAGTCGCATAGCCCAATTGATATCTTGAGAGCATTATTTGGGAAAGACTTACCACTGAATCATATATGGTCGATACAATGCTGTACAAAGTATGACATGAATTATCACGGCTATGTGGGACTATCCGATAAAAATGCGATGCAGTGCATATTTCTAAATTACAGACTTATCAATTGTTCCTTTATTTTGAAATTAATTATAACTGACTTCACAGAAAAATTCAATTTATCATCTTGCCAAAAATTTAACGGACAAGATTTGCAGGATAAAAACATTTTTATTTTGTTCTTTCTTACACTTACACAAGATGAATTTGAATTTATTACTGAGAATGGCAAGAAGCTCTTAATGTTTCGTGATGTACGAAAGATATTAAATAACATTAAAGCTTGTTCGTTTAAGCTCGTCGCGAAAGAAACCACAATTCCTGCCGGTACAACTTATTCGCGCGATACACAATTATTAAAACAAATACATTTAAGATTAGAAACATCTATCTTCAACAATACTTGTGGACGTAGTAAAAATATTACACCTTTGACGAGAGGCCATAAAATCATCATAACTGGTATTAAAAGAAAAATGACTACGTCAAATATTGTAACTACTTATTTCAACAAACGATGGAACAGAAGTGACGATATTAAAGCCACGGATCATCAATCTAATAAACTAGATATTGCCTGTGCAAAATATAAAAAATCGCGTGAAAGCCAACTTACAAAGAAATCGCATATTGATGTCGATAAAAATATAAACTCGTCTCATAAAACACAAACGCATTGTAGAAATCTTGCGATAGAAAGCAATTCTGCTGACAAGATAGGTGATGATCGCAATAGTAAAAACGACGATTTTGCAAGTGACATTTCTCTTTGTTCTGAATGGTCCGATTGGAGTTACTGTTCAAATAATAAAGAAGCCAACTCTGTGAGAAATGTGCAGGATACATTTTCTAAAACTGACGAACGTTACCAACGGCTCTTCGAATATACCAGACAATTTAATTTTCTACCTCAAAAACTGTACAGACTCTTACAATATCGCCAGGACAAAATAACAAACGTAAAGCACATCAATGATCCTAACAGTAGTGATAGTGTTATCTCACGTAAGTGATTTCTAGATTTTATTAACAAATCGATTTAAGGAAACTATGTATAACGTAATTAAACAAATGCATAATATATTTCCCACAGTTCAGGGAAATTGGCAACGCGAGAAAATAGAAGTACATCCGTGCAATTTGAAGGAAAAATTGTGCGAACTCAGATTGTCGCATGCTTCATTGAAATGCATTAAGGTACGTTAGCATTCAAAGCCATAAATCATCTCGGACGATGACGAGCTATCTTAGTGAATGCTTCTTCCTTCCTCAGGTCATTAATCAAATTAATGACGAATTCATCGCCGCGTGGATGATGTACGATCAAATGAAAATATTACTAATGATAGATCAACATGCTGTCCACGAGAGAATACGTTACGAAGATTTACTTCTCAGTAAGAGATTACAGTATTTTGTAATGAAAAGCCGCATTCATATTAGAATTAGTAGACTTGTTGCACGAACGTTAAATTTTGCGAATAAGATATTGACATAATTTTTATTTCTATTTATTATTTAATTTAAGAGAATTTTAATTTAGCTTAGTTTTTTCCATTTGCGTTATTTGGTTCATAACCACGTCTGTTCGGTTTACTCATCAGGTATAAATTAAAACATATATGTGTATAATATAACGTGTATATTATTCTTAATAGATTTATAATTGAATAATCGTTATTATATATCTATTTAGGATACAAGGCACAAAAAGAGGACGAACTGCTTTCTGTAAACCTACGTCAGCCACTAGCCGTAAAATTTCCTACACAGACGTGCAATTTACTCTTGCGCCATAAAATGTTATTGAGGAAGTACGGGATCAGTTTGGGATCGTTAAAGAAAAATACACTGTTAATACGCGCAATACCGCAATGCTTGGTTACAAGCAATGATCGCAACAGCGAAAAAGTATTGTCGAGAATTTATAATCTATTAAATGACATACTGGAGGACTATAATGCAACCAGTCGTACGAGCATATTACCGTTAACTATCCATAATGCCATAGCATCGGAAGCTTGTCATGGTAATCATCGCCGTTTTACAATTATTTTATAAAAATATACACGCAGTCAATACGAAAATTATTCACAGGCGCCATCAAGTTTGGCGACAGACTAACTTTCGAACAGTGTACGCGCCTAATAAAGTTACTGAGGTGTACAAAATTTCCTAATCGATGCGCACACGGACGACCGACCATGATACCGATGATGGAACTTTCGGAACTAGACAAAAGGAACACCAGAATACGTGAGGTACATATTACAGTTATACTTTCCAATTTTATTACAGACATATAAACTCTTGTAGATAACCGCGAGAAATCTCATGTGTTATTTCCTGCCACTAGGCTTGCTTTATATACACATCTACATACATACATATTTATCTATCTATGTGCAAATGGATAAAAAAGTATGAGACACGTTATAGTGTATCGTGCTGGGTAGACGTATATTAAATTCTGAGAACAATATGTACCTACATAATAATATACTTTCTATTCCGGATTGTACGTATACATTTTAACGTGTAAGACAACCGAGTTTGATCTCTTTCCAATGTTTCTACTTCGATACTTAATCATCCGAGTTATGTAGAACAAGAACAATTGCGATTTAAACTGAGATTCATCCCGCGATGAAGCCGGCGATCAAGATCTCTTTGCCAAAATAGTTGAATCTAGTAGAGACCAACATAACTTCCTTTCCGCCCAATGAAACCGGACAAACGTCGTTCGGCCGAAGGTAGAAGCATACTGTGTAAAGTGCCATCTCCAACTCGGGCGAGAGACCCACAAGAAGAGTTGTAACTGAATGCTTCGTGTCGGGTATGTTAAACGAGGATCGTATCTTGATAGCCTCTCCCTTCTGCAAAATATGGGAAAAGCTATTAATCGTGTGATCAACACGTACAGAATTTAAGGATATTAAGTAACTCTCCCTCTCGTTTACAGTAACACCGTTTTAAAATACCCCTACTTACGTCTCCGAGCTTGACGTCCTTTATGTATCCGCGGTAATCGATGTTCTTCTGCGCTTCCTGCTTGGCGTAGTAAATCCAATTCTGCGGTCCGATCATGTACGAGTCGAGTTTCTCCGCCAAGAATATCGCCTCGAAACCGGAACTAGACGGCTCGCCTTCGACTCGCTGGAACTGCGAGAACCACATACGTCTCAGGGTGTCTTTAAACTCATATTCGTCGTTCGGAACGAATTCCTTGTCAACTAAGAACTTCATCGCCGCTTTGAACACGTCGGTCTCCAGAAATTTGTCAAGCAGCTCGGACTCCTCTTTACGTTCCTCAGACGTGACTTCCTCCTTCTTCTTGACATCCAGCTCGTAGTTATCGTGCAACGCCAGCACGCTCTTAATCGTCGGAATTTCATAGGCTTCAGGTTTGACGTCTAGCAAGCTAAAGCCAGAAAATTAACGGAATTCAACAAGTTAAATTATCTCCTACAACCGTTCTAACGATACTTTAATAGATAGTACAAGTCAGACAAGCCACTTACGGTAAGGGAGCATCATCCGCGGTGCTGTCTTCCTTCGTCTCGCCTTGCAAGTTCACAGTGATGTACTTATACGCGTTGTTCTTGTCCATCTCGAAGAGGTTCTCCGTCAGTTTCTTAATCTCATCGTTAGAGATCGGATAATTCGGTGGGCTCGGTTGGTCTGGCTGCGGATTAGGCGCATTGGCGTTATTGAGTGGAGCAGCGTTGTTGTTGGGTGCATTAGCTTCAGTTTTTTTCTCTGTTTCCGCCACGGCCGGTGGTGATTGAGCCGGTGTCCCAGGACTAGGCGCGTTAGGACCAAGTGCACCATTGTTATTCGTAGCCGCCACCGCAGCTTCTCCGTTTGCCGGATTCGATTGATTGTAGTAGTAATTATTGTAGGTGACTTCGGTGTGACTGCCACCACCGCCGTTGCCACTGCTTCCCGGACTTCTGCCGTAGATACCACCTGGCAGCAATCTGTTCACAGCTGCGCTTACTCCCGCGCTCACACTGGAATAGACCAACGCTTCTTTGGCCAGTTGACCGATGCCCGGACGGCTCGGCTGAAGAACGGTGAGCGCTGGCGCTTGTGCAATAGCTGGTTGAACATACGATGGGCTAACAGCCGGCTGCCCGAAACCGCCATAAGAGTGTCCACCGAAAGGCTGCCCACCGTAAGGTTGTCCACCGTAAGGTTGCCCACCGTAAGGTTGCCCACCGTAAGGTTGCCCGCCATAAGAATGTCCACTGTAAGGTGGACTGTAAGCTGGTGGCGCGTTATGGGACATAGACGGGTTGTAAGCTTGATTATACGGCGCATGACCTCCGGGATACGAAGGATTGTTTATGTTGGATGACGGATATCCTGGATTATTATAGCCTCTGTTAGCCGGCTGAAAACCTGGGAATCATTACCATAAAAAGTAACATCGACGTGCGACTTGACGTTCCTTATTATGATATTGTTATGAGATTTTCAACCAGGCTTTGAGATCATATTATTTTACATGATTTTTTCGGTAGGTCCAATTTTGTACGATATGTTGAATACCTGACGGACTATACGGTGGCGGATTATTCGCTGACGGATTGTATCCTGATTGCACGTTCGACGAGCTAGTTTTGGAAACATGTTCAGATACTGGAGCCGAGGGCTTGACATTGGTACTAGTCGCTTTATTGTTGTTGCTTGGAGGCACATTCCATCCTATATTACCCGGAGTTGAACCTGCGGATGTACGAGAATCATTGTGTTACTGGAGCTACGAAATCCGATAAGGAACATGTGGGAACATACGAAGCCATAGAAAGCCGTTGTCTATTAGAGAAGCTAGTGACTCATCGGACTTTGTAAGAGATCTACCGCGCAGATACATATATTTGCTAACTGCAGCGCAATTCTTCACCGCATAAGTAATGGAAAAGAACTTAATTCGATTATCTATTAAAGCGTCTCTACAATGTCAGTAACATGAAATTTTTCTTTTCTCTCATTGCTGATAATACAGAATAATATAGTCTAATGTAGGAAAAGGTGAATGGAGCATAAAAAATCTGCAGAAGAAAAATGAGCCAATGATAACAGAAGTTTACACATGGATAAAATATCGGTATATACTTACCACCCGTCTGTGTTCGAGGTCGCTGCGTCGTTCTCGTAGATCCTCGATTTCTAGAACTCCATGATGATCCTCCACTACCACTTCTACGCCCACTTCCACCAGATTTACGCCCATCGGTATCTCCTACATACAATAGTAGATTAGTATGTGAAATGTACTGAAATATTGTTATTCAGCACTCAAATCTGTTGAATACTGAATCAACAGTATTTTCCATGCAACTTCTATAATCAAATAATTGATGTAAATACATAAGTGATGTAAAAGAGAAATCGGAGCGTGTAGGGAAAATAGACGAAAAGATGTTGGAGTAATAACCGCACGCATATATGTCGTAGAAAAACATAAAAGATATTTTTAATTCTTGTTAGGCTTAGAATGATGTTAGGCTGAGTTGAGATGTTACGACCTCTCTGCATCACAAAACGCGTTGATTGAGTAACTGTCTATCAAGCTATCTAACTTATTGCCCTCTTTTATTTCTCCCGATTCGACACCGGTACAAATTATCAGGTCTATTGTTCTCAAACGGATTATTATATAATCTTGTAGCAATTGTCTATTCGTTGATAGACTTAATATTATAGCGTCGAATATGCGAGATCGTATCTATGTTGCGCCGCGCACGGCTGTGGGTATATTCAGGGTCGAATTCATACATTTCAAAAACGTTCTGGTTTATATACTACGCATCCGTAAGTCGAATTTAGTGAGTGCTACATTCAGATTGTGCGAAATCAAATCAAGTTTCTCTCAATGCATCGAACTCAATGCTGAGCGATTGCGGTGCATAATAATGCCGTCGTGAGAGCGTAATTTTCTTTAAGTAACTATGTATATACGGAAACAGTTCTTGTGTATAATTTAATGTACGACTGGTATGTGATTTTCCATGGGAGCAGGCAGCTTGTGATGCGCGCGTGCGTACGTAGTAACACAATTATAATAAATGCCGACAAGTGAATAATACCGTCTGAGGAGCACACGTTGGCGTATCTGAGTAACATGAAAGAGGCAATTTGCCTGGTGATTTCATCTATTACGCACACTAGATTTGTCAGGCAATATATCATCGTTCCAGGTAAATTATTTTTTTTTTTAAATACTGCTCTTACGTGATTACATCCGCAGATTTTTTTATCGCGCGATATTTTGCTTCGCGTTAAATTCACGTATTTTACAACACAGGTGATTCCTTTTTTTTTTTATTTTGTCGCTAAATATGACATCGTATACAGATGTAATGCTTTTTTTCGAATTACGTCACTTTCGCACGTGTGTTTCCATGACGCTTGCAACAAGTTGCGTAACTTCTTTGATGAGCAAATTGTGCTTTTATCGCTCTCAGTATAGATACAATAACCGGTTCTACACATCTTAATTAACGTCCATGTTCTATGGTCGTTTCACCGATATAAAGATCTTTTCTCAACAAAATTACCAGTATTTCTTGGATCATGAAACGGTCGAAAGTGAAGGGGTTTCCGCGAACCAAGTTTCCGTGGTGCGCACATAACACAAACTGGAAGTTCACTCAGTTTCTAACAAATTTTCCTTGATTCCTTTCGTATGAAACATATTCGTTTAATTACACATTTAAGTTTATTCAATTCACTATTTGTGAATTTTTTAAATAAATGTAAACAACAAGATCGTGAGAAAAACGGAGAACTCGATACAATTTTCATTAAAAAGAAATTAATCTGAGAGTGAATTTGGAAACATTTTGTCATAATTATCTGGTATTGAAAATTAATCGTAAGTTTAGTATTCGAATATAGTTCCAATATTGTTATATGTACAAGTGCATGCACTTTTACCACCGTCGGTTTAATTTATTAATTTGTCTTATTAATTATAGTTCACTATATAATTATTTATACGATTACCAAAAATAAGCAGAATCACAATCACGGTGATCAGGAATGTCCTGATTCTCATATTTGTCGGCTCCCTTCTGTCGGATTACTTTATCGATCCAGGTGAAAATTCGGATCGCCTGACACGCACTGTTTGCTCACGCAGAGTGAGCACGATACTGTTCGCGACCTTACGCCGGACGGCCTAGACGCCGGTGTGACCATCGCCCGTAACATTGAATGATTCATACGTTATAAGGCTTTCTCTTTCCGCTGATCCTCCTTGTATTAGAACTGGAACCCGCCAATCCACCTAATGATTTTGTTGATTAACCAGTTCTTCATTCGCAATAATGCTGAAGATACCGATTTAGATTATTTCGAATTCCTGCATGTCTCAGTGATGCTTCTTAAACATTCTTTAATAAAATTTCACGAGATTTGTGGAAGCATCAATTGGGAAACATTTGAGAATGATGTACGAGGTTTTTCAGATACTGCTTCTCCCGCACTTTCTCTAATCTTTTTATTCTCTCGCCAATCCGAGATCTACTTTTCTATAAGAAAAATGTGATTGTACCTTATACCTTCTACAATGTTTTTCATATTTAATCAATCAATATTTTTGTGTAATTTAAACATTTCTACAATAGTAAGAACTTATTTTTTCATGAATGTTCTTCTACTAATCTTTTATTAGTTCACTAATATTAGTTAATATTTTGTTACAGGAAAAACTGAACTTCGTATCCTTAAAAAAACAACACTGAATTAAGATACACCTAAGCAAAATTACAAACTATTTATACAACCAGTGATATAATCACAAATCATACTTTTTTTTAGTATTTTATATTTTGATCAAACATTAAGAATACATTATACGTTTATAATTACCTAAAAAGAATACTATTATCTTTATTATAAAAACATATATTTCTATCAAATTAATTAAAATGAATATAAGTTGCTTATATTTATTTTTGTAGTTAAGTTATCGCTTTATAATACAAAACTAATGCCAATGGAAATTAATCATTTACATCCTATGATAATTTTTAACGTAAATCAACGTAAGTCACGTAAATTAGTTTTGCTACTAAGATATCATCTATATGTATATAAAGCTCGATAATTCACACGTTGGAACGTTTATTTGTACAATAATAAGATTAAAAGATGGGAAGCGCAAGATCTATTAGATCTTTCCCGTAATATCTAAACGAATGTGTGTAAATGTTGAACTTGCTGCCACCAAGAGAAACAGGACACAAGTCGTTGGGTCTAGCGAAGAAGCATATTGTGTATAAGGACATCTCAAGCTCCGGAAGTGTGCCTACAAATATCGTCGCATTCGGCCTAATAATATCATCCATTTGGAAGTTCAGCTTCACTAGCGAGGCGTTCTGAAAAGTAAGGAGAATGAATTATATTCCACAATACGATTTATTAATTTAAAATATCTTATATTTGTATTTCTTGGGAGAAACAAAACCAATGTCCATTTCTTTGGTATTTAATTATAAATTTGTAAAAAATTTTTATACAGTTTCTATAACTAAAAGTATTGAAAAGACACGATACATTAGCGTTTTTCTTCCATATAACAATATAACTCACATTTCCTAGTTTTAAGATGTCGACGTATCCCTTGTAATCGATACGATTCTTGGATTCTTGATATTCAAAATAAATCCAGTCCTGCACACCAAGAAGATCGTAGCCGTATCTTTCGGATGCGAAAACACGTTCGAATCCTGAAGTAGCGCCGTCAAATTGATTGAACCAGATACGTCGTAGAGTGTCTTTCTTCTCGAAATCATCCGGATCGATGAAACCTCGAATCGACAACCATCTCATAGCTCTAGCCATTACATTCGTGTTCAGAAATACGTCCAACAGAAGGTCTTCCTCCTTCCGTTTCATGCCAGTACGATTCTCCTTCACGGTGGAATTGTGCTCGTAATTGTCATAGAGCGCTCGAATGGCTAAAATTGTCGGATACTCGTACACGTCCGAATGCACATGAATTAATCTAAAAATGACAAATGTATAATGTAACACGAATATAAAGTAGTGTTAGTTAAATGCATCTATCCTTCGAAAGGAAAGGATTCGTTCATTCTATTATTTCTCCAATTTTCATCTATAAAAGTCTTGGAGAACTTTTATAAGTGCTTAAAGATTTAGAAACTCTTGAATATTAAGCGTAAATTAATTTTTCAATCATCAAAATATATTTAATATAATTGATATAACTGAAAACTGAAAACACATGCACATTTATGCTTCTCCTTCCATGATTCCACGTATCCACATAAAGGATATGAGACTTACGGTTCTTTAGCTTGATCCGTTACATTCGGAGATTTGATTATATTTTGCAGATGTAGCGTCAAGTGTTTGGATACATTAAATTCTTGCAGCGCAAACAATTCTTCAGTTAATGTCGATAATTCGCCATCCGATATCCTATAGTGCGGCATGTTAGCCCATTGATCTGACGTTCCTTGATTGTTCATCGTATTTCCAGCAGAGTATCCATTTGGAGTAACAACTGGAGAACCTCCCATGTTGTTGGTTGTACTCGTCGTACTCAGGGAAGAATTAGCTGGATTCGTGACGTTAGCATTGTTCCCGACAATCGTAGGAATCGATACTCCCGGTGTGATAGCTGGATTATTCACTGGACTTGGATAATTGGCAGGGTAGCTGACACCTCCCTGATTCGAAGACGAAGGCGAAGGCGGCATCGCAGGTACGTCACTCGTAGGAGCGCCGTTAAAATAATGATTGTTATAAGTAATGTGTGTTTCACTTGTAGTGGTACTACTGCTCGCTGGCCTGCTGCTGTCGGATACGTAGTGATGATGAGGATATGGATTTAGCAACCTATTCACACCAGCGTTGATGGTGGAAAACACGAGTGCCTCTTTCACTATCTGACCCAAGCCTCTGCCACTGTCTTGCTGACCAGGAACCATAATGACTGTTTGCCCAGGTATATACGGTTGCGCGGCTGGTTGTGCTAGCATATGTTGTTGCGGAGGATAATGCGGAGGTCCTGTAGAACCGTACGCACTACCAACAGGATGTGTAGCGTAAGGATTGCCGAATGTGCCCGGTACAGGCGGTGGAACGTGCATCGGATAACTGCTGGGATGTCCGATCGGATGGCCAGGGTTATAAGCGGAATGAGGTTGACCAGCAACGAAATGTGGTTGATTGAAGGCGGATGATTGAACAGGATAAGGAGGAGGACGTTGGTTAAAATTGGAAGCAGGATAAGGTGCGGAAGGAACGTGAGAGGGAACGGGCATCGACGTGGGACGTAAATGATCCTTAAATCCGATATTAGTTGAGGCGGGAATTGGTGGATAAGATTGACTTGGATTATAATGCGGATTGCTCCATGTAGGATTGTTGTGAGGTACAGTTCCGTGCGATGGCTTGAAAGGCGCATTTGGTTGACCAAAAGAAGTTGGAGCTGCAGAAAAAAGATCGGGTGATGAAAGATCGATCAAATTAATTATACCCGTCATATGATTACCGTGATAATAATTTTGGATACAACTGATGCAATTGATATGTCTAATGCAATAATTATAAATGATACAATTGATATTTTTATAATAGATTCAAGATCAAAGTGTAAGCAAAAGTTTTATTTTAATCTCATAAAAAAGAAACTTAAAATTCTATTAAATCAGAAACAATGAGAAAAGTATATACCATGGCTTTGTGAATGTGGTACAGTGGATTTCGATATATGGTCTAATGACGGTGCCGATGGACTATAAGGATTATAAGGGGCAGAATTTTGTTTGTTCTCCGTGGTATAGCCTGGTTTCCCTGCTTGACTTCCGGAGTATGTTCCTAATTTAAAAAATAATAAAATATGAAAATTATATATTTTTCTTAATAGAATGCAATAGAGGAAATAAAAATTTTATGACAAAAGAAAATACTACAGAACGACGATGTTAAGTAACTTAGAGCATATACCATTTATTATAAAAAATAAAAAGAATTTTGTATAAAATATATACTTATGCTAATACCTGTATTACTACGCGGTGCTGATGGATGACCAGAAGAAGAGTATGTAGGATTAGTTTGAGCTATAAAACAAAAAAGAATACGATCCAATGTAGTGTAGCAAAAAACAATTACGAGATCTCTACATCCCAATATATATTCTTATCATTTTACGAAAGTTCACATTTGTTATATTTTATATTACTTAATATTTACTGTACTTACATGGTCGAGTAGCACCTCCTCCTTCAGCTTGTAAGAATGATTTGCTCGAATCTTTATTTTGACGATGCGAAGATGATGCGACACCTGTAATTTTTAACATGTGTAATAATCCTATTGCAGCATTAGAGGATGAAAAAACTCTACTTCTCTCGATTCTCTCATGTCCCTACCTGATGAAATTCCATGCCCCAACGTTCCTGCTATCTGCCCACTCGGTAAACTTCCATGTGCAATTGGATTCGATCCTGTCATGTGTCCACCCGATGAACTTCCATGAGTACTTGATCCCATCGTGTGTCCACCTGATGAACTCCCAGATTCAAATGGCCTTGATCCTGTGTATCTACCTGATGAACTTCCATGAGTATTTGATCCCGTGTATCCACCCGATGTACCTCTATGTCCAAAAGTATTTGAACCAGATCTAGAACCACCTCCTGAACTCCTTCCTCCCCATGACGACGAGCCTCGTGACGATCCTCGCCAGCCTCCTCCTCCGCGTGAAGAGAAACTGACTTTTCCCGCGCTAATGTCATCTAAAAATATAAAGCAGATTTATAAGGGGCTTTACCATAAATACACAGTAATTACTATCATTATTTTCATATATCATATCGCTATTAGTAATATATACTGTATTACTATTAACCCTTAGACCACCGGAATTTAAAAAATAAATAAATGTCTTCATACAGAAACTAGTGCTAAAGTACCTCCACATGTTGCCACATATGGACTGATATGTCCCGGTCAGCGGATGACACCATATGGCGTCATACCGGCGGTCTAAGGGTTAAAGAACATTACTACTAAAAGATAACAAGGAAATATTGAAATTTACATATACCGATTATCAATTATTAGAGAAAAATATATCCAAACAAATTTATAATTTATATACTTTCTTTAATTTATGTATATAATAATACATAAAATTATATTTTACGTAAAAATATTGTATGCAGATTACTTACCGATTATAAGGAGAGTTAGAACAAAGAGAAATAACAAAATTCGGATTTTCATCGCTGTTATAACGAAGTGATTCGTGATGATAATACCACGATAGCCTGTGGAAACTGACGCACTTGTTGGCTATGAAATAATGAAATATATACGTATCATATTTTGTACTTATCAGTTTTCTTTCTTCTAGATACGTATACTGCGGCTTTCTTGGAATGTAAGCATGTTGTTAGATTACGTTATTGACCTATTGACCGTTCACAAATGAACGTTTTCAACACGTTCAAAGCTGATTAATGTTAAATCGCAAGAAATGCTATCATATACTTAAAAACGTCGTTTTATTTTTTTTTCTTTAAGGAAGTGATTATATAAAATTACGTTCTCGTAGTCTTCCATCGTTAGTATTCCGTCATATGGATTTCCCATTCCAGTCGTATTAAATTTTAATGCCATATTTTTTGCGTAATAAAATAGAATTTAATTTAATAATATAAATATATACATTATTAAATTTTTCATACAATTTGTTACAAAGAGAACTGTTTTTAGCATATATGCTTTTTATTTGCATATCTACATATTTTCATTGGGATATCTTGCGTCACTTAAGTATTAGACTTTTTATTATTAGCATCCCATCACCACTAACATTTTATGTTGCAAGATGTTTGTAAATTTAATTCTGTCGTAAAAAACCTAGTTGTTTTATAAAATAATATTGACTAAACTTACAAAGACCATACAACATATATATATATATATATTACCTTTCTTCTTTTTAAATCTTTTTTAAATTAAAAAAATAATACTTTGTAACAGAAGCAAGTAATTATTTATGCATCATCTATTACACCAGATGCTTCCTTTTGGATATATCTATCTAAAATTGCTTCACTTGGATAATCTGGAACTGACAATTGTCTAAATCCTTCATCATCTACAAAGCAGATTTCATGCCCATCCTGGAAAAGCAACCTTGTCATCAATATATAAAAACATACTTTACAAATTAATAAACGTTGATATTATTAAACATCATATACATACTGGATCTGCAAGGATGATGACTCTGACAGAAGCTTTTCCTGGTGTTTCTAAAGTTATGAGATCAGTCAAGATTTTATTTGCGCTTTCTTTAATGGCTTTTTGAATCTTTGGCTGTTCTGAGAATGGAATTGAAAAAGCAATACGTCCATATGCTTTTGCATGATTAACTTTAGTGCCTATTAATAAATTATATCAACATCAATAGATAATAGATAATATAATTTTGATATTTGAATAATAGCTTATACGTGACGGTAAAATAATTAGAATATTAAATAAATTTACCTATATCTTCAAACTCAAGCTTAGCTTGATCTTCACTGTAACCCATCAGAACACTTTTCTCTTTTTGATCAAATATCTTCAATCCCAAAATGTCTTTCCAATAAGCAATGGTATCCCCTAGATTGGAACTGGATAGAGTAACTTTTTCCACTGGATCTATTTAAAATATCAATATATTCAAATAAATTATCAGTAATACTCCAATCTAATTTGTATTATAATTTCATATATTAAAATTAGAATATGAGAAAAAGCAATCTTGTATTTACCACTGTCAGTAGGATGTTGTTCATTAATGATATAATATTTATATCCTCCTGGTGCCTGCATCACAAATTTTCCATTTTCTTCTTGCATTGGCCATTTATTAGTACGTGCTCTTTCGATAACATCTTTTGAACGAATTGTGATAGCTTTAAAATCATTTCCTACTTCGTATTCCTTAATTCCATAATTATATGTCAGCTCTATTACAAAATGTGTGTCTTCAGGACCATATCCTATCATTGTCTTGCTCCAACGATTTGCATATGGTCTATAAAAAAACATAACATTAATTATATATAAAATATAAAATGAAACAGTTTACAATATTGCAGATAATATAAATGATGATAAGTAATATAAGTATCAACAAGTTGTATATAATCACTAAAGATAGCACATATATATTATATTTATTAAAAATAGAATAAATATGATCACATAAGGATTAGTAAACAGCATAAGAAATAAAAAAATAGAAAATCTCGATTTTGTTTGAGTGTTATATACATAAATGTTATTACACCACAAAAGTTATTGTTACAAGACTAATGACAGATTACTCACCCATTACAGGCAGCCTCACATCCGTCTGCAAATTCCTCATGCCGTAGCACCTGCAAAGAAAACATTCGATAATTTATAGTGAACAATTTAATTGCTTAAAACAAAACAAAAATACCTTCATTCCAAGAATTTCACGGTAGAATTTTGCTGTTAATCTCCGATCCGGTATCTTAAAGACAAAATGCAATGCACGTCCAACAACCATTTTTCTTAGAAGTTTTGCCAGATTTTTTCTTTCGTAATACAGCTTATAATTGATTCACTTAATCAGAACGAGCAAACGTAATTTCTTTGAAATAGGAGAGAAAAAAGTAAAGCCAGCGGCACACGAGCTTGTTTTCGTGCAGGATTGCTCGCTGGATGAAAATACTGCGTTCTGATTGGTGCATTTCCATCCATCTTCGGAAATGTACCAATCAGAACGCAGTATTTTCATCCAGCAAGCAATCCAGCACGAAAACAAGCACCGTGTGCCGCTGGCTTAAGACAAGTAGTCCACCTTGGTCCGCCTCCTCAGTTGCACCAGAGAGAAACCTGAGAGCGGCCAACACGACATTTTCTGCGACACCAACTTTCCGCACTGGGAAAGGACGCCATCTGCATCCATTTTGAGAGGGGAACTACGATAGTACACCCACTTTCAGGTGTCGGTGGTAAAATTTCCATGTGATGGAAGTCCATGCTACATCCATTTTCAGGTTTATGTCCGTGCTGCAACCACAGTTGCCATCTCTATGCCAGACTATGCCCGGTGATCTAAAAAAAGCCGGGGGGGGGGAAGGAGCAGAAAAAATAAAAGTACGTATTAAATGTTAAATACAGATTTTTATGCTGGCAATGAATATTGGAACGTAGCTAGTGTATAACATGTGTAGTGTGATCAGCTGATTGCTGCGGGTACTCCGCGTTAGCGCCCACGTCTGACGGTGAGTTGCGCCGCACCTGTCTATCTCCCGTACCCGACCCGCAATAGGTCTACTATTTTTGTTAATAATTTAAAATCTAAGCTTTTGCCAAAATTTTGCAAGAGGAAAAGTTGTTTTAGAATTTTATCAGGATTTTATACTTTTAATAATGGAAAGTTGTTTTGAATCACCCTGTATATTGCCGTATCAAAGTCTCTTCTATAATAAACAATTTGACATGTATGGAGACGCATGATGTATCGTTGCCCGTGTCCCGTTCACTTCGTCCTGTTTCTTAATTCAGCATCCCGTCCGCTTCGGACATTCGCTCGTGGCATTGACAGTGGACGTTGGTGAGCATTCGATCCGCTCGGAGGAGCACGTGTTAATTAACGCGACGAGACTCCGATTATAAATATCCTGCGGGTCGACGAAATATTTGAACTTTTAAAAAAAGCATCAAAGAAAATCAAGTTGATGTTGTCATGAGTAAAATCTCACCCTGGTATATATTTTTTTATTTTCGAAATAAAAAAAGCCAAACGAATGCAATTAAATGTTATTTATCATCATTGAATATTAGATGAAAAGTAGAAGAGTTATTGTCCGCAGCGGATAATCTCCCTGTATAAAATGTCGAACTGAAACATATTAAAAAGTATTGACATTTTGAATACGTCTGAATTCTGCTTTCTGATCCGAAGAAAGGGACTAAAAAGTATTAGCTCCCATTAAATTTCACCACGCTAAATGCGAGGTGGCAATGGTGAATGCTTCGCATTAATAAGGATTCAATTCATTTCAAATATGCCTTGTATTCAATCGCAATCGATAATTTTCAAATGCGAACTTTCGTATTGAAAAGTATTCACTTCTTCTCTTAATTGTTTTCGGATTCAGAGGCATACAAGATTTTCACGTTCTATTCCCCGTCGCATTGAAAAGTATTGGCTCGCGATCCTATCTGAGATTCCCGCAAAGCAGAATTCACGACAAAATCTCGTGAATGCGAAACAATACTTTTAAATACGACATTTTATACACGACTAACATTTAATAAGGACAAGATAAAATTCGCATGGGATGAAATCCCACTCTTTAACGCTATCCATGACCTTTAATTATTCTCCGCAAATGGCGTCACAACAACTTTGACACTCTGTACAATTAGTTGCTAACACATTTTCTAATCGTACACATTCCTCTTTAATTAACATAAAGCTAACAAATGTCCGATGCTTTGACAGAGTAATTTTCTTTATTTTCAGTAATCAATAAATAGAGTGCATACATATCGCGTACAGTTGAAAGGCCTCCTCGCATTCCCCTCGCCGGCAGCGATACGTCACGTTTCCATGTGGAACCATTTATTATGCGGGAGGTCTCCGATAACGAGAGCGGACGTTTGATGAATTTTCCGGGAATAAGAAGTCGGAATTTCGCGCTCGGCATTCACAATCCGTCATCATCCGACTAGTAATCATCACTTTATGAATTTGCAATTACTCTCGTCAATCTCTGTCTGTCTATCTATTTATTGCGTTGTTGTATACAAAAGATAATGATCCAGACAGAGACGGATAACGGTCCATGGACGTCGATCTCGAATTCATCATGTTCTCAATCAAACATTCTGAATCATTCCCAATTCCTGTGTGAGAATATTGGTCTTGTGTAGAATATTCAACGTCATATCGCTTCTTAGACTGCGACCTTTTTTGTTTTCGGTCAGCGCTTCTTTCAAGTTTGTTTACTCTTGTTACGGAATCTAAATTTAAATGTCCATTCGTAAAAAAGTATTTTCGAGAGCACACAACTGTTGTCTCCGCTTCTTGTTGTCATTTTTTTTCGTCAGCTCTTTCAAAAGCTCCTATCTAGACTTTCAATGTCAATGAAGAAAAAAAATCGTAAATATTCCTACTCATCCCGACCAAATATTCTTTCTCTATCGCAGCTTACCAACCAGGACCGCTAAATTTTTGTTCCAGACGTTGCGGAAAGCAAGTCCGGCGGACGCGGATACTGCACCAGAGGATTAGGTTCGGGTAGATCAGGGTCGGCCGGAAGGTAAAGTTTATAAGTTTCCTACACATCTGTGTTCAACTCTTTACAATCTTTGTCTTTGCAACTTGTTCCTCATCAGCTCTCTTGAAAGCTTCATGTCTCATTTAAATTTTCAATGTTGGAACAAAAATATACAGATAAAAATTCCGTATCAAAATATTTCCGTATTTTCGATTCGTCCCGATCAAAGATATTCTCTCTCTCTATCGCAGGTTATCAACCGGGAAAATTATTTTTCTGTTTCAGTTGTTGCGGAAAGCAACAGCAATCCGGCGGACGCGGATGTCGCACCGGAGGATCCGGTTCAGGCTAAGCAGAATCGGCTTGAAGGTAAGTTTACAAGTTTACTATAGTCCTCTGTTTGAAGCTAAGACTCCATGCATGCGGTGAGCTCCGGCAAACGGCTGCGGTGACCAATCAGGAGACAGACGCATGCCGGAGCTTGCCGCAACCGGACTTGCGCCTCCCTCCTGATTGGTCACCGCAACCGTTTGCCGCAACTCACCGCATGCATGGAGTCTTAGCTTGACCCTTGGCGATCTAGAGCTGGGATATAATTTCCGGCTCAACTTGAATTAGGATCGCAGAGGGTAAAATACTCTTTTACTCGCTCGCATTCATTGGTCAAATCTAATAAGCGAATGTGAATTTTTTGTTACAGAGTTGAAGCGGAACGTAGCGGGCTCTGACTGCAAGTCGTTTCGGTGAGTAAATGCAAAATGAAAAGATAAGCAAAATTCCGCATGACGGATGTGGGACTATGGGAGATAAAATATCGTTCGAGTCAATGCAAATTGCAAATAGATTTTGCATGTGTGTGTTTGTGACGTTGAATAAAATATGTTGCTCGAAACAATCAGGGGATTACTTGATCGATAGCCTGCATTACATACGAGATTTAAAATACCGAATCATTCTTTTTTGATGTTCATTTGAATAAGAGATATTCATATCTACAAACGCGATACTGTCATCAGCTGCTTTATTTTCATTTTTCAAGCAGGCCGCGGAATTATCTAACGACAATTATTTGACAATATTCAATTGTCCGTGTAAAATATATTCATACGCATAAATGCCGTTACTGTTGGCTACTTTTCCTTTATTTCCAAAACAAATTATTTGGCAATATTGTCAATTTATCACGATCCCTATTGTCTCGAGTAGTGTATAATGCGCGCAGAAACTGTGCCAGCGCACGCCGAGCTTGAGGTACCCTCGCTCGTGTGCCATAACAATGCGCGAGACCATGCTTGTCAAGTATGCTATTATGGTTGTAGCACGGACATAAACCGCCTGAAAGTGGATGTAGCACGGACAGCCACCAGATGCAGGTTTTACCGTCGAGACCTGAAAGTGGATGTAGCATCGAAGTTCCCCTCTCAGAATGGATGCAGATAGCGCCCATTCCTAGTCCGAAAAATCGGTGTCGCCGAAAACGCCGTGTTGGCCGCTCTCAGCTTCCTCTCTGGTGATTCTATTTTCAGAGTTTCTATCTAGAAAGAAATGTTCTGTGGCATAAACGAAGCCATCGTGCAACAAGCAGACGACAAGAATAGTGGAAGCAGACGGTAGTGTCAAAAGTTATATGTATGGTCACATTATTTATATCGGCTGTTAGGTTATTAGAAACATTCTTCAAACGTAAATTATTCACATATTAATTCCCTAACGAATGTAATGGAGAATCTCGCAGCAAAACTATGTTCACTCTTAACAGAAAATGCCAATACAGGTAACTATTATAGACTTAAAAATGTTGTATATGTAAACTAATATTAAAACTATTTTGTTAAGTATCCCAAGTCTGATATCAGATGAATGAATAATCTTCTTTGTTTTCCCAGCAGAACAATGGAAGTTGTTAGGACAAGAAAAAGATGGGTCGATACTTGTTGGATGGGTACAAGAATCAAAGAAAAATGATGTTTGTACATCATGTAGTATTATTGCACGTTATGACCAGTTGAACAATAAATTACAGGTGATAAATATACTAAAAATATTCTTTCTCTTTGGATATCTTTAATATTGCTTATATTAAATGTTTGAATTATTTAGATATTGCACCGTTTTTTGGAAGTATTAAATATTGTTCAAGCTACAGTAAACCAAAGTCAAACATTAATAGGATATGTGACAAAAGAAAAGAATCAGAATTCAGAAATAACTGATTCTCATAAAAAATACTGTCCAAATGATAATAATGCAGCTTATGAAGTAGAATTCTATAGAGCATTTATTGTTGAATTATTAAGTAGTGGTACCAAAGTACATAATTTAGATATTGAAAAATCTAAGCAAGTACGGCTACAATTTTTGTACAGAGAGAAGGAACAACTTGGTGTAGACAAGTTCCTAATGTTGATACATCATGAATGTAAGTCAATTCTATTTCTAAATACAAATTTACTAGAATCATTGCGTGTAATATATCAAATTAAAGTTATTCTTATCAATCAAGTTACAGTTATTTTTTAATTTAAATAGAATATATGAGGTTAAGTAATTTTTTTTATGAATTTCAACTTTATGTAACTTAAGCAATATTTCTAGGTATTTTAACATACACAGTTGAATTTGACACAACTGTGAATGACTTTAGGCCAGTAAAGGAATTAAAATCAGAAGTACTTGTAAAAACATTCATATGGGCTCAATGGGATATGATCAATCAAGTTCTCTACCATATACATCACCGGCAAATCCCCGCGAGCTTAGTTTCCGAAGATGAAAATAATTCCAAGTCTTCAAGACCCACGCTTAGTGGTCTTCAATTTCACGATGACTTGCCTCATGAAACGGTGGTAAGAATTTTACATAAGACAAGAAGAAAACGGATTATCTGTTCGTATTTTAACTTCGACTGAATCTTTGTAGCTGAATATTCCGTTAAATTTACCACAATTACTGACGTCCTCCAATTGCGGCACTTACGAAGACGACGTAATACCCCTGCGAGTCCACGACTGTTCTCTAGATCTCATTATGGTGTCGGACACCAAAGGAATGGTCTGTGTTTGTCACCATTATCTTTACCGGCCTGTACAGCCGCCGCAGCACGTACTCAACTCGCTGAACGACTCCAATACGGTGCATTTCGCATACTCGGTGACTCTGCTGCATCATAGCTGCGTGATCCACTGCGTTATACCGGGTATACCGTGGTCACGTGCGAAGATCATGAGACCAACCTTCGCAATATATGAGAACCACCATATGGCAGTGTTCGTGCCAGGACTATTTCTGCACTTCCTCGAGATTGGATTGAATCACGAGCCCTGTTGCCACATACTGTGTGGTCCACCACCGTCGGTGCCGTCTCGTGCTTCCTATTTGGTGCCATTATTCGACTTAGATAACGCTGGAAAAGGAACAAGGAGAAACTCCCATCACAATAACGCTGATAAAACAAATTACTTGGACAGTAGTAACTCACTGCCGAGTTCTAGCTCGAGCGTGTTGACGATAGATTTGCCTACCTTGGACCTCGTGCAACTGACGATTCCCACGGACCTCCTCGTCGAAGTCTTCCGTAAAGAGACTTCGGTAGAAACTCGCTTGGGAATACTTCATTATTTTCTATGTCATAAAAATGACATGGAAATTGTCGCGGAATTAATATCCGTTCTTGTGGAGAAGCCGCGCTCCTTGGACATCGTGCGTTTTATGCAAGAGTTCCTTATAGGTAGCTCTTACGCATTGGTGCAAAAGAATCTCCTCACAGACACCATTCCTTTGTTGTCTTTGTTGCCGGTCACTACTATAGGGGATTATCAGACTTTCGACATAAAGGTGAACGACTTGAGTGTCACATTAAGTCATGAGAAACTCTGGAACACGTCAGTAATGTTGCTCTCGCCGCAACAGAGACTCGTTCCATATCGTAGCGATCTGTGGACTAGACTGTGGGATCAACTGAGTAAAAATGGTGGCGATAAACAGAGGTTCAACCCTAGCCGTATCGCGGAGAAGCTATTGGTTTCTTTAGCTTGCTATCAACCGGAGGCACTGTCCAGATGCAATACTCCGATGTCGCCGAGTGGAGGGTAATAATAATTCGCTATTTCCTTGTGAATATTTCTACAAGACCAGAGAGAGGATGGTATCTCATCCGTATTATATAATATAACTTAAATAATATTTCACATGCTCAAACAATCGTGTATTTATATTGTTACGTTTGTATGATATTTATTATTTGTATATTACGATACGACTTCTATAATTATGTTTGTACGATACTTGTTACTCAACGAATGATGTTGTAGTTTTGTTGCAGTGCCGCTCGGAGACCTCATGGTTAATCGCGGCATCAAATTGGATTCCAATTTGCCGTTTAACGAGACGGAAAGCTGCACCGCCTCGAAGCAGGAACACATCGTGTCGGTGAATTTGCGCGAACTCTCTATGTACCTTCTGAAAAATGGCACGCACACGTCGACTATGCTCACCCGAGGCTCCTGCACCGCGTTACACGTTCACGCCATGGCCACGAGACACGTGGCTGCACAATTGGAAGCCTCGCGTACGCTCTGCCAGATACTCTGCAGAGCAGCCGGCGTCGATCCAAGGATTGAGCAAGAACGCGGCTTTAGTCTTATGTGAGAACAATTTCTGTACCGATGGAAGGTTTCTTTTATTTGTCGCTGATATAATACAATAGTTTATTTTCGAACTGTCTTAAATCCATATTTAACAAAATTATTAAATAAGCACTATGAAGGGAAATATCTTGAACGCGCTTCTAATTTGTAAGGTCTACTTGGAACATAAATTTGTATCTACGATGAACCTTACACTTTAATCATGAATTTGTTGTTTCACTGCCACATTGAACTCTTCATCTATCATTGCTATTTTTTACAGAGATAAATTGGATAAAGCGAGACGATGGTTGTTATTTATACTTCTGCAGCGATATCGATATTCCATAGAAAGTATCGCTTATCCTGCACCACAAGGATTCGCATCGTTCTTCACTTACCTCGGCTATCGCACTCTCGATTATTCCATGTTTCTACAATACATTCAACGTTCAGTGTTTGAACTGCAGGTCGACGTCGGCAAAGCTATTTTGGCTGGTGCGTCCTCTCAATGAAGAAAACTATATATTCGTCTATTATAACTATATTCGGACACAATAATATGTGAAATGCGTTAAGACAACAATTGATTGCACTGTAACTTTTGTACGTAGATATGAGCGACGCGAAAAAGGATGTCATTCAGAAGCTAGGTTTGCTGTCCTTAATGCCAAGATCTCGCGCAAAGAGACTCTTAAATCAATGGTTGCACCCGGTTAGTTTAATGTTGCGAGCCAGAGAACATGCTGCGAATATCCTATGTGGCGAAGAAAGTCAAAGTCGAGTCGGTAGTCGTCCCTTGCAACACCGTAATCATCATAACAGTGAGTAGAATGAGAATGAAATGTTTCGACGAATTTGAATTGGATGATGATATGTGTTAATTGTTTTTAGGTTTAGCGGCATTTCCTTCAGAAGATCGTTTATCGCCATTAGATACTTTCTTAGATCTGCTTACTGCAAAAGGTGAGAATCGTATGATATTGATAACGCGATTTATTACATCGTCTTAAGAAAAAAAAAAGAAACAGTAATCTTAATAATGTCTAATTTTTCTTTTTCTTTTACAGCCAGTCTTACCGAACTGGATTTCGGATTATTAATAGAGGCAACTGTCACATCCACGGAAGACTTTCTTTAACGAGTATTAAAATTAACGTAGAACTATATTTATGAATATAATTAGCGCCGATAACTACCAAAGAACGTTTCTTTAAGAAAGACGATTTAGTTAATCACTAAAAATTAATTAATTAGTGGTCAGTAAGAATCGCACACAGAAATATCTATACGGAATATTAGTAATAAATAGTTTCTTGCAAGAAAGTAATAATGTCGACGATAAAATATAATTAAAATTCCCTACGTATATTTAAAGATTGAAGAAATGCCTCGACGCATACAATACATTATTATAGTCAAAATTAATTATTAGTGATGGAGTATTTGAAAATCTTGACTCTTGAAGTTTCGTTTAGGATTTATTCAGTGAAAATAATTAGCAACCACTTGAGCCAATTTATATAATTTTTATATATACGTGTATGTGATACCGCCTATTTTGTATTTTTATAATTTTGTTGTTGAATCTTTCATATATTTTCATTTTGTTGTTGAATCTTTCATATATTTTATCAAGTCTATATGCTTGAAAAAATTAAGGTTGTAAGACATGTATTTACAATTATGAATATTGCTATTTTGGCAGAAACCTTTAAAATACCAAGTGCCATTGAAACTTAGTTACCATCACTTATTGTAATATTTAATATCAGTAAGCAAGGATGACGAAAGTTTAATTGTTTAAGAAGTACGTATTCCATATGTTGCAAGAAATTTGAGAAGTTTTACATAAAAAATTCCTACCCAGGAATGAGTAGCATTGAATAAAATAATCATGCTGAGATATTAGTTTATTAAAATATATTATAATATATATGTATGTCGCTGTCATGCATTTAAGTCAACTTAAACATAAAAATACGCATATCTCTAAATTATAATATTTAGTTTGGATTTTAATTAGATTTTAATTAAGTACATAAAATGAAGAATATCTACGTTATTATTCCATTTTATATGATTTATTAATACATTCCTGGGTGATTGTGCCAAGTATGAAGAATAGGAAAACTTAAGCATAATTAATTAAGCATATAGTAATATTATATATCGATATTCTGTTGGTGCTTGTATGAGTTGGTATTATATTCAGTATTCTTAAGATCATGTGTAATACCATGAATTAATTTAATATCATGAATGAATTTTTAATGTTTACAACTGATACATATACATATATATACATACATATTAGTATAGTATATTATGTGTGTATATATATATATATATATATATATATATTATAATATATAATATACTGTTTTTAACAATTTTAATAATTATTACATGAAGTATATGTAGTATTTCTTTTATGTGTAAACTGTGATTATCTTTGTTTAAGAAATAGAACATATAAGATATTAGGTTTTTATATATACAGGGGGTGGACAAAATAATGTGAATACCTGACTATATATACAATATTTGTTAATTAATAATGTGTAGGGCTATCGTTTGCTTTTAAGACAGCTGTAATTCGTCGCGGAATAGATTCGTAGAGTGTACGGATAGTATCCAACGGCATGTTGTTCTATTCTTCCACCAACATCTCCGCCAATTGCCTCAATAATGATAGAGGTGGAAATCTGCTCCTCACTCTCTGCTCCAAAACTCCCCATAGCGGCTCAATGATGTTGAGATCTGGCGATTGTGTTGGCCAAGGCAGATGCTTGAATATTCCGATGTTCCTCGAACCAAAACTGAACTTTTTTGGCTATGTGTATGGGCGCATTATCGTCTTGGAATATGGCAATGTTTGGCAACAATATACTGATCATAGTAAGAACTTCATCATTGAGGATGTTTAGATATTCATTCGCAGTAATACGGCCATTGAGGGTAATAATCAGACCAGCAGAATACCATGATATAGCCGCCCCCCTGCTTGACTGTGGGTAGTAAGCAGTCCGGATCGTAGGCTTCTTTGGGGGTTCTTTATACATAAACCCGACCGTTTTTAGGGAACAAAGTAAACGATGATTCATCAGACCATACTACATTCTTCCAATCATCAATCGTCCAAGTTTTATGATGGTGGTACCACTACTTTCGCAGCTTTGCGTTGGCATCCATTATAAGAGGTTTTGAAATTGCAGCCCTGCCATAAATGTTACTTCTGTGAAGCTCCCGCCGCACTTTTGTCGAAACAGGATTGTTCAAGTGACTGTTGAGTTCTGCTGTCACCTTTGCTGCGGTAGTTTTATGTTGCTTGGCTACAATCCTTTTTGATTCGGCGGTCCCTGTCTGTTAACGTTGTTTTGCGCCCACTCCTTCTCTTCGCAGATGATATTTTGCCATGTTTTGTGTAGGCTGTCATCACAGTGGATACTGTCGCTCGTGAAACGTTAAACAGTTCAGCTGTTTTCGTTACAGATGCTCCTGCTAACCGAGCACCCACGATTTGTCCTCTTTCGAAGTCTGACAGGTCGCCCATTTCACCGTCTGATTGTTAACACCGTCGCAGAACAAAGCGAGTAGTATACTGAAATATAAACTAAAACGGTTACTACTTCTTCTTCTAAATTATGACCTGCAGTGCGATTCTGTAACTCGTTATTGGAGTTAACGACACTTTCGTTATCGTTGCGCAGCTTTTATATACCGTAGAAAAGCTGCGCAACGATAACGAAACTGTCGTTATCGTTGCGCAGCTTTTGTATACCGTAAAAAAGCTGCGCAACCATAACGAAACGAAACTGTCGTTGCGCAGCTTTTCTACGGTATACAAAAGCTGCGCAACGATAACGAAAGTGTCGTTAACTCCAATAACGAGTTACAGAATCGCGGTACTGTACCGCGATTCTGTAACTCGTTATTGGAGTTAACGACACTTTCGTTATCGTTGCGCAGCTTTTGTATACCGTAGAAAAGCTGCGCAACAATAACGAAACTGTCGTTAACTCCAATAACGAGTTACAGAATCGCACCACTGGAGAGTTAACTCCTTTGACCAGTCATAAGGGTCACAAACATTATTTCAGGACGCTAGTCCACAGGATTGGTAGTCATGACTTAGAATCTTCTTTCAACATGCTTCAGAAAATCAATCAAAACCTCAAAGGCATTCCTGTTACTACTAAAGGCAATATCAGTGACACATATTCAGTGGCACATCAGCGTCAACTCGTATAAGGTTCAGTCGCAACCAATCCGAGTGATCCGAATGGTTCGGACATTCAAAAAATAAATGTTCAACGGATGTTCAACTCAAGCAAACCGCAACTGCACAAGGCCGCATCCACTAGATTTTTTTCCGCCAAATGTTAGACCACATCCAAGTGATGCGAAAGTATTCTTGCAATAAGAAATAAGGTGCTTCTTGGCATTTCCAGGAGGTTATTAAACTATGGCTCAGTAAGTTTAATTCGGGTTGAAATATATCTGTATCCTTTAAATTTGGCAGACACTCTCAAGTGAACAATTGCATTCTCCAATGCTTCAGTCCTAAATACGCGTGTATAATTGGAAACGAAGGTAATCTCCTTAATTAATGCAGATAAATTATCTCCAACTGCTCCCTCCTTGGCAAGTAAATCCACTGCCTCATTTCCAGGAATGTAATGATGTCCCGGAATCCAGATAAACGCAATCGTGATAATGGCTGCATTCAGCAGACTCAACAGTTGGACAACATTATTAGATTTTCCACTGAATCTCGCTCCTGATTGGTAAATACTTCTAGGTCTGTGAAGAATCTAAAAGAATGCTCCAATTACAGACAATAATCATTAAGCGCTCACTGATCATTTTGTTCTACTGAACGCAGCCATTGTGCAAATATAAAGCCCTAAACACAATGCCAGGCAACAGGCAATAAGAATAAAAATAGACCAATCACAATAGATTATTCTTGTAATAGTCGATTGTGATTGGTCTACTTTTATTCTTATTGCCTGTTGCCTGGCATTGTGTTTAGGGCTTTAAGAACGGTTACTACGTAAAGTGCGCCACATATACGCGCCGCACCGTTCATACCTTGGCAGGGGGCTCAAGATAAACAAATATGTAATATTTAGCATGGTGTTCACATTATTTTGTCCATCCCCTATATATACATACATAAATATACATTAATCACAGGCGATATTAATTGTGTAACATTATATATATAAAATAGAGTAGTATTAAAATTAGATAACTTTGTGTATGCGGGAAAAATGATATGTGAAGAAAAGCTTTTAAGAAATGAAAATTCTAGAAACATTTTATTTATATGCTGCTTTCTTGAATTATATTTGTATGAATTATATTCATAAAATTATTTTTTTTACCATAATTATTTAACGACAATGAATGAAATAACTGAGAGAATTATAGCATAGACACGAACCAACCGACTTGACCGATAGTGCTAATTGATGTATTTTATATTTATTTCTTCAGAGGGCACTTCGGAAAAAGATCCAAGAAACACTTATAGCATACTACTCTTAGATTTCTCTTTGTACGTGAATAAATACAGTCTTTGGTTCGCCTCCGTAGTAATTGGATGTAGTTCTTGTAACTACGCATAATTTTTTAATCGTGAGGACTGCGTACGCGCTGTCCCTGTTTTTCTTTTTACATCATACTACTGGAAAGTGGCGTATGGACATTGCTGCATGCAGTCCGAAGCCATATAACGAACTGAACTGAACTGTGAATAAATACAACTGATGCTAACAGGTCTTTTGTTGGCTTCCGAAGCAGGTGAATATGGTTTTGTCGTTACGAAACTACGCATAATATTTTTAATATTAGGGACTGCGTGGTCCCTGTTTGTACCACGCTTCTTCGCAACATTCTAATTTCTATTTTCATACTTCTCATTAAATAGCGTTAGAGTGAAACCTTAACTGGTGCCTGTAGCCAGGATTCTGAGAGAGAGAGAGAGAGAGAGAGAGAGAGAGAGAGAGAGACAGAGAGAAAGAGAGAGAGAAAGAGAGAGAGAAGAGCGATCGTAAAGAACGATAACCAGTATTTCTCTCATATTGTAGAATATATATTTCATATTTTACAAATATAATTTTTGTAAAAACTACCAGTGAAAAGCTAAATAAATTATTGTGGACAGGTCTACAATATACATTTGTGACTGTAAGTTATTTTATTATTATGATACTTTTTCTTATACATTTATATTAGTTTTATATACTATGTATATTGTGAATAGCAATGTAAGTAGCATTATGAACATATCTAATTGCAAATGCTGCATAATTGCATAGAGTAATTTATTATGTAACATAGTCTTAACAATATTGAATATATGATACTAATATAAACACCAGTAGAACAAAAATATAATATTAATAGTTCTAACATTATAATATACTTTATAATGAATTCCATTATCAATTATATTCTATGTAAATTTTAGATTTATTGACATTACATCATGGGAGATATATTAACAAATGAACAAAAAGCATTCTTAGCAGAATGTGAAGAAGAATTTAAAGACCGCTATACAGAGAAGGATAGTAGTTTTATGGAAATCAAGAAACAAATATCTAAGAAGCCACCAATTATAGATCCTTGGTACAATAAACCACATAGATCCTACGACTGGACACGTCAAAATCAAAATAGACGTAATCATCATTGGGATCGTCGAAATAATGAAAGGAATGAAAAATGGGACCGTCATGCTGGTAAACATCACATGCATCAAAGACAAAGAATGTATTAATATAAAATGATCAACATAATTGTAAATTAAATGATATGCAAAATGATTCTAATTTAATTATAATTATTTATGTCTCCATAATGTAACTTTAGTAATAATTATTCTGTTACCTAATAATAAACAATAGTATACATATGATTATTATCGTCATTTAGATTTTTCTTCTCATTCCCAGCGATAAATATCTACATTTTCTTATTAATCAAGAGCCTATAATTCTAGGCTAATATATTTTTGATAAAAGATCAAGAAAAATTAGTTCAGAAATCTCCGCTTCGAGGCGCTACTGTCTGATACAGAATCGAGGCGTAGTACAAATCAAAAACTGATCAGACGCACCTCTTATCTTCAAATAGTACGACTCAATGATAGGCTGAAACAATCTGTCTATCGAAAAGAGCGATCCATTTGAAGCTTTATGAGCTTCAAAGCACTTTTATACGTGAATAATAACGTCATTACGCAGCTAGAAGTTTTGGAAATAACTAACAGACCGTACTCGAAATGACACGTGCATAGTACCATTACAGAATATTTACGATTTCATGTATATACTTGTGTTCCGTATAGCGAATTATTTCAGTAAAGCGACGGTCATTCTTATTAATTTTTAATCATGATAGCTTTGACTATGAAAAGTGAACTAATTAAATAAAAAATTAATTGTATATAAAAATTAGAATATAAAAATTATTCTTGCAAATATGTGGGCGGATACTATTCTAATAGTATTTATCAGCATATGTACAGCATTGTTAGGTGAAGGTAAAGTATCAATCAATTTTAATAAATATATATTGCTAAACTTAGGTTAAATAATATAGAAGAAGTTATGTATACATCTCTTTCTCTCTCTTTATCTCTATATATATGTATATTGAATATATATTAATATATTTCAGTATATCTATACATGTGCACAAAATATGGGTATATATGTTTTTTAATATATTTACTTTATTTATGTATTATTTAGGGCTGACATGGCTAATGGTATATAGGACCGAAAAATATCAAAAATTAAAAGCTGAAGTGGAAAAGCAGAGTAAGAAATGTAAGTTTGAGATATATTACTATAATTATGCAAAACAAATATATGCGCTATGAAATTTATATAAAATATTTATTAGTGGAAAAGAGGAAAGAAGCCCATGGTGATTCTTTGGATAAACAGCAAAAAAAGAAAATCGAACGTGAAGAGGAAAGATTGAAAAATAATAATCGAGATTTATCTCTAGTGAAAATGAAGTCAATGTTTGCAATTGGATTCGCCTTTACAGCACTGTTAAGTATGTTCAATAATATATTTGATGGACGAGTTGTTGCTAGATTACCATTTGTCCCAATCAGCTGGATACAAGGCTTGTCACACAGAAATCTCTCAGGCGATGATTATACAGAATGTTCATTTATATTTTTGTACATATTATGTACTATGAGTATCAGACAGGTAAGTTTAATATATTTTGTATATAATTAAAATGTATAAAATATTAAGTATATGCTTATTATTTATCGTTAGAACATCCAGAAAATGCTTGGCTTTGCACCATCCAGGACTGCAAGTAAACAAAGTGGAAGTATCTTTGGACCTCCTCCTCAGCAATTTAAATAAATTCAGATTTGAAGAATTACAGCTGGTGTTTAAAGAAATTATTATATACCTTATTGCTCAATTTTAGATGCTTACATATCTTTTATTGATCTTTATAATGTCAATTGTTAATTTTTCTTTGCATCCCATATTGAAATGCTTAAAGAAACATTTAAATGAACTTTTCAAATTTCCTCTTATTGTCTTCCATTTCTATATAATACGTTAAATACAAATAAAATGTAGATATTTATACTTTGTATCATTCATTAAAACATGTATTATATAAAATTATCTATTTATTTGTTAAATAACAGATTTAATAGTTAGGAATTATATATATAATATATAAGGGAAAGCATTCTAATAGAAATTAAGTATAAAAAACCATGAACTTTGGATAATATCAGTGTAAGATATTTCAAGTATATGTATGTAATATTAAATTTTTCATTCTATACAGTATTGTATAGTATATTATGTAATAAAGGATACCTTATAATAATTTGCAAAATCAATAGGCAATTTTAAAAAATAGAGTTGTTACTTGTGTATTTTCGTAAAGCAGCGCTTATACAACAATTGATATTATATACAAACATAATGATCAACCATATACAAAAGAGCGCAACCATTTATCTTATATGGTAAAAAACTTTATATATATATAGTATATATAGTGTGTGTGTGTGTGTGTGTATATATACACTAAATATACTAAATATATAATATATAGTGAGATATATGCGTATATATATATATTATATATTTGTTATACTACACTATACTAATGACAGTCTGATTTATGAAGAAATTATTACACGATTTTATACATTATTGAAAATCGGCTCGAATAATATCAAGTCGATCGGTTATAATTTCTTCTCTGCTTTAAATGATACAATACGACCCCTGTAATATTATCGCTATAGTTTCTACTCATTACGTATCAGCAGAACCTAAATTTAAGCCAGCTTATCTTTATTAAAATTAGCGATTCATAGATATATGCACTCGTAATATTTACAAGGAATCTACACGCAGAAATTATTGACAAAAGGTGTAAACTTGCCAATTTGAAGTTTGAAAATTTTGGTATTACACATACTGCTATTAAATATCATTACAATGATGATCCCACTTTTATTCCAAAATTCTATCGCTTTCAGTATGAAAAAAGCACAATATTATGTAACATAGTTTAAAATGTGCAAAATTCGAAAATATGTGTATATATATATATATATATATATATGCATATATATGTGCATATATATATATGCATATATATGTGTGTGTGTGTGTGTATGGCAGTCATATAGGACATAGCAACAGTTCTTCTATTATTTTTTCAGCTGTATACAACCCCAAAACAGAATTTTATACAATTAATTTCGGCAGTGACCACTCATAGGAAATAAAAACGCAGAAAAATGATATCAACATGATGACTTCTTCACTTGCAACAACGTGATTTCGGATATAATAAAAAATCTAAAAACAAAATTAAAGAATGATAACACTTTTTTTTAATCACAGCTTTTCACATTGTTCATGAGAACACTACGTTGTTCAACAGTCAATAAATTTCACATAGTTGCGTTAAATTCCCTCCTTCTTTTGGTTTTTTCTTTTTTGTTATGCATTCACATATTTGATATTGGATGTTGGAGAACAAGTATAAATCATTCTGTGTTATAGAGTGCGTGCGCTTATTTACGCTGGGAAAATGTAATTGTATTTACAAAATCTTCCAGGCTTATTGATAGTTAAATAAACGCGATATCCTACAATCCTATCTTTATACAACAAAACTTACACACTAAAAAATTGCACATCGAGATTTATCATAAGGAATAACTTAGGTATACGGATCAGTCCTTCCTTCTCGACATCGAGCGACGAGACCGATTTATCGTATTATTATAATTGCAATTACAACTGATGTATTCCTAGAGCTATATAGAACATTCAAATGGAGAATTATAAATTCCCATAAAAATAAATTAGAATATAGAATATAGCGTGTTCAAACCAGCTGTGCACCGTGGCCTCTATATGTTCAGTTTTAGCAATTTTCTACGATTTTTCTCTTGAGATGAGTTTTCATCGACACGTCGTCTCGGGTGAAGAGATGATTGTACGATATTATGTCACTTATTATATATACTTTCCCGCTAAGATATACAAGACTTCGTGGTACACGACGTTTCTTCGAGTCATTCGTGCACCGTAGCTCCGACATATTCGCGTCTATTTCAACGTCTCTAGGGATCTCTGTTGCGAAGATAAACCTTTATTATCGACGACACGTGGTAAGTGAAATTCTTGCGCAGCGCGATACGTCATTTCGAACAGGCTACGGTCGCCTGATACTCGTCCTGCACTTAGAAAGGTGGACAATTCACGCCAGGGTGAAGATACTGGCATTTGTCGCCTACCCGGCAGTAACCGTTTTTGGAAAATTGTCGGCACACTGGCGGTTGTTTGCCGTTTCCTCGCCAACCGCCACCACCGCCCCTCCAAACACCTCTACCAGGCCCTCCACCACGATACCAACCGGGACCACCTCGACCTCTGTTGTGCATAGGCACTCCCCTGGGTCCTGGGAAATTGGGTCCGGGCGGATATATCGGTCCCGGCGGACCTTGGAAGTTATTGGGATTCATATTATTGAATCCACCCATGTCCTCCGGGCCCATCATACCGTAATTCTCTTGCTGCTGATTATACATAGGTGGCGGACCCATCATGCCAGGAGGAACCATTGGTCCACCCTCCATCCCTTGATTGAACCCTCCTGGCATATTCGCCATGGGATTCATACCGACATCGGGTACCACGACTTTGCCGTCGCCTGTTCTCCAACCGCCACCGCCGGCTGGCATCGGTCCCGTCATATCTTGGCCCATAGGGCCCATGTGCGCAGGAGTCATCATCTGTTGTGGCATCTGCGATATGGGACCCATTGTCGGCTGTGGTCCCATAGGCGTCATCATCGGCTGCTGATTATGCGAGAATGTCGGATAATGGAACGTTGTGACTGCTGGCGGTTGGGGTGTCAATTGAGGCTTGGGTTCGGGCCATGGTACAGAAGTGAAGTCCTTTTCGCTCTCCTTGTTACCCGTGAGATCGTCCAATGGTATTACTTTCGGGTCGGACACCACGTGGTGCCGTTCCTCGTCCGGTTCGGCAGCAGAGTCCGGAATCCTGCGATTCAAGAACAATCGTTAAGAAAATCAAACGAGTTACATATAACGAAATTGATGTACTTGAAATATTTATCAAGATACAGAATAATATAATTCGATAAAAAAGGTCTGTAGTTGCTTAAAAATTTAATCAATAATGAAGAACAAATATATATAGATTCCATCATCGCAAAACATGTAAATATAAAAATTATAAAATTCCTCAGTAATGTGTATATACATACATGCTTCGGTTGAAGTAAAGTGCTTGGAGAATGCCCTTTTCGCGAGCATATTGGATGTCTTTTTCCCTGCTGTCCTTCCCTGGTTCTACTAACGGAGGCGGAAGATCGATAGGAATTAAGGGTTTCCACCTTGTCCTTTCTTCCATCAAATCCTCGTTATCTAATAAGAAAAATAATATTTCACATGTTACTTGTTTTAAATCAATAACTAAACATAAATAATTGCATCACATATACATACATAATTAGAGATCAATATGATACATTTAATGAGTGTATTCTTTATTTGTTGTGTGATGTGCATAGCTGTATCTATATATAAAATTAAAATACCATGATAATTAATAGATACATACTTAATTTCCTGGCCATCTGGAATGCTTCCCTCTCGTTTTGCTTCTCCATCTGCTTCATGTCGGTAAACGTCTTCGTCACATTGACCCTCTCTGTCTCATCTAACTCAAAGTAACGTATAGATTCCAGATCCGTCTTCCACTTTAAGACCTTCTTTGGTCCCTTGCGTTTCTGAAGTAGTAAAACACTTCTAAGTCCGTCTACGTATCGTTTCTCGGAATAAGAATTAACATTATCCTTCTTCGACGAATCCGAAACTATCGAAGATGCATCTTCCGGCGATTCGGAATCCTTCGTGTCCTCCACATCTTCCTCGGGTGTTGGTGCTACAAAGAAAAAGTATAGAAATATTAATATATTATATGGATAAAAGAAATGCGATTTTATCTGGCGGGTACAAACATCTCAAAAATGTTTTAGAAACGGTTAAAGAACTCTACTTGTTCTAGATGTCATCTAGATATCTCTGAGATGTTTTTCATATATATGTACTGAGTACGATTGTCTCTATGCACGGTATATGTTTTTCAAATAAAATGTTTTTAAATAACCGGTTAACAACATTAATTATTATTAATTAACGTTTAGCAACGTTGATACACTTACTGTTACTTCCGTCATCATCGTCCCTATTATCCTTGTCATCATCTATCGCTAAATCCTTCTCTTTTCTCACGTCTTCCTCACTATTTTCTTTTTCTCTTTGTTCTTTGTCATCTTCTATTTCCAACGTGTCTTGATAGAACTATAAAAGATAAATTTCATATTTATTGTTAATAATATTTTCAACAATGTACATATTCCTACACAAATGCTAAGATATCAAAACTAACATGAAGTGCTCTCCCTGCTTTATCGCGCGTTTTTCCTTTCTTCCTTAACAAATAATATACGTGCGCGGCTCGGATACGTCTGATATAACTTACCTTGAAATTTGGTTTCAGAGCAACCGGCGATTTATCCTCTGGATTTGAGGGCGAAGCAGGTGGTGGCGTACTCTCGCGATTCTCGGCAGTGGTAACTTCCTGCTTCTTGGCTTCTGAAGAACCGTCTTTCGTGATAGAAATTCTGCGTTTTCGTTTTCTTTGTTCTTTGCTCTTTGTAGACGCCGTGAGAGCATCCATGAACATATCACTCTCTTGCAGTACCATCGCTGGAAACAGAAAACAATGGAGTAATTAAAATTAATATCATATACAATGTAAGTAACAATTCGTAAATTGGAGATATATAAAATATATAGCTGTGTCTTTATATATCATAAGAATCATCAAAGAACAAAATATGTTAATATTCGATGCTAAGAAGTAACGCGTTACTTGCAGTTGTTGTATAACGGTAACGTTATACAACCGAATACAATCGTTATTTTGCACATGTAGAATAGATATACATGAGATAGGCGGCAATGAATTAAATACATAAATAAAAAAAATTCAAAACTTAGTGAAAATAGTAATGGAAAATGTGATGCCTTATTTGTTTTAAAATCATGATAACAGTAACGAGTTACTTTTAAAACATAACTTTTCTAATTCTGTTAACATTACACGATTAGAAAAAATATAAAAAGCTTATACATAAAACAGAAAATCTAGCTGGATCTGATTCTGAAAGATAAAAGATTTGATTATTAATATAAAATATATTATAATAGAAATATTTTCTGAATTAATACAACAGTCGTATGCACGAAAAATTTTGACAATTCTGACGTTAACTGTTTTATTAGAATGTACCTAGAATGGTAAGATTTTTTTAAATTGAAAAAAATATAAATTGTAATATAATTCAACTGCTTTCATTTTCCGATACCTGCAAATAAGAAACGGGTTTTTTATGTCAGTAATCAAGATTTTCATATTATACAACGATAACAATAATTTCCTGTTATGATAAAAATAGTTATTTTTTCAATATATCCTGTAAGAAAAAAATATTAATAAATTTCAAAAAAATTTTCCGTATTTTACATTCTGCATTTGTCCTACAACAGTTAAACAACAGTTAAAAATAAACAGTTAAAAATGAGTACAACAGTTAAAAATAATTAAAAACGATAATATTATCATATTTCAATGTTTTCAATTACACACAAACAAGGAGAAATTATACAAACATGGCATAAACGTGGAGGTTTCAAAAAATAATTCAGTATTTAAATATCTGGATTATATTCTATAGACTACCTATATAGACTATATCGTGTGTATCACTAAACTTATACTTTTCAAATAATAAATTAATCATTAAGAACCTATATGCATCTTTTTTTGATTAGTAATTTAATGGTTCTAGAATATATAATGAAAACAGCCGAATATAAGCATCTTTTTGAAACTTGAAACTTTGTAAACTGTTTTTAAACTACCTGTAAACTTTTATTATACTTTACATTTATAATACGCGATTATTTTCTTAATGATAATATAATGTATTTGTAGAATAAAAACGAACAAATATGGATAATTACGCGAATAAAAATTTTGCACAATTCCTAAAGATAAATGAAAATTAATCGTATCTTAATGTTATAAAAATGTATAAATTATAAAATAGATCTGCGTGATCTTTAATATTACATTTAAAAAGGTATTTAAAATATGAATTAATAATATTACTATTAAGATACGAATTAATAATTACGAATTAATAATTTGACATTGATTCTCAAGTCACTATAACCCAAGTAGAACAAAAAATCATGATGACATCAAAATGACAAGAAAATAACCGAATCATGATGAGAAAAAGTTTTCCTCATCATTTTGATATCATTTTGATGTCATCGTGATTTTCTGTTCTACCTGGGAATATCACCAATTCAAAACAAACATTAGGTATTATTTACATAAAATGATTGTATTTTATTATAAATAAAATAATTTATATTTATTCGTATAAATAAATATATATGTTCTATACACTAAATAATCATTATCAGTGATACATATACATACACATACACGCACACATATATAAACTTTTATTATAAATCAAATAATATTGCAATCAGTTATATTCGTAAAGAATTCGTAATAAAAGAATGTTGAAATAATTGTTACCGAACAATTGCATATAAATAACAAAAATTTAATTTTGATCTTTTTAATAATGAATAAATTAAATTTTTGTAATTTTTATGTCATAGAAATATTTTGTTTGAAAATATTTTGTCAGAAAAACATCTTCATGCCATAATTTATACGTTATGACAACCAAATATAACTCATATAATGTTTTTTTACAGTTATAATTTAACAAATAATTTCAAAAATTTGATTTTACTGAATTATATCAAAATACATGCAATTATCAATGGAATAAATTTATTGTTCATATGCATATTTTTTATCACATTTTTTATGAAACGTAGAATGGTTGTAGCACTTTTCACGCAAACGCTTTAATCAAGGAAGAGTATACGGGTTGTACATTTCGTTTTATTTTCATTGAAAAATTGATGCCTATGTTAAAATATGACATTCATTTGCTTCCTAAATTCCTTACGACTTTTGTTTCTGTAGAGCGTGTTTTATGCTTTAACGCCTTTAAAGATATACCCTGTTATTTACCGCCAATTATAAACAATGTACTGCTATAAAGCAAATAATTATAATCTCGCAAGTGTTTATCAGCTATTCAGCAACGGTTTCGTCAATATCGAGAGCAAAGAACATATATCTAAATTGCGTTATTACTTTATACAGATATACACTTCTTTCGTGCACTGTATACACATTGCATAAGTATAGTATAGTGTGTATATAATATATATAATATATATTTTTTTTCGAATGTAAACATATACCAATTATATTAATATATTTGTTTTCTTAGGATTTGTAGTTCTTTATAGTTCCGAGTTAACTTTGAAATAACGCTGCATAAATAATAATCAGCAAACAGATAATCAAAAAAATAATAAAATAATAAAGATAAATTATTTTTTTATGTTTCATTTAAAAGAACTGATCAAATACCTATATTTCAAACAAATTCGCTGTTAAATTATTTATCCTTTCCGCGTTATTTGATTAATTCTAATAAATTCTTGATACTGAAATTTGCAAAATATCGGGGGAAATATATGGTTTTATTGTCTTTTAAATAGTTTAAATAATGGAATTTAATATCAAATAAGATATATCATTTTTATAATGCTTGACTCTGTTAGCTTTTTCAGAGACATGTCGAGATCAATAATGATATTCTTGAAATATTCACAAGAGATGAGAAGTATTCTAAGCAGGCACAAAAAAAATACAACCCAATGTTAAATAAATAAATTGTATAGATAGAATTAGCAATGATTGTCTTTTTCATATAGATATCTATATAAATACAAAGTATCTTTCTTTACGGATCAATCATCTCTCGTAAAATCTCATATCACGCGCATTTCGAAACCTGTAACAAACATGATAATTACATAATGTACAGTCATTTAATATACGCGCGTGCAACGAAATATTCTTTTTGCCGTACTAGGCGAACAACTTTGACAGCGTGCATGAAAGCGGACGTCCCGCGGAAAGGAAGCGTCAAGTCCACGAGGTTGCGCAAAACCCGATGCGCACTGAACGGTTAGTACACACTGACAAAGCGCGGGACGTTAACTGCGATAGCATACGGGCGATGGACCACGTGCGTCGCCATAAAACGGTTGCAAAAACATTGACCTCCGCGCGAGGATACACGTGAACGCACGACAGCGCGTCTCAACCCTCGAATTCAGTCTTTCGTTTCGGATGAATCTGCGGCGAGCGTCCCATTCCAGGCGCAAAATCGGATGCGAAACGAAACGAACGTCGTCACCGTCATCGTCGTCGTTGGTCCAATCGGTCTCGCGTTTTTGTCACGCACCGTTTTATCCGTATTCTATTTTGGTTCCGGCACAGACGCGCGTCTGTATCTCGCGCCCGAACTTTAACTTTTTGATATCTCCTGCGATTTCTACAATTTTCGGCATATGAGGTCACAGCATCGTCGCCCCGAAATTTGTCGCGAGAACATACGTCACGGATAATCCAAGCGCCACGCGGAGCGCATATAAAAAAGTATCGATTGCTAAAATGCTCTAAAGACGATCAATTTGCCTCAAAATGTGATATGTAACCACGTAAATCGTCAAATCCGATTGTTGCGGCGACAAATTTCGAGAGAACCTCGGGGAGCAATGTTGTGAAGTTAATGAAATAAAATTAACCACGCTCGAGCCACAAATTTTGGAGTGCGATTTGCCTCTAAATCACCACTATCCCTCTGGTCTTTTGTTTCGATCAAGACGCGATCATTGACGAGGAAGCAGTTTCTTCGGCGGGCCGGTCAGAAACACGCCGGTTACAAGCTGTAAGGGGGTTTTGCTGGTCCTTAAAGGCCTTCTTGCTTGAGGACGTCGACGTGCAGCTTCAGAATTTGTGCACTTTCAGTAGTAGTACTTTCAATCCACGGGATCCACGTGTCATTCAGTGAAAAATGTCGCAGTGTTGCTCCCCTACGTACAATAACTTCTTGCGAATCTTTTCTTTCACTCGACCATTCGTGCTTTCTTCCGCTTTCGCTTTCTCCCCCCCCTCCCCTATCTTCGTTCTCTCCCTCCCATTCTCTCCCTCTCTTTCGCTCTATCTTCGTTCTCTCCCACATTCTCTCTCTCTCTCGCTTTCTCCCTATCAAAAGTGTCACTTGCCCCACGCAAATTTCAATTCTCTCTGATATATGCGTAAATATTTCATAAAAAAAGATTACAATGAAAATCGCATTTCGTCGAGATGCCTCGAACGATATATTTATGTTTCGATGGCAACATATCTGCAGAGTTGTCTCTATCATGTAAGTTAAAAAAAGGATAAGCCTGCTGTCCTCGTTAAAACTAATTATTCATTTCGAGAGACACGAATCTTAAGAATACTAATAAAACCAGAATTGCTTTTTTTCTTTTTTATCAAATTACTTCTTATATTCTGCATTTACGGTAGAAGAAAAAGAACAATCACCGAGAGGATGGAAATCTGGATGGGCCTACAGTACACGATTATTTTTGCTTCGTCAGCTTAAAAGCATTTAACAGCGAGCAAGAAGTATGTAGTATAGCAGAAACCCAAGAGTTAAATATTCCAGATTTCTGATAAAATTTATTTAAAATGTTTAAGTAGGGTGTACATGTATAAAGGGAAGAAATATTGGACAGACAAGACTTTGTGTTTTGTTGCCTTACCTAGTTAGAGTTTAGAGCTATTCCTGTGTGATGGCTCGATATCGATGCGTCACCCTGTCACACCGACGAGTCGGTGAGACTTCTGATACGAATATTTTGGTTCAACAGAAGAAAGCTACTAGTCGTATTTCTCCCGGTCCGCGTATGTATACAAGTATTATGTATACGTATATGTATATATAATATACACGATCCTCGTCGCACAAATGTGACACGGAATTAGAAGAATCATGCGCGAGTTCGCGCATTATGAATGAATATATTTTGTCGAAGATTACCTGCTGAATCTTCTTAATATATGAAAAACGCTCGTAGCAGAGTATTCCGATCCGATAATGTTCTTTGCTCTTCGTTCTTCGTTAATGAGATGTGCTAATTTTCGACGATCCGCATGAAATCCGCTAATTCTCCCATGCAGCAACGATCGTTACATCGGCTTATTATATCTTCTACAAGACACTAATAATAACTTTTGGGGAAAATATAAAGGGTGTAACTATTAAAGGGTATTATGCTAAGGAGATCTGGAAGAAATAATAAGTTAAAGATATTGTAAACAAATAAAGGTCCGATGCGGGACCATAATAGCAAAAGTGACGAATAAAAACTGTCGATAATATTCGCAATATGTAAAAACATCGCACATTAAATACTGGATCTGCTTGCGCTTCTCCTGGTACGATCCATCTGCAAACTCAATATTACAGAGTTAGTATTGGTAATGTGCAATATGCGGCGTGCCAATGTACAAAGTTAAACAGTCTATCTTTTGGCATCATTGATAAAGAGACAGATTTTACATGATAAATATACATTGAAAAATGATATAAAACAGAAAAGTAATATTCCTAATTGCAAAAATTAAGAAAACAGATATTGCATACATAAATATATACACATCAAAGATTATAATAAAAGCAACATAACATTCTCTCTTTGAGACAAAATATAGATGTCACAAAAAAAGTTTTCAAATAATTAATATATTATAAATTACCCAAATTATATAATAAAAACAAAAGTTATAAATATAAATATCGGTAATGTATTATAAAAATAAATCCGCTAGACGGTTGCAAAAAGATGTTTCATCAATTAAAAAAAACTTCAAAATTTTATATAAAATTTTAACATTTAACGCGCGCCCGTACACGTTTTTATATAACATTTGTATACAACAATGAATTATATTCTACATGTTGTCCCTACTATTTCTTTTTTTCTAGTGCATTTATAAAATATATTCATTCATATTTATTGAGAATATATTTATATACGACTTATATACATGTACTTCTTTCGAAAATGTATTTTCATCAGAGATATTTTCTAAATTATTATTTGCAGCTTTGTCATTAAGGAATCATGTTCCTCAATTAATGAAATTTCATGCAAGTCTGATATATTCTTACTTTTCTAATTGTTCCTAAATCTTAATTTTTTTTATTTATAGACTGTTTTATACTTATGAACATTGGCGATATGTTTACCTTTAGATTATGATAGATGTTATCTATATAAAAAATATAACAGAAAGATATTAATAAAAAGATTTGATGTAATAGGATACCAATATACTTACGTTTTGGTTTTGGTGGTATCAGCTTGATCCCGCCTTTTTTCTCCTCGGCCGGTGATGTCGGCGAGTCCAAAGACAGCTTCGCGCGCTTCTCCACCAGTGGAACGGTATCTCTTAGCGGCGATGGCCTCTTCAAAACGGGTAATTTTTGAGGTATGACCTTCTTGTCAACGACAGGATTCGGCTTCTTTGACCTCGGTGGCGGTGGCTTTACTTCTTCCTCTAGACCCGTGGATCGGAATTTTGAGTTGAACGTCTTCACAGTCTTCGGCCGTGTCATCGAGTCCTGACTATTTTTTCTACTCTCAATGGATATCGATATATTCTTCTTTTCGGGCATCGTGACAATCTTCTTCGACGAGTCCGTTGCCTTCTCTTTATTCTCCTTTGAGCTATCCCGTGAATCAGTCGAGGACTTTCTCCCGTTCGTATCGTTCGACTTTTCGTCCTCAGATCGTTTCTTCGGTATCTTGCCCAATTTGGAACTCAACGCCTGACCTTGCACCTTCTCCAGAGTCGCCTTATCCTTCTCCGCCTGATCTTTCTTCTGTTTCTCCTTCTCTCGCTCTTTATCTCGCTCAGATTTACTCTTATTCGTACTGTGCTTACTAGACGAACTAGAATGATGCTTATCTTTGTCCTTGGAAGACCTATCCTTATTAGAGCTGGAACTTTTTGAGCTACTACTACTAGAACCGGAACGATGACTGCTAGACTTATGAGAGCTAGCACGATGAGTACTGGAACTCGAACTGTGCTTAGAACTCTTGGACGATGAACTGTGATGATGACTACTACTTTTTTTGTCGGAGATGCTGCTGGACTTCTTTTCATCTTTTTTATGAGAGTCTCTATTCTCCTTATCACTAGACTTACTGCTATCACTATTAACAATGTCCTTAGAGTCCTTATTGTCTTTGTCCTTAACACTATCGGCATCGTGATTGTCCTTAGAACTAACTACAGTCTGTTTCACTTCACTGGATACATGTTCCGAATTGTTCAACTGTCTCGTTTCTACCACGTCATCCTGACCACTAATAGTACTAGCACTATCACTTTGCCGCGTTCTCTCCTCGATTTCCTCTGATTCTTCCTTCTTCACCTCCTGCTTGATCGAAAACGTAGTCACATTCGCAACATTTCCGTTAACTTCTATACCAGTGGTACTGGATGTATTCAGAACGTTGTTGATATTCGCAGGATCTGTTTCTACTTTCGCAAGAACCTGATTACCATCGCGAATAGTGATCTTGTAGACGGGAACCGACGACTGCGAAGATACAACAACAAAGGATTGCTTTTTACTTTGTTGCGTCGCCTGCTGCTGTATCTGCGCTTGCTGGGCTTTCCCGATAACTTGTAGTTGCACTGTTTGTGATTGTAGCCTCTCTTGTTGCTGCTGTTCTTGATTTTGTTGCTGGACTTGACCTGGTGTAGTACTTGCGGTAGATTGTTGAGTGAGCTTCAAGTCCTGCACATGGACGGTCGCGCTTTCGACAGCGTCTGCGTTTTGCTGAGCGCCAGAATAATGCTGTTGTTGTTGCGACGAAAGAACAACTCCAGTTTGTCCTCCAGCTATACTTGTCTGTACCGGAACTGTCATAATTTGAGCCGGTACAGAATTCGGCGCCGCTTCTCCCTTCACGATCTTCAACCATTGTTCGACCAGCCGACTGGCCAATAATCGTACTCCTTGATGACTACCCTCTTTCGACAAACCTTTGATCAATTTGGGACAATTATTACTCTTTAGCCGCTCAATGTCCACAGGGCAGAGTAATAGGAGTTCCAATAATTCCTGGATGAGGGCCCAATTTTTAGCAAGAATGCCATCCGTCAGCCATGTATGAATCAGATTCCATCCTCCAGCAGTCATAAACCTGTATAGTTGGGTTATAATCATTTGATTATATTTTGTATTATAAAATATTGTACTATATATTATATTGTATATGCAATACATTATGTATTGCACATTGTATTTCTTATCATGTTATTTCCCTTTCTGAATATTATCATAGAATAATATCATAGAGATATCTATAATATTATAGAATGTTATGTCGCATTATAAAAAGTACTATGCCAAGATTAAGTTACAAAGTTATCCTCATACGCAGTAATATAAGAATTAATTTTAAAGATATTAGAACTTATAATATGATTTTTAATAATGAGAAAATAATTATGCTTTTACAATTGTACTTACTTATTTTAAAGATTTCATATTTTTCTTACAAATTTAACAAATTACATTTAAATTTGAAAAATCAGGTATTTTTGTTTTTCTTTAATAATAAGTTTATAAATTATAAATAATTTTGAAATTGGTATAAGTAATTTCAAATTGGTTAATTGTCCCTTTAATTTATAAATTATAATTTATAAATAATAAGTGTAAGACTTGTATCAGTAAAAACGGTACAATGATAAGCACCGTCTAATGGTTCTAAGCCTTTCCTATTTATTCTTGCATGGTTTTTTCTTTTACGCAAATATATGAGAATTACATATACTTGTGCATCATTTCCACATGCTAAATGACAAATTTGAATATCAGAACAATAAAAATACTAGGAAAAGCTAATTTAATTGAAACTAGGATCTTAAATGGAACTTTTCTGGACAACTTCTCTTATTAACTGGTCAAACTCTATACATTTGTTCATTAATTTTAAACTAAACACTTACTGACTGAGTAAATCCGTATTTGTGGTTTTTAATATTTGTATATAAATGCATTTTGAAACAAGTTTCTTAGAAAACTTTGTCATTAAATTAGCTAATCGATGGACTTCTTCTTTACTTTTTATTCCTCCTGTTGGACCCAATAGAACACTGAGACATCTGAGTAAGGATAAAGGATCTATGCGTGGCTGAAAAAATAATTGAAGGAACATTCTTAACAAAATCACTATATAAAAACAAAGTATATTTTTTTACAACTTTAGAATTCAAAGATAAAACTTGCAATGAGAAAATGCAAGATATATGAATTTTACTATATTTTATATAAAGATACTTTGTTTATATAGTGATTATTAAGATAACTATAATTACAGTTATGTATTATACATGTATGTATGTATGTATGTACATAAATATATTTCATACATAATTAATCATTTGATCACTTGATTGTCTCAATACTATACTTGAAACATATTTAGGTAAAATTATACAATTTATATAAACAATACAAAAAAATACTATAAAAAAGCATATTAGTATATTTTTTTAATTTCTAAAGTTGAAATATAGGTAAAATTCTAAGAAAGGCACATTTTGCTTTATTAATCATTACATAAAAAACGCTTTTATATGCTCCTATAAAGTCAACCTTTTTTATCTATATGTTATTCTTTCTGAATATTAATGTTTTTTTACATTATCTAATCATAATTGTTGTGTACCGAATTACGAAAATTCATAGATTCAACATTATATATATTCATCTCGCGCGTGCAATAACTTGATAAGCAGAAAACATCTTAAAACGTGTCAGAAATTATGTGGCTTTCGTAACAGTAAAAATAGAGCACGAGGTCAAGGAAGATGTAAAGGTTATTGATCTCTTGCTACCGCCAAATACTTAGATGGCGCCGCGGCTTCTTGTACGGTCATGTAGGAAGCAACCACGCTTGAGCGACAAAATAATCAAATTACTCACCATTTTGTTGATATTCACGATGTTTCAGCACATTCTCCGTATCAGACATAAAATCACCGAGTATATCTGCAAAGAAACATGAAATATTTGACAATTATGTAGGGCGGTTTGCACGACTTCACATCCAATGCGCTTTCAACGCCATATTGCGTCGAGTCTAACGGTCGGGCACACAGAGAGAGAGAGAGTGAAAACGATGACGAAATGAGCGACAAGTATTTCTTCCCCTAAATCTCTCAATCTACGTTCCTCGATCGCGCGTTTAATCACAATTATATGATCCTCGACGAGACTAGGCCTTAATCTATAGTCCACAAGCGAGACTCGCGAGAGTCATAACGTACAATATTGAAGGCAAGCTAACGTCTCGAGTGTCCCAATTATTCTCGAAGGAACTTTTGCCTACCTAGCCTGTCCTACGTGGACTACAATTACGCAAATTATCATTCTGTTTGTAAAATGAGCGACGCTATGGCGGCAGGTCGGGACGGGCTGCGATCGTCGAGATGCTCAAAGATACGAGGGAAGATGCGAAAATTTCTCGATTACGATGACCGATGCCGCTCCTCACTCGTCAAACTGCAGCAGAGCACAGAGCGACCATCGCGCAACGACCGCGCGCACATCTCATCCATCCGCCTCGCACCGTCGACCAATCGTAACTACGAACGCGCCTCAACGTAGGCCAATAACGGTCGCGTACCCCACCCGATTAGCTTCGTTTCGTTTTCCATCGTGTGACGTAGCTCCGTTCTATTTATGTACAATGTCGTGAAACTTACAAATTTCACCTACCACATTGTACCTTGGAACGAACACTTTTCTTTTTTTTTTTCTTTTTCAGCACTTGTACAATTAACTCGTTCAGACAGAACTTCTCTTGACTTTTGAATGGCACTTGTACGAATCGATTTTTCTCGCTTCTTACTGCGAACTTCAGCTCACGTGAAATCGTTAATTCACGTATATTAAGTTACGTCACTAAATCTCAAAGTTATCCATCTGGATACCCGAGCGTACACGCCCTCTCGTCGGCATTGCGCCGAGCCGCTCATAATCACGCAAACTCAGATCTCTCTAATATCTTTAAAAAAAAATGTAAGCAGTCAGAATTCCCTTGATTTTCGGTCGTAACAGCTCACAGAAAATTGACCGATATCGTTATTCTCGTCGAGGACTTGCGATTCTTTTTCTCTCGTATATTCTGCTTTTGTTGGAAAATAGGAAAGCCACTCACATCGGATAAAAATTAAATCCTTTTTATGGAAAACAAATGTTCACTGTGTGGTGCATAAGAAACGGAACATTTCCTATACATGACAACGACGTGGCCCTACGACTCGCTTGATGAATCCTGCTGCTGCGCATCAAGAAACGCTACGAGAATCCTTTTCGTAATCCGTACTTATTTTGTTGTCGATTTGTCATCTGCAATGAAACTTCGTTTAGAAACGATCGCCGTTACTGTTGAGTCCGTTCTCTTCTATTATTTCGCTCTATCGCTGTAAGAATTATTCTCCTAATTTATATAAGACGATGCTTACCCTAACTGCGTAAAATCTGCTCCACGTATAAACCGGAAGTGTGACAACATGGATGCGCTCGTTTTCACTATGAGAGTCAAGTGCGATACTAGCTCCTCACATTAAATCCACCGCAGGATGCGCGTTTGCTCCTACTGGCTCGCTCATGTACCATCTCTTTCTGAAATTACTAGAAATTCACTATTTATTTGTAAAGATTCTAGTGGAAAGTAGTAATATTTTTAGGAATTTTATAGTTGGTGAAATGCTCACATGCGAATCGATAGAAAATAATCTGTATGTCATATACACGCAGGCTTTAAACTATTATGCTGCATTAACATCTTCGTCCTTTGATATAAATATATAATTTATGATTTGAACAAATTTAATAATGTTAAATTATGTTTTTTATTACTTGTTACAATATTATATACATATTCTATATTTAAATGGTCAATTTAGATGGTCTGTTAGATTCTATGACGTAAAGAGTATGACACACATCATACGCACCAAGTCAATAATATTACTTTTCATGCAAGCAAAATAAAATATGAAATACTGAAAAGTACGACAATATCTCTTTTTATTTAATTAAGTTTATTATTGTATGTTATAATACAATTCATTTATGTTTAATAATTTCGTGAAAAATATAGATTTTTGGGCGACTCAATGGAAATAATACGTTAGTCAAATACCATGCGTTTTCTTGTCAATGACATATATATAATTATGCAATAAATAATATACTAATTTTTTAATAATATTCCGTAATTCAAATTCAGGAATTATTTATTTGGATACATTTTTCGTCATTATCGTTACTGTTAAAATTTTTAGGTTATTTAATCCGTGCGTGATCGAGTGTGGTTATACATATATTTGTATAAAATAACACAATTCTACATCGTGTGGTTTGACAATTTTTGCAATTATCTTACCGAACATGTCGATTTTAAACACGTTATATCGAATGGGAACATTAGTACGAGCGAACTTACCTTATAAAGTAAGTCCGTTAAATAGTAGATCATAAGATAAAAAATAATCTTCCCTAGGAATAAATTATTTGCAGTTGGATCCAGTAAGATCTATTACATATTCATTTATACGTTTTACTGAAAATGCTGAGAAAGAGGACACTCTGCAAGATACAAATGCTACTGAAGACAATGAACCTATAGTTACTCGCAAACAGGTTTCAGTGGAAACAAGTATCAAGTATATGACAAGTGATGGTAAATAATTCTTGATATACTTTAACATGGGATCATCATTTTGTAAATGTAAATATAAATATTATTATTGTAAAACTTAGCTTACAAGCAAACTTATGGGAATAATCCAGTATGGAAACTTTATAAAAGAAATCATAAAGGATTGTTTCCTCCTACGAAAACAAGAAAAACTTGTATAGTAAGTATGGAAGCTTATATAATATGTATTACATTTATTGTAATATTCTCAAAAACATTTTGTAAAATTTAGAGAAAAGATAAAATCTGTGGAAATCCTTGTCCCATATGTAGAGATGAATATCTTATATTAGATCATAGAAACATCAAGTTACTTGAACAGTTTATCGATATATATAATGGAAATGTTCTGAGTTACCAGTAAGTACAATGTACAAATTTTGTCATTTTAATATTTTTATGTTATCTATTTATATTATATAACTATTTATGTTTTAATTTTTACATAAATGTCATTTAAATATTCTCAGAAAAACAGGTGTCTGTCAAAAGAAGCACAAGGAACTTTTAGTTGCATTAACTAAGGCTAAGGATTATGGTATCATCACATTTGATGTTGCTATAAGGCAGTATGATTATTCAGAATGGCAGCAAACAAGTAACAAATAATCTTTGATTATTAATGTCATTGTTTGCTCATTAAATGGATATAACTGTAAGCCATAAAGAAGAAATGGAATGCACATTTGCTGTAGTGGGAGGTGGAATTGCAGGAGTATCATGTGCTGAAGGATTAAGTTTCCTTTATCCAGAGGAAAGCATAATTTTGATCACTGCTAGTCCTCTGGTGAAAGCTGTAATGAATATAGTTCCTCTTGGCAAAACGTTAATGCATTTTGACATAGAAGAAAAAAGCGCTGTAACTTTGGGTGACAAACACAAAATGTTACAAGTTATTCAAGATACTGTAATCAAGATCGATACGATCAAGAAGCTTATAGAAACTCGCAACAAAAAGATCATCAACTTTAAAATGCTATGCCTTTGTACTGGCGCGAGTCCTAAATTGATAGCGGAAAATAACAATTTTGTCATAGGTATTCGTGATACAGAGTCCGTAGTGCAGTTTTCTCAGAAATTAAAAAATGCCAAAAGAGTTATTATCATCGGCAACGGAGGAATCGCTACCGAAATCGTGCACGAAGTAAAAGACGTCGAGATAATTTGGGTGATCAAAGACAAACATATTTCGGCTACCTTCGTCGATCCCGGAGCCGCCGAATTCTTTTTGAATAAGATATCCAAGTCCAATACATCAGAAAACCTGACTAAGGATGTACCGACCAAAAGAATGAGATATGTAATATCAGATAGCACACCGATTAAAAACGGAGCCGCTCTTGGTCCAGATTGGCACAGCAGTTTTGACATGAGTGGCACACTTGTTGAATCCACAAACATACAAGTTGAATACGAATGCGAAGTATCAAGATTATTTACTCCCGACGAACAGAAACTACTTGGTTCTTCTATGGAAGAATGGCCGATCTATGTGCAACTAACGAATGGAAAAATTATTGGATGCGATCTTATTATCTCGGCCACAGGTGTCATTCCAAATTCCGACATATGTGGACTGGAAAATCTCGAGAGAGGAGAGGATGCTGGATTATTAGTAGATTGGAAGTTGGAAACTTCGCAGAAAGATATTTACGCTGCTGGAGACGTGTGCACTGCGAATTGGCCAAGAGCGAAACATTGGTTTCAGATGCGGCTCTGGACACAAGCTCATCAGATGGGTCGTTACGCCGCGAAGTCGATGGTCTCGCGCTTAAAACATGAAGATTTTCTACAAGATTTTTGCTTCGAACTCTTCACTCATGTGACCAAATTCTTCAATTATAAAGTTGTCCTACTCGGTTTGTACAATGGACAGACTTTGGGAAAAAATTACGAGATACTTTTACGGATCACTAAAGACCAAGAGTATATTAAAATTATTCTACAAGATGGCAAGATGCAAGGTGCAGTGCTCATTGGAGAAACGGACTTGGAGGAAATGTGTGAAAATCTAATACTCAATCAATTGGACTTGAGTATGTATGGAGAAGAACTGTTAAATCCTGATATCGACATTGAAGACTATTTCGATTGATGAAATATTCATTTTTTTTTTATTAATGTGCATTACATTTGTTTGTAAATGTGGACGTATTGAATTTATGCAATAAAATTTAATTCAACATGGATATATCATCAATTTTCATTACATTTTGCCTATAAAGATTTATTGTCACTTATGGCACATAAAGATACAAATAACTTTACAAAATCCTTATAGTCTTTATAATTTTGCAGTCTTGTATAAACATAAATTTTATTTATATAGAAAATAAAAGATTAGATTTTAACTTTTAAATTGGAAAATTTAAAGCTTACTCTCGTAACGAATCATGTGGAATAATATACTGTTAATCAACTTCGAGTTTACATACACAATATACAATTTGCATTTTATAAATTATATTATGTATTCTTTGATCCACTGCTAAAATGTATACTGTGCACATGGATTTATTATATCTTAAAATTTTATTCCCGAGCTCTCTCTTTCTCTCTTTCTCTCTCTCTCTCTCTCTCTCTCTCTCAATATAATTGTTTAACAATGGTTTCGATAGGATCAAAATAAAATGAAAAATATGAAACAAGCAACACTATAAAATAATGCAAAAGCTGAAGGCATATTCCAAGGAATGGTTCGAAATCGTTTTTTATTGATATAATCCTACTAAGTCCAAATTTTGATATTAAATAAATAAAACGAAATTTGTCTCATAAAATTCACGCAGTTGTCGCGTTAAAAATTGAACTTACTGAAATAATATATTGATTTTAATTTTTGATTTAAAATACATTAAAACAAATAAATTAATAAAATGCTTGGTACGATTCTGCTTACATCTAAGATATAAAATGTCATCTATCATATTACTCCGATATCATTTTCCTCATGAAATGTTTTTGAATAGCGATGTTCAAAAATAATAACTAAGTTTTAAGTCCCTTTTCTTTTACTAAGTTTACTGATTTCTCGTTTCGTCAAATCTCACATTCTTTGGAACGTTCGCGGCTTTTGCATCTAACGCAACATTATTTTGCACGTTAGATTTAGTCGGCAGCGTATTTTGATTTAAATAACTTTTAGCATCGCCTTCTGTTTTGTCACTAGACTCGGCGTTGTCTATTGAATTTGTACTTTTTTCTTTATACTCAAGATTTTCTTTTTGGATGATATTTTGTATATTAGATATCTCAATAACAGTGTCGTTAGCGCTGCTTATAGAATTTGTGCTCATCTCTTCGCACTCATTGAGGTCTTTACTTTGAAAGATGTTCTTTAACGTCTCGACAACATCCTGCATTTTAGTTAATGATTGGACAATCGGTGTAGTATTGTATGTTTGGTACTGGTGACACAACTTGTTCAACGTTTTTGTTGCCACTTCTATTTGAGTAAGACACACATTTATATCTTCTTGTTGATTATGTGATGTTATGATGGATGTTTGATCGTGCAATGTCGCTTCTAGCATAGATTCATCCATGGAAAATTGATGAACACTCTCATTCATTTCCTTCTTCATAGGTGCTATATTTATCGAGATTCGACTATTGTTCAAAGAGTCCTCAAACACTTCCGTTTCATCGTAAGGTTCCCAATCACCATCAAGATCTCGTAATTCCTTCATTGAATCTTCAATATCACAATTCCTCAAATGATGAACCCAATCGAGAAAGTCCATCGGTTGCAACAATGTTTCCATCATCCGTGTTCTATCGCGAACGCGCACCACTGGCTGCAGTTTCTTTTTTACTATTATTTGTTGTTGATCGAATTCCTAAAAGAAAATTAAAATTACTTAACTCTTAAAAGAAACAACGCTATGAATGAAATAAATGTTATATACGTTCAGGAGGACTAATATCACATAATCGTTATATACATAAATATTTTCATGTGCAATTTATTATGAAATAACTTACATAATCGAATCCGAATTCTTTGCAACGCTGAGTCGCTTCTTTAACGAATATCTGCATCTCGTGCAAACTAATTCCACCAGTGTTCATAGCTTCCTTACTAAGCTTCATCTTAAGCGCGACTTCGATATCTGCTGTTTTCTCGTTCAAAATTTTTTCTAATTCTTGCAAAAAATTCGATTTGTATGGTGACAATTTCGCATGGCTCTGTTCTAGTTGTATCTTTTTGATCTTATTATTCGTCTCCACTTCTGTGACGAGTAGTTCTTTTTCTAATTCTAATTCTTTTTTCCTACGATTAATCTGCTCGAGTGCATGCTTCTGTTCTTCTAAAGTAGAGCCAAGGACTTCGATTTTGCGTTCGTACGTTGATTTTTGCGAACCAAGTTGCAATTCTACCTCTCGCTTGGCGTTCTCCAGTTCTTTTATTGCTTTTTGTTTCGATTCCTCCAGTTCTGCTCTTAATCTATATGAAAAACATTATAAAATAAATATGAAAAAGTATGTGATAATTCTTATTCTACGTGCGGTACATACTTTTCTTCTTGTATTCGAAGAATTTCCTGATGTGCAAACTCGTAGTCGATTGCCTGTGCGGAAAGCTTGATGTTACACGGTTCATCGTATGGATTTAGGACTTTAAAATAATGATTACCACCAATGACCAGGCGATCTCCATGTTTAAGCATAACTTTTCCAGTTACTATCTGAAACATGGAAAAAATATTTCATCCAGTAAGAAATAAATATTTGTATATAAATTAATGTAAACTTATGTATAATTAACAAGTTGTCAGCTATTAATTTTGGATTAATAAAACTTTAGTTAACAATTCGTTTACTAGTAATGGACTAGAAATAACTGATCTAAAATTAAAAACATAACAATATTCACTATCAATACCTGACCATTGACGTATGTATCACCGTCCATTTCAGGCGTCAAAACTAATTTTCCCTCGTTATTTTCGATGGAACTGTGAAAAAAAAAGTAAACATTAATTGTAGGAACCATGCAAAAGAAAAAAAAAACAATTGTACATGAGTATTAATAAGATGTTTTACAAATATTCAGCAAAAGAGTTGGTAATGAATGTTAAATATATCTTGATGAATATTCAATTTCCGAAAAATGAAATATACACAAACATAAATTATTGCACAAATAAGCCACTGTATGTTTTTGCAATTAAAATATTATTCATAAATTTAGATTCTCTTTTTACGCATTCCATAAAATTAGCAATTTTTAATATGCCCTGTACAATAAAATATAATTAATGAATGAATTAAATTAGAAAGTGTAACTATAACCAGAAATAGAATATATGTATGAATCATATCATATCATGGGAGGAAATGCTCATGCGGTTATAATATTAAAAATATGCGCCACATCCTCATTAAACAATAGAACAATTTCTCCGTAGTTACAGTCCACCTTGATTTGCTGCACAACAATAGCGTCATTAAACATGCATTAATATTAGAAACAATTTCGACATAAGAAGTAAAGAATGGTGCAATATATATCTGTGCTGATAAGTAGAAATATGAGTATATTGCTCAATCAAATACACTTGACAAAAGAGAAAGGTCAGCACACCGATATGTAGAAATATGAGACAGAACGATAAAACACAGTTGTGAGCAGACTTGATAAAAGAGAAAACTCAGCAGTGATCTTAGCAAAATATACACTTCTCCTCTCCCTCTCTCTCTCTCTCTCTCTCTCTCTCTCTCTCTCTCTCTCTCTCTCTCTCTCTCTCTCTCTCTCTCTCTCTCTCTCTCTCTCTCTCTCTCTCTCTCTCTCTCTCTCTCTCTCTCTATCTTCTCTTTCTTACTTCCGCAATTCTTCCTGGCCTGTTCAAACATTAAATACACAACATACATGCATACGCACACAGTCTATAACTAACCAGTGTAACTCTTTAACAAGAGGTCCATCCAACATGATATCCACTTTTCTGCGGACAGTTTCCGATCCGCTATTCCTACCAACATTAACCAGACCTGGAGGTAAAACATACAAAAGTGTGCCCGACAACATAGGATCAGCTGCAAGGTTTACGAGACAAGGCTGCTTATCCCGTTCATGAAAATCGATCTCGATAGCGATTCCGCAACGACGTAAATATTTCAGCTCGGTGCTCTTTCTCTCCTCTGCTTTTTGAAACTTTTCGCGCCAACTCCTGTAATTATATATAGCTAACCATTAAGTCTCATCTATATTCAATGTGCCTTCAAAAAATCGCAAATAAAATACGCAAGATTTATGCAGATCGAATGATAGAATGATACCGAGTCGATTAACAATTAGCTTCATTTTGCCTATACATTTCCCTGAAATCAGATAAATTATCATACCACAACAAAATTAATTCAACATTAACTGAGAATGATAAATACACTCGTAATATCCATATTTTAGAATCATATCCTACTAAAAACCATATTAAACTATCGTGACTCACATAGAAACTTTTCTCTTCGTTCAAACAATTAATAGAAAATTATCGATATTAATATCTCATCAGAACTGCTATTAAATTATTATTATTTCCTTCATAATCATTTTCTTAAATGAAAATCAATTTATTTTCACTTACATCTGAGTAGTGGCCAGCTGTTCCTCCGTTTTCTTCAACTGATTCTTCAGTTTATCAATCTCTCTTTGCTTTCGTTGAACTTCGTCGTCAGACTGATGAATCGGCTCGATACAATCGAGCAGTCGACGAGGTATAACTCCAAGTTGTTTTTCATAGCCCTCACGTACCCCACGTAAACGTAGAACTTCAGCTTTCAATTCGCTATCAGGATAAGGTAAATTATGAAAATCTTATATATGCAGTTCTTGCTTTGTAAATTGTCCCATTTAATATTCTATTCATATCAAGTTAAACTGTACAAAGAATATCTTACCGTATTAGCCGGTCATGCGGATCCTCGTTGACACGAATTCGATTGACTATTGCTCTAGCCTGGCATGCATATCGAAGAGTAGCCAAAGTTTCTTCTATATGGATGTTGGCCGGTGATATCGTCCCGAGCATCGCCGTCCGTGAATTTCCTCCCAAGCTCTCCTGCAAAGAGATTATTTACATTAGACAACTCACTGAAGAAGCATCTGCATATTTTGCAAACGTTACATTATCAAAATCTGCGGTATAGAGACAAATGCAATCAATTTACCAAATACAAACATATTTAGATTTAAGTGCTTTTGCACACAATGTAATCTGTGGCGTTTCAAGCACCACAACTGTGTTTATTTATGTTCTTCCTTATTTTTAATTCTAACGCAGTCTGTATAAGCGGAGAACTGTAGCAAACGTAATAATAAGCACGATAAACATCAACAGCAGCGAATGTAATCTAATCATTTACGAATTATATTGTTACTTATCGATATATATGCTATCATTCATTGGTTAATCGCAAATTGTTTCTTTAAACAGCATAAGATGATGGATGATAATATTTCAAGGGCTGGATTCTTCTTATATATATATCTCTTATTTTCCTGCTCCTCGAGATGTTTGTAGATTTCGATTTAAATTTTTATCTATCAGAGTTGTACTTTCCTTGCACATTTTGCAGCTCTTGATTTTTAAGCTTTGACTCGTAAATATATCTCATCATGTGCTATCTCGCGGTTAAAAGTTAAAGTTGTTTCCTTTCTCTCTCTATTCGTACCTTCTTAAAACGAAGAAGTTGCATTTTTCTAACGATCGAAATTTTTCCATCCGCGTTAATATCATCGTTTTATCATAGTTCATAAAAAAGAAAGTACTTTTTTCACGAAAAATTAAAATAAACAATCCTATATCTTAGTTCTATATTGCTTTATTACTTTTGTTCGTTAGTTATCGTTTAACGAGTAATCTAATCGAATATCGAATATTGGAAATAGGGAGAAAATTCGGCATCAATATGATTTTGTTCATATTTCTTCTTTTCTTTGCGTTACGTTATTCAAAGAGAATGCCAATGTGTATAATTTTCGAACTATTCAAATAATTTCGTTAATCTAATTTCACGACTTGCGATGCATATCATAATTATGTCATATATATATATGAGTGAAAAAGCAATTAGCGAATCTGTCAATCATAAAGCTTTATCGCTATCAAGATACATGTATATCCATCGTGCAATTTTTATCTCTATATCAATGGATCTTAATGAAAGTTTTGTTTTCACATACAAAGCGTACGATACCGTCAAGGTAGATATGTCAAGAAAGAAAGCACATTTGCTAAAAGATAAAATATTTTGCACAAATAAGCCGGTTACATTGTGTCTCGATATCATAATCATTTACGTATGATCACTGTTTCTATTTACGAAGAATAATATCTATCTTTTGTAGAAAGGAGTACGATTGTTGCAGGAAATGCAGAGAAATCTGCTTTCTCTTTATACATACGTATATGCGTAAAAGATAAATATTATTGCGTAATGTACTTTTTTAATACATCGTGTTTCAATAATTACATAACAACTTCAATTGCATTTGCTTCTTATATGTTTTATGCCGGGGATACTTTTGCGCTTGAAATTCAAATTGGGAACATCGCATTAAAGTATTCATATAACGTTGATATTTCTAATCTTTTATCTGTTGCCCTCTTGCCTCAACCTTTAACCTCAGTGTGAGGAATAAGCAGCTGTCAAACTTTGGAAAATACAGTGCATACAGCGTATAAAGCGTCTATCTTCAGTCGCAAAAATACACCTGAGCGCCGTGCAAAGTACGGCGTAGATCGTAAAAGAGATGCACGCGCCGTCACGCACGTATGCACGCGCGAGCGGTGCGTACGCAGTACGAGTGGATCTCTTTGTCGCGCGCACGCGCGTGGGACACCTTTTGCGAATCGCGCGCGATTCAAGAGAACGCGGTGAAGGTGATTGGCGGAGCGCAAGGTGGGGCATCCACCACGAGAAACGGAATCTACGTTCGTTTCTGAAGGACAGAAAGATGCGTTACAAAAGTTCGTAATGGAGAAGGGATCGGACAGGGAGCAAAGAGAGAGAGAGAAAGAGAGAGAGAGAGAGAGAGAGAGAGAGAGAGAGAGAGGGGGAGGGAGAGGGAGTGCAGGGGCGGACGGCGGAGCGAAGTGGGGAAGCAGATAAACATTATTACGCGCGTTCGGCGTCCACGCATCTTTAGTCGAAAGCAAAACACGTTCAAGCTGAAGTTTCTTGCCAAACAGTCGTCGCATTCCCGCTTCGCACGCTAACACGAAGAACCACATTTTCTTTCTACCGCCAAAGCATTCGACGGCGTCGACGTGACGCACATCATCGACGCATACGACGACGCAGTTTCAACGTCCGATCTCGTTCGTTGCGCACACGAACTTGAACTTATCAATACGAATGCACATTGCCGCATCAACGAGATACCGCCGGTATTCTTTTCTTTTTCTTTTTCTTTCACGCGGTCACGTTACGACGGCACGTAAGGGCACGTCGCGGCTTAAAATAGACCGAGAAAGAGAGCGAAGGGAGAGAGAGGGAGAAACGACAAGCTGAGAGGCCGCGACCGCGACGACAACAGGTTTAACGCCAAGAGCGCCGATAAGTGCGGAAAATTAGCGCCAAGATTTCACGCAGAACGCTCCGTTGACGCGCATATATCACCGATATCGTGATATTCATTCTCTGCCGCCCTGCGAACAGAGAAATCGAATTTTCCGCTGGTAGGAGGAAGAGTAATGCCTGAGCGCGCAAGTCGTTGATGAGAAACGCGATAGATCGCCGCTAATTAACACTCGCCACCTGTTGATCAAAGAGTCATGGATCTCGTCTACATGCCGGAAGTGTTTATCTACGGATCCTTCAGGAGCCCCCAGTACCGCGATTACGAGCTGTCCTGGAACAAGGAGTACCTCCACAACAGTGAGTAGAACTCAGCGTATGTAACCGGTAATGGCGAGTAAGATGATTAAAAAAATTTATGCACAATGGCCTTCTATGATAGAAACAGGACTGATAAGAACATAATCACCATACATATAGCGGATAAAAAAGAAAACCCTAGTACAATACGTCTTTTTCAAGATAACTGTATTATCTTCTGAACTTTTGTTTGACAAATTCGTCTGATTTATGTATCTCTTTTTATCTTTATACGTAGATCTGTGTTCCCCCAAGGTATGAATATGCAAATAGATTACATAAAACATTTCGTGCACGCGTGGCGATGTTATTTGCTCGTCTGCGAAATTGTTGATAAAGAAACGGTATAGTCGGAGTTTTTCAAAAAGGTCGCGGTACTCTTCAATTTGACGAGTTTCGGAACAAATGAAGATCATGCACGATCGTACGTTACGATCACGATTTTCAAGCACCGATTTTCAAACACATAGAAGAGAGAAACCTGTTGCGAACTTTTTGCCGTCGAATGACGTTTCAGCGAAACGATGTTTTCCGTTGCTCACTGCACGTGCCGCTGTTGTCGATGTCTTCCAGTATATAATAAACTGGTAATCACAAATATGCATTACAACATCATAGTAACAGTAAATCATAACTGACGGCGTTTCGTTGCAAATTACACTTACAATTAATCGTCATATGCGCCGTGCGCTTCTTTGGACCACCATACAAGGTGCCCCAGAAGAGAACAAAAGACTGTTCACACAAAACAAAAAGACAAATGTTCAAACACAAATTTATCGAGTAATCTGGATGTGATTTTACCTAAATGGGAATCTCATAAATAACAACAACCTCTGGGTTAAGAATGAATGAAGCACGAATTAACCTTTTGGAGCTGTTAACTAGCAGCAAAGCCTTATTTTTTAGTAAACTCGGAGAGGAAATTACCTTCTTCGCTGCGGCAGCTCTTAATTAAACTCTCTTATTTTAAAGACACACGTATGATAAAGAGTTGAGATCTTATCAAAGCGAAAGATTACAAGAATCGTAAAAAAATTGTCTCTTGTGGAATTTTTTTTTTTTTTTCACGAAACAAGTGACTTTAGAACTGGTAAAAAAGCCGCGGCAGAAGCTATTGCGTTTCATGTTCGTGTTAGATGAGATCAACGCGATAATATACGTAACCTCATAAAAGTGTTAGATATGTCGTATATCAGATTAGTAATCTGTTTGCTTGTATAGTCTTCGCGAGTATTGTGCAAAACATCTATCGACGTATATATATTGAAGATATGCGTATATCAATGTACTAAAACTTAATCCCATAATCATCGTGTTCATTCCGCAGAGTTAGATAAGAAAATTTTATGATCCAGACCAGCAAAATATTTTTAAATATAAATTACGAACGCACATTGTGATAAATATCACGTGTAATTTTTGCAACGAAAAATAATCACAAAACAATTTAATAGGTCAAACAGCGTGTAGAATTGTTTCGAATATATTCACGGAACGTTTCTCTATGGAATATATTATTTTTTCTTTATTAGAATAGGATGAACGAAAATTGCGGAAATTATAACTGAATATATCGGCATTATAGGAATTTTTATCGGAAGTTATGGGAAATTTGCAGAAATTGTGATAGCTTGTTAGTTCTGACGTAACATATATAAGTGGATATGTAAATTACACTCATCGATAATAACGTAAATTCAGAGAAACGTAAATATAGCAAAAAAACTACGGCAAATAATAGTTATCTTTGTACAGCGCAAAAAGTGCGTTGCGCATTTATTCCACGAAGTGCGTATGTTACGAAAGACAACATAGAATGAATGAAAGAAAGAGAGAGAGAGTCACAAACTAATATTATTAAAAGATAAAAATGATAAACTATATCTTTGAAATAAAAGTGTAAACAGCGTTACATATATTACATATGTCCACCTATTCATGTAGCAAAAAGTGATAAAACGCTCCGAGGGCCGAATGAACTTTTCCATTGTATCACAAATTTTTGCCAAAATTCATCTTCTAAATTTTTACGGATACACTTATAATACGCGTAGAAAAATGAGCATTGATCTTTTCGCCATATGGATTTTTCACGAATGAAAATATTCTCACGGATAAATTAGAGTAACAAAAATCTCTTTCGAAAGAATTTTTCCACGATGTTACTTTCGTGGGTTCGTCCTACGTGCTGCAATTATTGTCGTAGGATTTAAATGCGTTGTAGAATATAATCGTATCACCGTGTTTGTCTGAATAAATTAAGGACGACGTCACGTGTCATTATATATGCATTCCTTAAGTCTGATGCCAGGTTCAAAAGAAACACGTTGGTACTCCGTCAATATATTTTTATACATCATGTAAGGAATACCACGTAGCGGAATATTTAACTCCCGCTATATTATTATTAATTATCATATCAGGTCGTGCCGTTAGTGTCTGAATACCTAAATATAATATATCACGTTTCGAGCGTTCACGGCAAAAACAACAATGTTATCAGAAATCCTGGATCCATAATCGTAAATCGCGTTCACAGTCAATATCGAACGCGCTTACAGCCATATGGTACTCATGGCCCTATATTATTCTTCTGGATAAATAACCATTTCGAAACGTGGCGATTTACTCGAGTAATCAACTCTCATCCGAGCGCACGTTAGTCATTTATCAGAAAAGTTTAAAAAGAAAATAGCTATAATTTTTTGTTCTCTTCATATTAGAGGAACGAAGAGCGTGTTATACCGAGACCACCCGGGTCACCCAATTTTTTCGTTAACGCGACATTTTAGAAAAAAATATTTCAGACAGAAGTTGTAGGGCTTCAAAAGATCTATTTACTGACGCTATAAATTTGACTTTGGGATAACCCTGGAAAGTCCAGTTAAAATCAACATAAAAATCTTAAATGGATACCCAAATTTTTTATTACATCATCTTTTTCTAGAAATTAATTTGAACAACTTTTGCCTGAAACATTTTTTTATTTATCTAATCTTTTTTGAGATATTTAAGGAAAACTTGATAACTTTTTCAATATTTAACTCACGATATCTCACTAACTATTTGTCAGAAGAAAAAATGATACTATACTTTTTTGCTCTATTTAGTCTCAAGAATATATTTTTACAATAGTTGCTGATTTTTGGAGTAATACTTGCTGAGTTTTAGAAATTTCAAAATCATCAAATTAACCAAATTCAAGGCGTTATTGAAACAATATATTCTTGAGACTAAATAGAGCAAAAAAGTTTAGTACCACTTTTTCTTCTGACAAATAGCGAAATATCGTGAATTAAATATTGAAGAAGTTTTCAAGTTTTTCTTAAATATCTTAAAAAATATAGGTAAATAAAAATATGTAAATAAAATAGGTAAATAAAAAAATGTTTCAGATAAAAGTTGTTCAAATTAATTGTTAGAAAAAGATGATGTAATAAAAAATTGGGGTATCCATTTAAGATTTTTATGTTGATCTTGACTGGACTTTTGAATGTTATCCCAAGGTCAAATTCATAGCGTCAGTAAATAGATCCTTTAAAGCTCTACAACTCTTGTCTGAAATATTCTTCTCTAAAATGTCGCGTTAATAAAAAAATCGGATGACCCGGGTGGTCTGAAACACCCGGTATATTTAAATATTTATCAGCCTCTGTTTATGTCTACGCTGTAACGAAATGCGCGTTACATAATTATGTCTTATCAATGACGTTGAATATACTTCTTCGAAACACGTATGTTTATATTCATGGTCTCTATATTCAAGCAGACGTTGTTTCTTTTCCTTATCCGCAAAAAAAATATATACCGAATACGATGCTTCAATTCGCACGTTTAGCGCACACAAGTCTAGTATTGACGTGGGACAAATAAAAAGATGCATTATCGCGCTCTAGATAAACTCTAGCGATCAGATATATCAGATAAAATTAGATATTACTGTTGAGATATTAGATAATACTATTTTTTTATTTAAAAATTATTTAAAATTTGTTATACTTAAAAAAATTTATTTTACTTAAAAAAAAGATTACTTAAAAAAAAAATTTGCTTGCATACAGTTCGATTCAAGAAACCAAGATTACGTTATGAAGACTATACACGCACCCTTGAAGATATCGCGATATTTAACTAGTTGATGACATAAATCTAATGATACGTGTATGAATGTTAATACAATTATGTTGAAACACGTTGTTGTTACGAATGTTAATATACGTGTATGAATGTTAATGTAACTAAAATTACTATTATTAATTATTTTATTAATTATATTATTATTTTAGTAGGATTTTGGAATTTAATTCTTTTTTATCGTGCTAAGAAGTCACGTTCTACGATTTTGGTTGTTCTAACATCCAGTCTATGTCATACGCAACTCTACGTTACCACAGCATACGCGTGCCTATTTTTAGCTGCTTTTTCTTTAGGCGACCATACACTCTGCATGACCCGAATCGCGTTTTAAGCCGAGAAAACGATCTTTCGATGTGGGCTGTTTACTTTTTCCTCTTCCTTCTCCTCGACAGTTTATTGCGAATAAATATTAATTTTTTTCCTTTCAATGTGACGTGATAACTCTGACTCGCGTAATCGGTTGATTACGGGCGAGTTAAATGTGTTTCAGTAAATTTCCTTTCTGCTGGTCCGACCACAATAACAAATGGATGATCTGTTTTTCGGAAGACATTACGGAAAATATTTGTTTGGCTCCCTCGAATCATGAATCGGGTATCGGGTATCGAATTAATCATTATCCAAACACGACTCGAGAATCATGCTGATACTTGTTTGTTATACGCTTCGACGGCTATTCAATGATATATCCGAGTTTTTCTCAGACAGACTGATTGCCGTTGCTCAAAAATGCAATCGTGCAGCACTACACGTGTACACGTGCGATACCGCACATCGGAGCTTCCCAGTTGAAATTTTTTTCTTTATTAACATATCGGACGCCGTGACGGTCACCATGTGCTGCGATGCTTGACTGTCTTGTCGAAATACCGTAATTGCCGATTACATGTTTACATATACTTTCTATAAAAAAATTATATATATACATATATATGTTATAAAAATATTATTACATTTCAATATACAATTGTAACACACCTGCATGTAAAAGAATTTAAATGAGAGGTATTCCGTTTATTTGTTTTTCAATTAACATCTTTAACTTGATCATCAGAACGATTTTATCCAACAATTATTCGAATATCGAACGTACAAATATGATTTCAAATCCGCGATAGTTATGTACGTTACGCACAACGATATTAAATAATTCGTTTTCCCTGAACAGTTTGCGAAACCCGTTTTACACGGAAAATATGTTTTCCTTACCGTCCCCATAGTGCGGTATCGATACTTGTAATGAAACATATCACGCTGTAAATATTCATGTTAGCAGACTTTAAACCGGCTGTTGTATAGAAGAATAAATAAACCGGTTTGACCGGCAAGTTTTATATAACTTGTAAAATGCGTAATTTCTCTAAATGTATGCGATCTCCATCCAATCGAGCAGAAAATACTCTTGGTTCATACTTTCTCTCGTATTAAATAATTATGTGGATATATATATACACACACACACACACACATATATATATATATATATATATACACATACACACATAACTTCCGTGAAGTAAATATTTGTATGTTACACGCACACATTGTGTTCTTTCACGGTTATTACTTATGCGATTGCTCACAATTCAAATCAAATGTTCTAAATTTTCAACATTTGTAAATAAAAGTATCGTTACAAAAAATTTTCGCAGATATTAATTTTGTCGATAATAAATTGTAAATGAGACGATATGACGATTCGTTCTGCATTATTGTTCAGGAAAGTCAAGCCAGACCCAATGGCAACGATATCCTACGGAACAATCCGAGCAAGTAACAAAAGAGACCTGTCACTTGTGTCGAGAAACGAAAAGGAGGAGTCTAGCGGCTTATATAAGAAGTAAATCACGTAGCGATTCCAATCAGGGAATTCATGAAGAAGAAGAAGAAGAAGAAGCAGCAGCAGCAATAGTAAAGGAAGAAGACACAGTAAATGGTGACAAAAAAGCGGTAAATACCGAAAGAAATAAATCTGCGAAAACATCCCGCGATGCGCAGGAACGGAAATAATTTCTTCAGTAAAGGGGAGGTAGTTTCTAAGAAACATAAGGTGTAGGTATATAAACAATGAAGTTGAACTTTAGTCTTAAATAATTTAGATCTTAACTAATCTTGCGTTTCATCAGCATTAGATCTATCTCTTTTGTCGAAAATACATTTCAGTAAAAATAAAAGAAGATAGAGCCTTTTTTTGTAATTTTACACTAGAATTGCATGCGTAACTGTGCTCTTACAGAGAAATCCATTCCGTGTTTGTTTCTTAAAAGTAAATAATTATTTTGTAAATGAAAGTATTTTCAGAAGTGTGGATGAAATAAATTCAATAAATAAAATTTAAAATATAATTGAAATTTATACATATAAATTATATATATATATATATCGCACATTGTAGATAAATATTTTATCATTGTAAATGATATCAAAATTACATCATTAGTACAAATGCATATATAGTACATAAAAATATTGCAACACTATAGTACAAATTCTAATGTTGAAACAGAGTTTTAGTTTTCAAAAATTCATTGAAACTGATACATTATAAAAAGTTAATTGTAATAAAAGTATTTAATTTATATCATCCAAACATTCAATACATGATTTATACTATATATATACGTTAATATATATATCAAATGTATCAATATATGTATTTAAACGTATATTTATTAATGTACATATCGAAACAATTTAAAATTTTCATAGCAAAAAATGTAATACCGTATACATATGCATATACATATATATATATATATATATATATATATATATACATGTGCTTACATAATCTATGAGTATTGTTTTTAAGATATATTTAATGTACAAATATACATGCCGGGTACGCTTTATAATAAATACTAAGATTTATCTCTAATTTTACTTGCAACCTACAAGGGAACGATCGGAGGTGTCCCTCACCGATTTGAATGGGCTTTGGATATGTTATAAAGTATCAAAAAATATTAGGCCCATATTTTTTTATGTGCTTATCTCGAGGTTTAGGGGGTGAAATCACCCCTCGAAGAAAAGGGAGATTTTCGTTTTTAGCGAATGTCGAAACGTACGAAGCATATGAAAAAATGGTTTATATAAAAGTTGTAGAGAATTTTATACTCTTTGCAACTGTGTACTCAGATTTTGCAAAATTTTGTTTGCCCCTCCCCCTCCTCGTAAATTTTTAAATTCTTGTTAGGATGAAAATAAAGAGTATCAAATACCAAATTCACTTATGTATAACAATAGAAAATGGAAGTCATTAATTTGGTTAATATAGAGATGATAACATGGAGCTATAGACGCTGCGCTATAGGTAGGCGCTCTTTATTTACGCTTATTATATTCGATATCCTCTATATTTTCTTTTGTACAAGCTGATAACTCCTAATGATATACACAACATATTAAATATTATATGAACGTGAGTTCGTATGCAGTTATTTCGTATCCAATAAAACAAGTACGAAATCAGTGGATTAACTCAAGAGCGGCTTAAAAGTCAAGACACGTCTATGAATTCTGTCCATAAACAGAATTGGTACAGCTTCCCAGAGCGATAAACATTATCGTGTATTTTGGTTATTGATGCACATCATTTGACATTGGTCATTCTTTACACTTTGAAGGACTTACATTTAAAACGCACTCAAACTTGCGCTGCGACCGTGGTGCTTGATAACAGTATGATCTTATCTACAAGCGAATAAAAATTCTTTATTCTAATACATACATCGTTTTACATACGATATAAACGTAAGCAGATACGACTTTGCATATATAGCAACGGTGTCCTGCTTTATCGATGATTTCGCAACGTACGGGTTTTCTAAAGTACACATATATGTTATAAGTAATTAGATTTATTTAACGATACAATATGTATAAACGAGTAACAAACGATGTAAAGACGTAACTGTAATCTAAAGTAACTGTAATATCTCACAAGTCAAATTTTGGACACTGTACTGCTTGGGTAGTAAATACATATTATAATTATGCTATATATTTATCACAAATGTGGTGTTCATAGAAAAAATATCTTATATAGAGCGATTTTTTACACCAAACACAAATAATTATAGCAGTTTGGCCACAAATTTCGCATTTTACTTTTGAATCGGTTTGGAAACCAAATTTGACGGACGTTTGAAATTCTGCCGGTTTATTCTATACATATCCACTTTTAAATCACGCATATTTAAATAAATTTTGAAATCTGGGCGATGAAAATTAGTGGTGCGTTGATGATTGCAATTTTAATACATTATCTCTAATATGGAGATCAATTGCCAGATCTAACAACAGAACAACGTTAGAAAAATGTTTAATAAAATTTTTCCATAATCTAAAGTCGTATACATCTAATGGTTGTATTTTTCCCGTTGTACCAGCTGGAATGGTTAGGAAGACGATATCTGTTGCAAAATCTTGTCTAATATCTGCAATTATATTAGGACAAAGTCCAGTTTATGAATCTAATAGCAATACAGACTATGGCCCAACATTCGAAAAAAAAATACTTCTCTTAACCACTTTTTACATGATATGATGTTAGTTTACCCGATAATGAAGCCATAACAAAAATATTAGGTGCTCTGAACATTTTTTTTTCTTGTACTTTCGAACCAAACATTCCTTTTATATATTTTAATACTATAAAAAGTGGCGACAATAATCTATCATTTGCGGAAATAGTCGGCTGTACAGTGTAACCATGTGTGGTTGTTGACATAGATTGTACAACAGATTCTACTTTTTTTATACCTTTATGTGCTAAAGTATGATCGGAATGAAATTCTATTTGAAATCCACTTTGATCAGAATTGTAAATTTTACATTTTCTACTCCATACCGACCAATATAATATTTAACATTTTCAATAAATGTATCGCATTTATTTTCTAAATCTTCTTTTGATAGCAGCGATTTTTTTGTTACAAATTTAGTTATTTTACGAGATACAATATGTACAATACAATAGATACAAAATATGAGATATATGTGCTACCTTAAATCGTTTTACCCATGTGTCAGAAGCTATAAATTCTGCTACATTTTCCTCTTATGAGCGAGTAGCCCATCGCGCAATATTGACATCATGAATGATTGCACCTCTTTTAAGTGCCTGTTGAATCGAGCCAATGTGTATTCCGAAATTCGTCTTAACTTTTCATATGTGTTACTACCTGCTTCGATTTGTTCTTCCCATCGTCGTAATTGTCGTTTCGATTTAACTTTTCTAAACCTACGTTTAATTCCTTCAATCGATCTTCGTTTGGACTTTCCACTTTTCCAGTATTTCACTGCTTCTCTCTTATAGTCAATCGATATTTCGTCAAAAGTACATCTAATTTCTTCTGGTAAGTAAACCTTTGGTTCATGTGGTTCAAATAAATCAATTTCTTCTGTTTCTGGAATCTCGTATGTGTTGTAATAATTTAATGTTTCTTCCTCTTCTATTACAACTTCTTTCTCGTTTCTAATTTCTTTAAGCATGTTTTCTATTGTTTTTGTTACTTCTCGTTTTTCCGAGGTTATTGGAGAAGTTGGAAGATTCATTGCGATAAATGTAAATAGAGTAATATTATTACATTATATGAATTAAATTGCATCATTCTGAAAAATAGATGATTCTTAAATATTTATCTCGAAATACATAAGAATATAAAATACATATGAAGATATATGTAAATAGATAAAAATAAAACTCACTTGCGTAGTAAGTATTATGGAATGATTCTTTTAGTCCCGTTATATACCGTCTATATATATGCAACTGTTCTTCTCTCTCTTTTGATAGTAAAGATGTAGTGAATTTAATGTAGCAAATTTTATCAAAGAAAAATAACAATTCTGCGTTATATATACCGAGATTATAGGTAACTGAACCAAATAGTGAAACAGGTACTCTGAAATTTCAAACACACCATTTTAACAACTAATATTACTTTTAGACCACCTTATAAATAATTCATTCGATCGTTAATCATAATTGTTTTACGGAAACATATCTCTTAAAACAGACACAGAATAACAAAATAACATGAAGGATAATAGAAATTAGCGCGCGACAACGAGATAGCGAAAGAATACGAGAAAGCCGCGGGTGACGAACCGTTCGGTCATGTAAAAAAAATCAGGTAAGAAAGTGTTAAAACACAATAACAAAAATATATTGAATACGACGTCGTTTCAATAATATTAATGCAAAGAATACTTACATGTGCAAGAAAACCTGATATTTTACAATATACTTTATGTTATCAACTCACTGCATGAAATGCTTTTCCGGTATGGTGCACGTTTATATAGTCGCCCTATGTTCAAGAAGATACATGTATATATTACTCCATACGATAATAAGATACAAATACTGTCGAAAATCATTCAAGATGTAAAAAGTGAGGTCGACCAGTATCAAATGATGTGCGTCAATAACCAAAATACACGATAACGTTTATCGCTCTGGGAAGCTGTACCAATTCTGTTTATGGACAGAATTCATAGAATTCATGTCTTGACTTTTAAGTCGCTCTTCAGTTAATCCACTGATTTCGTACTTGTTTTATTGAATACGAAATAACTGCATACGAACTTACGTTCATATGATATTTAATACGTTGTGTATATCATTAGGAATTTTTATCAGCTTGTACAAAAGAAAATACAGAGATATCGAATATAACGTAAATAAGGAGCATCTACCTATAGCGCAGCGTCTATAACTCCATGTTATCATCTTTATATTAACCAAATTAATGGTTTCCATTTTCTGTTGTTATACATGAATAAATTTGGTATTTGACACTCTTTATTTTCATCCTAACAAGAATTTAAAAATTTGCGAGGGTAATGAGGAAGGGGAGGGGGTAAACAAAATTTTGTAATTTTGCAAAATCTGAGTACACAGTTGCAAAGAGTATAAAATTCCCTACAACTTTTATATAAATCATTTTTTCATATACTTCGTACTTTTCGACATTCGCTAAAAACGAAAATCTCCGTTTTCTTCGAGGGGTGGTTTCACCCCTTCTGGAAAACCCCCTAAATCTCGAGATAAACATGTAAAAAAATATGGGTCTAATATTTTTTGATGCTTTATAACATTCAAAGCCTATTCAAATCGGTGAAGGACGCCTCCGACCGCTCGCTTGCTAGTCGTTTAATAAATATCTCGATGTAAATAAAAAAGTAAATATACTACAACATATATATTACTATATATTGTACAAATAACTAAAGGAAACGAAGAAAATGTTCAAATTTGATAAAACACATTTAATTATCAAATTCTCTTTTTTACGCACATGAAATGTCTTTTTATAAGAACTGTTTACTATGATCTTAATTGGCTTTAAAAATTCATATCAATATATGCTTGTACAAACTGAATTACTTAAAGAAGCATATAATTGTAACTATAAATTTTAGTTACAGATTTTACCTACATAATAAAGTTAACTTTAGTAATTTTAATTACTTTTTCTTTTTACCACCAATGGATCTACTTCTATGAAAAATAAGCAGCTGGAAAATATGTTTGAGGAAAAATATAAAAAATAAGGTTTCTGCTGTAATTTTCTGTTTTACAATAGAGTTACATGCATAATTCTTTCCTTTTCATTTAAAAATGATTAATAAGCATACTTTCAGAAATGGATGTAGATCGAATGGATTTAATAAGATTAAAAATATAATTAGAATTATAATTTTTATAATATAAGACTGAACATTTGATTGCGCATGTAAGATGTATAAATTAATTTTTTAATGCATGTAACACCGAAATCATACTATGAAATACTAATATTATATAATATACTTAGATTCAAGACATAATTTATCGTTATTAGTAACATAGTTGTAAATACCATAAATGGATAAAAATTAAGATATCCTATTATATCTATTTTGTTGCATTATGATATAATATTAAGATTTAGGTTATTGCATTATTATATAACATACAACAAACCATGTTATTGTGAAAAGTTTTACTTCATATACTGACTTTGAGTAATATTGTAGTTGTTTGGAAATATTCAACAAAAAGGCAGATGTTCAATAATGATAATATAAGTTTAAAACATGAATTATTTTCTTTAATTATTTTTTATATCTCTCCAATACTAATGAATCTCCTATTGAATCTTGAGTTAAAATCGGTAGTCATATTCAATTTTTGGCGAATAATATAATCGTTAAAAAGTATAGATTTATCCAACCTAAGATTTTGTACTTCATTCTTGGATCCTTACGAGAACGTACATTCGTTGATTATACATTTCGTTTTTATTAAAAATATTATAACGTGCAGTGTTTATGAATGAACAAAATAGTACTTACCTTTAGTAGCCACGTTAATACTGACTCGCGATATGGTACAAAACCCTGCTTACGATTGTTCGTGTTCTCTGTAAGTGATGCGATTACCTTCCCCAAGGTGAGCAAAGATTTATTGATAGATACGCCTTCCTGTTGAACAGAATAATATGAATACAAAAATTATTTTGCAATATATATAAAATTCAATTTAGATAAAATTGTATCAAGAACAAACCCTTAATCTATCACCAGTTGCAGAAGTTTGACTCAACCTCTCGCTGCCAGCTAAATCAACCAAGTTAATCTTGCTGCGACGATTGGCGTCAAGTGACTTGCAATCCAATTGATTGTCCGAATGTGTTTGCGTTAATATAATACTGAAGATACTGTGAGATCGTGAACTTTTCTCGTTCATACCAGTTGCAGCAGTAGCTCTCTGAGAATTTCCGACTTTAAGCCAAGCCTGGAAAATATGTTACGATAGGAAAATATTCACATGTTATAAAAGAAACATTTCAAAAATCTCTCCTCTATTCATTTCTATTAAAAAACGAAAAAGCCAAAAATTAAAATTTGTTAAAATATGAATTATTCTAGAAATGGAAAAACAGATTTTTTAATAGAGAAACAAAATTATATATATAATTAAAAAACAATTTTGACTATATTGATAACTGTGATTGTATATATAAAATTATTATGAAGTTATAAAAATACCTGTAAATCTTTATAATTTTGTACACAATGTTGGCTCAAATCTACGACATAAGGTCCGAAAACAGGATGCTCCCTCACTTTAAGAGGAGCTTTTTTCGACCCACTACTTGTGCTTGCTAATAGGTCGTGTATCTTTTCATTGTATATCTCAAAATAACTTATCTCTACAGTGGTCTCAATTTGCAAGTTATTACGCGCTCGTATCAATATTTCTTGACAGAATCTCGGTATGATACCAACTTTCTCTTCAAATGGCATCGTGCCGATCTGCGTCAATTCTGTACCCATTAAACTATAGCTTTTTCCAGATCCCGTCTGTCCGTAAGCGAATAAACAAACGTTGTAACCTTCAAAAGCATTTTGCACTAAAGGTAATACCATATTGTGAAACACAACTTCCTGACTAGCATGACCAGGTGTATGTGGATCATGATAAGAAACAAAACAATGGTCATATGTAAAAGTGTGCTGTGCTGATTCACATTCCACTATAACATTCTGGCCATTTCCTCGTACAACTGATGTAATTTTCGAGTCATTCATTTCCCTAAAATTATATCAAAGTATTAAGCATTAAAGTAAATAATGGAATGTTAACTATCAATGTAACACACACATATATCAATATAACAAGTAACACACACATATCAATATAATAAAAACAATATAATAAAAACAAAAGAATTTTAAAAATATTTTTGACAATGATCTTTATCAAAATGACAAATATTATAAGAAAAATACAATCTTCAATGCTACTATCAGTTAGAGTTAGATCCAATTAAAATGTTAGCCCGATAAAGCACAAATATTTATTTTAGATATGATTGAAAATAAGATATTATGTGATAAAATAAGATTTTCTTATATATTAATTATTTTAAATAATATACTAGTATATATATTTTCTAATATCATATTATATATCTAATCTCTCATCTAATCTATCTCATCTAATCTATATCTAATCTCTCATCATATTATATATAATATTCAAAAATGATTTGTATACAAGTACTAAAATAAATTTTTTATCATATTGTCATACTTACTTGGAATTCAAAGGCCTAATCCGTATTCCTACTGTGAGGTTACTGCTTTCACCTTCGTACATTGTTTGCTCCCCTGCCACTATATCATCAATTTTACAGCATGGTGTTTCCATGTGAACTATGTTGAAACAGTCAGGTGTACTTTGTGATAAAGCTTGATCACTAAAGTAACGCTTGATGGGTGTTCTTGTAGTAGGTAAAATATTAAATTTTGTACTAGTATTAGGTGTATTTATTGTCTTCAAATGTTTAGGTGTACAAAATTGTACAACCGATGTCTTGTCACTGAGCAAACCACTTGTATGTTTTGTTCTGACAGGTGTCTTCAATTTTTCATTGGATACAATATTATTGTTAACCAAATTTTCTTCCTTTGCTGGATTAATAGATTTAAGACAGGATAGTTCCATATTAGATAACTTATTTGAACATCCTATGATATCTGTTATTTCATGTTTTAACTGTGCTTTTTGTATGGGACATTGTGTTTTCTTACTTATATTTTGATTTCTGGTTGAAACAGATGGTTCATTGGATAAGGAAGAACATACATTTTTCCTTCTGTAACACAAAAATTATTTTACTTGTAACTGTTTATTACAAAACAAAAATTTACATAAATTTTAGAATGTTACAATATTTATAGAACATTTACTATGTTTATATAAATTTTGGAATTAGCAGAAAAAATTATATTTTATAAAACAAAATATATTCTTAACTGGAAAATATATTACATTTTCAATTTATATAAATAAAACTGTGTTTATTTTCTTCCCTATTTGACAATAATTTACCATATGCAATTTTTATTTTAACGAAAAATTAATATTCAATCATCACGTGATTTGTGCAGCGGTTAGACAGTTATACGACGTTGAATGCATTGCTTACGTTCTCATCGCGGGAACGGTGTTCTCCTTGTCAGAATTAATCGACGAAGTTGAAAAAATAGCTTCACAATATCCATGTCCCATGGATTTTAAGGTATTATGAGACATTTCAATAAATATCGTACAAAACTGTTTAGCAAATATCTGTGCAAGAAAATTTGATTTCTACGACCTAACTTTACTAAGCCCGGGCTTTTAGTCGTGGGGTATGAGAGATGTAGAAAGAAATCAGCAATGACAAAAGATTACCTATTTGCACTATAGGCCTGTTCGTTTTGTCTGCACTGCTGAACTGGTGCAACAAGCTGAAATTAGAAAACCTACGTTTGTCTCACTTTAACTTAATGCACCAGAATACCTATCATGGAACTCGTTGGAATCGATTCTGATTGGAATAATTCCGTTTCCCCTAGAAAAGACAATAGAAATCTAGGAAATAACAGAATAAATTCGATCGGAATCGATTCCGATAAGTTCCATAATAAGTACCCAGTTCAGCAGTGCAGACAAAACGAACAGACCTAATTTCATTGCCGTTTAATTGACTACTTATCATCTTAAGATAATAAACATGCTCTATCGTTGAACTAGTAAAGGTCATTCTACAATACGTGTCGTAAGTTGTATGCCGTAAGAATTGGCGAATCACAGTCGATTATTACAAAAATAATCGGCTATAATTGGTCAGTTCTTACGGCTTACAACTTACGACACGTATTGTAGAATGACCTATAAACACTTTCATAACTAAAGCGGGAAGCACACACTCTTGAGCCAGCGTCACAAGATGCTTGTTTTCGTGCTGGATTGCTTGCTGGATGAAAATACTGCGTTCTGATTTATGCATTTCCATCCATCTTCGGAAATGTACCAATCGGAACGCAGTATTTTTATTCAGCAAATAATCCAGCACGAAAACAAGCACCGTATGCTGCTGGCTTTACATAAAGGTATAATGTACAACGCATAAGGAAATAAACCAATCATAATCCTCATTTCTATTGCCACGCATGAAATGAAAAACTCTGATTGGTCCATTTCCTTATGCGTTGTGCATTATGCCTTTATGTAGGAGTGTATGGTTCCCGCTTTAAGGTTTGTTCTTTTTAGTTGAACCATGGACGAGATACTATAAACACTGTTGGTCTTACTGAATTTATCGTATCAGAGAAATATCGCTGTGCATTAGCGCCCTCTTAGGAATATCGTGGCCGGAATATAAAACACAGCTCGAAATAAGCTTGGGCTGCGTTCCGATATTCACTGCCAGCACTAAAAATCTATACTATATGTGACAAACTATGTGTTTTTAATACTGACAGTGAATTTCGGAACGCAACCTTCATGTTGACATATGTATAAAGCCAGCGGCACACGGTGCTTGTTTTCGTGCTGGATTGCTTGCTGGATGAAAATACTGCGTTTTGATTAGTACATTTCCGACATGGATGAAAATGCACCAATCAGAACGCAGTATTTTCATCCAGCAAGCAATCCAGCACGAAAACAAGCATCGTGTGCCGCTGGCTTAACAGGGGCTCGATTCCTGACGGCGTGCGAGTGAGATGCGTATGCGAAAATGTACAGTTTACGTTACATATAATATAGATTTTCGTATGCGCATTTCATTCGCACGCCGTCAGGAATCGAGTCCCAGAGGTCGCTCAAATCAATAATAACGGCTAATGTGACAAAATTAGGGAATAAGGTTAGTTGGATATACGTGGATATATGACACTTTGTTGAATAAACTTAAATGACGTTGTATTTTCGTGCAGGCACGTATGTCAACATCATATCTACGAGGAAGCATATTTCAATCGTGTCAGCGAAATCATAAGAAATCATAATGGCAGTGATAGTTCCAGATAGTAACCAACATACTACCGAGCGTAGCAAATGGATTTCAAGGATAGTAATTGTTGTGTTTTTTGCGCTTATCATATTGGATATGCCGACTATTTGTAAATTTCATCAACATAGCGAATCGCCAAGTTACATGTATTCTAAAGAAGCTAACGAGATCTACACAAATCAACAACATCAACGACATGTACATCACGAACATCAGCACGATCACAGTAATGATCATCATCACGATTATGACCATGTTCATAAACGTCCTACTGCGCCGCGGACAAATATTCATCACAAGGATCACAACGATATAATTTTAAGAGCTGTTAGTTCAACTTTAGTTATATCTGCTGCGCCTTTTTTCATATTATTTTTTGTACCACTGGACAATACAAAGCAACGTGAGTCGTTGCTAAAAATTTTACTAAGCTTTGCGTCTGGTGGTCTATTAGGAGATGCATTTCTTCATTTGATTCCTCATGCGCTTGTTCCACATTCGCATGATTCTTCCTCAGAAGAACATTCTCATTCGCATTCTCACAGCCATGATAATAGCGATGGAACAGAACACAAACATGATATGTCTGTTGGTTTATGTGTATTATTGGGAATAATAGTATTTCTAATAGTAGAGAAGGCAGTGCGCATTATCAAAGGTGATCATTGTCATTCACATGCTAACTCTGTTCCTCACAAAGAATCTGAGAAGAAAGAAGATACCTCATCAGTGAAGAACGAAAAGAAAGAAGACACCAGTAAAACAGTTGATAAAACACAAGAAATAACTGGATCTGACATAAAGATTGCTGGCTATTTAAATCTAGTTGCAGACTTTCTACATAACTTTACTGATGGCCTGGCTATAGGAGCTAGTTACATGGCTGGAAATAGTATTGGTTATGTAACAACATTTACAATTTTATTACATGAAATTCCACATGAAATCGGTGATTTTGCTATCTTGATACAAAGTGGATATAGTAAAAGAAAGGTGAGATACATTAACAATAACATAGTTTTAAGCTAGTGTTTACATTTATTTAACTATTGCTTTTATATTCTTTTATATTTATATTTACAATTCATTGTTTATTGTTATTTTAAAGCTTTATAAAACCTCTAAAAATTTTTTATCATTTTGTTCATTTTAATCATATTTAATCATTTTGCAGGCTATGATGTTACAGTTGACAACTGCTATAGGAGCTCTATTAGGAACTTTTGTTTCATTAATGGCAGAAGGAATGGGTAAGATAAAGTTCTAAGATTTAAATAAATATTTTTTTTAGTTCACCTGACCTGATTCACAATGGTCAAATAGACATGGTCTGATTTTAGTTTACATCGTATCTAATTTTATTTTACATATTCCAGGTGATCTTGCAACAAAGTGGATTCTTCCATTCACAGCAGGTGGTTTTATTTATATTGCAACTGTCTCTGTAATACCAGAACTTTTGACTGCTACTAAGCTTTGGCAGTCAGTTAAAGAAATTTTTGCGCTTCTTCTCGGAGTATACATGATGGTTCTTATAGCAAATTATGAATAGAGATACTTTTTATTGGGTACTTTTCTGATTGCATTTATTTTATTGGGGACTTGAATAAGTTCTCGCTGTTTTTCCGTGAAAATGAATGCTTTATTTAAAAAAATTAGTAAAGAACATGTCATTGAAAGTATTGTCCATCGCTAGCCACTACTTTCTCCTATCTTTCTGGCAGCATATGAATACCATGTCGAAAGAGCGACTCATCTTTTGGGGTTATCCACGAATCTACCCATTTTTTGACATCTTCATAAGAATAGAAGTGCTGTTCAGCCAGGCCATGAGTCATCGATCGGAATAAGTGGTAATCGGAAGAAGCAATGTCCGGTGAACACGGCGGGTGGAGTAGGACTTCCCATTTAAGCGTTTCCAAGTAGGTTTTGACCGGTTTTGCAACGTGGCCGAGCGATGCTGCAAAATTACTTTGTCGTGTCTCTCCTCGTATTGCGGCCGTTTTTCCTTCAATGCTTGGCTCATGCATTAATTGTAGTCGATAGTGATCTTCCGTGATGGTTTCGTTGGGTTTGAGGAGTTCATAATATACTACACCCAGCTAATTCCACCGAATACAAAGCATGAGCTTGGAATCATGGATATTCGGCTTTGCCGTCGATGTTGATGCATGGTCGGGCTTACCCCACAATTTTCTGTGCGTCGGGTTATCGTAGTGTATCCACTTTTCATCGCCAGTCACGATACGATGCAAAAAACCGTTCCTTTTGTGTCGTTGGAGCAGCTGTTCACACGTGAAAAAATGCCATTCGACGTCTCTCGGCTTCAATTCGTACGACACCAAATTTCCTTGCTTTTGAATCATTCCTAATGCTTTTAAACGTTTGGCAACTGTTGTGTGATCAACTCCTAATGATTCTGCAAGTTCCTTTTTGCGTCTGACATAGGTCTTCATCGAGTAATGCTTCCAATTCTTCGTCTTCAAACTTTTTCGGTGCGCTATTTTTTATCTTCAACATCAAAATCATTATTTTTAAAGCGTCTAAACCAATCTCTGCATGTTGACAGAACATGGTCGCCGTAAGTCTCCACAAGAATTCTATGTGCTTCAGCTGCAGATTTTTTTTGAAAAATGTAATGCAGTAAAATTCCCCGCAAATATTCATTTTTTGGCACGAAATTCGACATAGTAACGCTATAAAAAAATATGTTGTTTACGCTTCGACGGAATAACATATACTGTCACTTCGAACCTAATGATGGAGCTTCACGATGAAGTTGGCTGTAGTATTGCCCGATGCGAAAAGGCTAAGAGAACACCATCTGTCGTGAAACAGCGAGAACTTATTCAAGTCCCCAACATATACTTACGTGTTTGGATCTCTTAAGAGAAAATTTCCAACATGTAGGTTGTATTGCAAAAGATTAAGATATTTTTTGCAAGATAATCATATTCTCTGTTTAGAAACATATACTGTCTTAATTTCTTGCAACAACAAATACCAGTGAAATAAATACCATCACTTTATGGCTACAATGTCTTTATGATTAATATTGTATTTATATTTTAGTCGATAAAAAAATGAATAAGATCGCAAAAATAAGTATAAAAAAAGTAACACACGAATCTTCATACATCCCTTCTTTTTACATCGGGAAAACTTTTTTGTGATAGACAAATATAAATTTGCATCAAAAGATAATGTTATATCGGCTATTTTGTAGCAAAAATAAATTGTATAAATAAAATATGTAAGAGTTATAAAATGTGTAAGAGTTGAATACAATTTGTGTTCAATAATCTACATATATTTTTACTTAGTATGATGTAGTTATGCACATGGATTTGTTCCTATCTTATATATACTTATCAATCTAATTAGTAATATATTTTGGTTCATTTGCTTGTATGTAAGATATATATATATATATATATGTATAAATAGATAGATAGTTTATTATATATTAATTGTATGAAAAAAATGAAAAGTACACATAAGTGATATATAATTTTGTCTAGAGTTTTTATTTAAATTTATCTATAATTTTATATAATTATTGTTAGGATAAGTCTGAAATATAATTTAATTGTAATTATATATATTTTACATACATATAAATATATATAATGATGTTTATATACTTTTACTCTCTCTATTATTAAATTTATAATAGAAATAAAACAAAATTTATATTACACATGAAATAACAAATTGGAATTGATGTATAACATATAAAATGTAATGTTAAAATAAATATTGGAGATGTACACATTGTACCATCACATACGTAACATTGACATACGATTTGTTAAATGATATTAGAGTGAAATATGTCTACTTCCTGTACCAATGACTGCTTATTAAATATTAAAACATGAATAGATCATCTTATAAAATATTGCATTTTCTTGCAATAAATATCTCATACTTGGGAATATTTAGTTAAATATAAACATGTTATTTTAAATGTAAGTTCTCTCTCTCTCTTTCTCTGGAAAATCTCCAATAATTTCTACAATTCCATTATTTCTGGATATCATGAAAATTTACAATGATAGTAATTTTTTCACTTGGTTAAGACAATTATCAGCATATGACAATGTATCATTATCATGATGATTATCAGCTATTTTTCTACCTTCCTGACAAAGTCTTTTTGCTTCATTATATAATCCTTTCTGCAGAAACACATACCCAAGACTTACATTCATGTAACCAAGATCATAAATATTTAAGTCTTTTCCTGAAAACACATGTAACTTATTATACTTTTCTCTGGTTTCAATTATTATTCATAATTATATTATTACCTATTTCTACTGCGGCTGACAAATAATTCATAGCTTCATCATATTTTTCTTGTAAATAACATATATATCCCAATGTATGAAGTAAGCGTACTGTTTCCTTATATTTATCACCATGCAGCGTTTTACTAATATTATAAGCATGGAAAAGATGGTCATAAGCTTCAGAATATTCAGATTGTAATGCTAGCAGTTGTCCATACCAATCAAGCGTTACAATTAGGAATGATAAAGCATCAATATCTTCTGGATTTTGTTCAATGTGTGACTGTAAGTGCTCTAGACAAAACATATATCCTAGCTTTGCCTTCCTAAATAAAAAGAATTAAAAAATTGTATCTATAAGATACACAGAGATAGTTGAACCATTTAATATTTTCTATATATATTTTTTCTGTATTACATTTACCAGTAAAACTGTTCCTATTCTTTATAAAACAAATATAAAATTAATTCTTTAATAAAATTGATTTACTTCGTTTCTCCAGATTGATCAAATATATAAGCCATTTTTAAACTTATATGAATAACTCTCATGTCATTCTCTGAAACTCCGTTTGATATTAGCCTTTGCAAAAGTGTTGTAAACAAAGTTTCTGCTTTACGGTAATCCCCAGTTTCAAAGGCGAGATTTGCCATTACATCATAAATATACGTAATTGCTTCATAACATTGTACAGTTTGCGCTTGATGTAAAGCTACGTGCAGCATTTGTTCCGCCTTAGCAAATTCTTTACTCTATAATGAAAAAGTAAATATTACTGCATGAAACATGAATAAAATTTTATTTATGCAATTTCATCGGTTTTACGTCAATTTCAGATCAAATCAAGTCAGATAACTAATTCTAACCTCTATTAACAACTGTGATCGTTTAAGCGCCATAATAATTGAAGTTTTTTCATCTTTATCTTCATCATCGTGAAAGATACTCTTAAGTAAAGTAGGTAAAGACACAGCAAGAAGATAATATTTTTTAGTTTCTCGTAATATTTTATGACAGCGATATTTAACCGGCATACATGGTTGTAAAGATCTCACGAAATAATTATTCTTATAAATAGCGTTATGTAAAGTATTCGCTGCCGTACGAATAAAATCGACATTTGACAATACAGATTTCAAGGTAGAAGAAATTGTATTCAAACGGTACATATTAAAAAACAAAGGACGCCTGTCTCAAGAAACTATAATAAATTATAAGAATCTGTCAATATTTGTTAGCGCTGCACTATCCATATACCAAAACCCCTGTCATTTTAAAGGCCATATCCTATTATAGACTACGGCCTTGGCTGAGGTTCTGGTTCAATAAATGGTTCTAGGCAGAGCTGTAAAGGTCATTCTACAATACGCGTCGTAAGTTATAAGTCGTAAGAATTGGCGAATCATAGTCGATTATTACAAAAATAATCGGCTATAATTGGTCAGTTCTTACAGCTTACAACTTACGACACGTATTGTAGAATGACCTTTAAGCGTGGTCTACAATGGCCGTAAGCAGTAAGAAGAAAACGTAAGCGGTAAGAAATAAATCAATCACAGTCGATTATGACAAAAATAATCAACTGTAGTTGGTCCACTCTATCCCCTACACCAGTCAACGATTATGAAGATAAAAGAAAAACAGAGACGAGTCCCCACAATCCAAAAATATGCGTAGTTACAGAACCGCATCCAACCGCCACGGAAGCGAATAAAAGACTCTTGGTCTGTTCTTTTTAGCTGCACTGCGAAGCTAGTGCAATAAGTTAGAATGAGACAACTATATTTTTTCTTTCTTTAACTTATTGCACCAGTTCAGCAGTGCAGCTACGAAAAACATAACAAATGTTAAGTCAAACATATTCATTTTCAAATCCACAGGCCCGTTTTTCATAGCGGTATTTTGTGAACTATTTTGTATTCCTGTATTTCTTGTATTTCTTGTATTCCTTGTTTTTCATTGTAATAAATAATTACTCATATAATTTTATTATTTACAATTGATTTTTATTGTAAAGAGAGAACTATTATCATCTTGCTTTATGCAAAAATAGGCAAAGATACGAAATCTTAAATCTAGAAAACTCACTACTATTATGCCGCTGTTAAGCCAGCGGCACACGGTGCTTGTTTTCGTGCTGGATTACTTGCTGGATGAAAATATTGCGTTGTGATTGGTACATTTCCGAAGATGGATGGAAATGCACCAATCAGAACGCAGTATTTTCATCCAGCAAGCAATCCAGCACGAAAACAAGCACCGTGTGCCGCTGGCTTTAGTGCAAGTAGTGGCGTCGCAGGTCGCAATAGTATGCATAGTACGCTCCTGAAGCTGGTAATTGAGAGAGAAAGAGAGAGAGAGAGGGAGTTTTGCCGTTGTTGCATTTGACGTTTCGCCCCTCGTGATCTATTGTACATATAATTAATTGATATTAAGAGTTTAACGTATATTGAAATATATTATTACTAATATATTTTTAAGAAAATCATGGTAAGCAATACGACATTAATCTATTAACGTTCGTAATTAATCTCTGACATCGTTGATAATCTAACCTAGGAACTCTTCCAATGTAGAAAACGCTTTAATTTAACATTTTACATTATATTTTGTACTTATGATATTATATATTATCGTAAAATTGTTAAATTTCTTAGTGCCAGATGGATAATTTTTTCTGACATTATTTTGCTAGTACATAAATATGTGTTATTTACAAATAGAAACTTGACAGATCACAGAGACCTCAGTTTCCTTCATACAAAATTATAACATTAAAAATTTAGACTTTAAGGATTGTAAATTATTTAATATGACTTCTATAATATTTGAAAGTATGTTAATTTAAAAACAAGATAATTGAAAAATAAAATTTCTTTTAGCTTGTTTTAGTATTGGGTGATCTACATATTCCGCATAGGTGTAGTAGCTTGCCAAGCAAATTCAAGAAGCTGCTAGTACCAGGCAGAATTCAGCATATCTTATGTACAGGCAATCTTTGTACGAAGGAATCTTACGATTATCTCAAGACATTAGCTAGTGATGTACATGTAGTTAGAGGAGATTTTGATGAGGTATGTATTATTCTAACAGTACTTTTTAATTAAACTAAATAGAATTTCAGACTAAACAGAATTTAAAAAAATTTCTTAATTGATTTGAAAACTATATATATTTATATTATTAATGTATATAGTATATAGTATTTTGTTTGCAGAATTTAAATTACCCAGAACAAAAAGTTGTCACAGTAGGTCAATTTAGAATAGGACTTTCTCATGGGCATCAAGTAGTACCATGGGGTGATCCTGAATCCTTGGCGCTAATCCAAAGACAATTGGATGTTGATATTCTAATATCTGGACACACACATAAATTTGAGGCATATGAGCATGAAAATAAATTCTATATTAATCCAGGTTCAGCTACTGGAGCTTACAACCCTTTGGATACGTAAGTCCTCTCAAGAAAAATATATAGAAATTATTTTAAAAGATTGTACACACATATATGTCTTCAAAAGAAAACATCTTTATCAAGTTTAATTTTCTTTATTTTCTTTAATTAGATCTGTCATTCCATCATTTGTGTTAATGGACATTCAAAGCTCAACAGTCGTTACTTATGTGTACCAGCTAGTTGGGGATGAAGTTAAAGTGGAAAGAATTGAATATAAGAAAAGTTAGAACTACTGGAGAATTTACAGGATATATCAATTATAAATTATATCCAGGATGTAAAAGTGTGACTACATGTCTAATAACGCTTAATTTTTGCAACTTATGCACTTTGCGATTTGCGTTGCATTAATTAATTAAATAATTAAGTATGAATCGTATAACATATAATTGTAAATAAAGCGGTATCAATATTATGTATTAAAAATAAGTCCTCTTGAGAAATATTCATTGTGTATCTAAACACAAGTTAATAGATGCGAGTATAATGTCAGAAATTGCCATAAACGATTTAACAGAATAGATTCTGTAGAATATATTATACAAAAAATGTTTATGTAGAATTTACCATGTAAGTACATAACATTTTAATATGTCGCATTGTCTTAATCTAGAGATATGCGAGTATTAATAAAATTCAAGGCGAGTCCGAGTATATTGAGGGTAAAGATGTTAAAACACTATAACAAAGTTAGAGTTTTTGTTAAACAAAGAAATCAGATAATGTTCCTGTTTGGGAGAAATTTGTGTTGGGAAAATAAAGACGCACCATCATTTCGTTAAAGTATCAATTAATCGCATCTAGGTAGTGTTAATGATTATAAAATGTCAATTGTCTTTTTATGAGATTTTTTATAACAAACTAGGAACACATTATAGAACACTTTTTTACAAAAATTATTCATTCAATCCGACGAACGCGCTCGCAAATTTACATAAAAATTTAAATAAATAAAGAATCGTACGTTATTCTATTATTTTTTCGATTTCCTCAGGGAGAATCCTTCGCCTGTAAAGGCCTTAAATTCGTCGGTATCCTTCATCTATAATGACAAACAAAATTTGAGATCATACTCTCAGAATAAATTGCTATAAAATAGAACATATGGTTTAATATCATATGGTTTATCATCATATGGTTTAATAGATTACAATTGGATTATATATTATCATAGTTGAATTACTATAATTTCAGACTAATTGAATTACTATAATTTCAGACCAGAGTAAACTCGAGGAAGCAATCATTGTTTAAACTTGAGTCAAATTTTTTCACGTATTGCTTCATTTCTAAATACTCACCTCTTTGTTATTTGCTGGCTTCATATTTCGTAAAAACCTAAGTGTACCTATCTGATAATCATAATCAGGTATTCCTCGAATGTAGGCCGGCTTCGAAACTGTTTTCTCTTGTTTTGGCCAATCTTTGCGCTTCTTACCATCTAATCTGACACCCTCGCCTTTGAATGGTACAAAGCCAGATGGTTCTGGCATCAGATTTGCTAAATCTTCCATCTGCTCTTCATCCTTTTTGATATGTCGTTCAGGTTCTTTGTAGCCAACTGGTGGAGCAAACTCCACGTTCATGTCACATTCAATGATGCTAACTGCCAAGCCAGGACGCGTTTCCAGCACACACATCTCATAAATTTTTTGATTATATTTGATCGCGATCACGTCACCCGTAGTTAGGCAAGCAAAACTACGCAGCCCATTCTCCAGCACTGCCTTTGGATTTGTGATGTCTAGGAAGTCCTCTGACTGTGGTTGGAAGCGCGAGAATGTCGCCACTGGAAGCGATACACTCTCTACATTCAATAGTTCACCCTCCTCTAGTAAAAGATTGTGCATCATCTACAATAAAAGAATGTTTCCATTATCTATTACATTATCATGAACATTACAATATTTTATTAAAAATCATTTTGAGTACTAAAGGATTCTCAAATATAAGAAAAATTACAAATTGCAAAATTATTTTCTTATTAATGAACATTGCATTGTTATCTCAGTAATAAAATATAGAATTTATGATGAAATTGCAACAGTTTTATTTTATCTCATTTAAGTTATCTTTAAGTTATTAAGTTATCTTATTTAAGTAAAATTTAGGTAGTACTCATTATAGTTTACTATAAAGTTATAATATTCCTATTGCTATTTCAAGGTGAAACTCAACATCTACTGACCCAATAGGGTAAATAAACTTTGCCCTCATCAGCTACAAATTCTAGTACGCCACAGTGTGTGATCCTGTTTGTTTTCCTATTAGTCAGTTTAAACAGCATCGGATATATGATGTTGAGTCTGGTCAGTTGCTCCAAAGCAGACGGTGGCATGATTACTGAAAGATAGTAATAGCTTGCAAGATATCTCTCTGTATTCTCAGTGGAAGCCAATGAAGTTATCACTATTTATTAGTTAATAGCCTTTACCCACTTTTGCCGCCACGCTCTACATCTTGACGATAAGTGCCAGGCAGCATCGACACCGAGAAGCACTTGTATTGGGTGTTGAAGGGCCGTGGAATCTCTGGGAACATGTTGAAACCGAACTGAAACTGAAAAGTCATCCTTACCAAACGTTGAGCATAACCTCCATCTTCGAGAAATTCAATTACGTTGAAGATTTCTCTCATTTATTCGATATTCGTCGACATCTTCATTATTTTTACCATGTTTGCTGATTGTTGATTTTCTGGATAATTTTTCTCTGAAATTTTTCTTACACTACACCGTGAGTTTTCAAGATGGGATAGAATATTGACGCTTATCCCGTTAGCAGACGACTTCGATTCGTGCGATTTGGTGCGGTTCCTGGGAGAATCCAAAAGATAGATGAATAATACGCCATCTGCTCTCGTTGACTTAACGACAAACTAAACTTTTTATTTTCAAATAGCACAACTCCACAACGCATCAAACAACTCTTACAATTTTATTTGTGTATATTTTTATATATGTAGATTTGCGATATATTATAGTTTTAGCTTGCAGGATATCATTTTATAAAAGTATTATATAATCATAATATAATTGTAAATATTTTCTTCTATTTTAATACAAGATATACAAAAGGATATTTATATTTTTTTATTTTTTACAAGATATTCTTTCATTCATAGAATCTGAACTTCATCGGTAATGGCAATAATTTCGATCTCCAATTGTGCGTTCTGTAACAACGAATAACAAGAATAATTTTATAATTATGTGCATTTACTTGCGAATATGTACTTATTCGCAGCATAAAGCCGGTTCCATTCAGGCACAGCAACGCTTGATTAGCTACTGTGATATTTCCTAACCAACTTCCGCCGCGCGCAAGCGTTGCTACGTGCAAACCAGCCTAATATTACAAGCTTGTCGGACGTTCTGATAGACTGTCAGATAGAGAATTTCTAGGTTGTTTAGAGAAAATTAACCACCTTAGAAATTCTCTATCCAGCCAATCGAAACATCCGACAAACTGTTGTACAATGCATATAATATTAGCCTTAATTTGTGGTAAATTGTTAATAATATTTTTATCGTACCAGAGGCAGTTTGGCAACTTGATACGTAGTCCTACTTGGATAATTTGCTGTAAAAACTGTGAACGAAAAAAACACAGCAATTATAGAAATAAATCAGAATCAAAACATATAAAATAAACATATGTTGAATACTTACATTCTTTGTAAACTTCGTTTATTCCACCAAAATCATCCAAATTATTTAATAGGATGGTTGTCTTTACAACTGCAAGGGACAAAAAAGGATGTAAAAAACTAAGCTGAAAAGTTGGACAAGAGATACTAATCAAACTTATTATAATTCTGTTGTTTATCATAAAGATCTTTTCTTTGGCTACACTTTTATAACTTTTCCCTCTCTTAAAAAAAAAATCTCTGAATATATATATTAATTTAGTTTCTTAATGTGAAAAGCATAACATATAACATATTAAAGAATAAGGCCTACAATATATTTAAGCAAGGAATAAATGGGTTGAGTTTGTAGCAAAGTCCAAATAATATCATACAATAACTAATTTAACCTTTTTCAAGACTGGATCCAGCTTCTTCCAAAAGATTTTTTATATTGGTAAGAGCTTGTCTAGCTTGAGCTGTGGCATCTCCATCAACGAGTTTCTGTGTTTTAGGATCTATACCGAGCATTCCAGACAGGTACAGAGTGCGATCTGCCAAGACTGCTTGACTATATAAATATATTTGAGATATTCAAAGATTTATACCTAGTGTGAGTTTGCAACTATCTTGTTCGACCCGAGATCATTAAAATTGATAAGATAAATCCAAAAGCAATTTCATGGAAAAATAGATACTGGGACTTACCTATATGGTCCAATTGGCTTTGGAGCTTTTGCAGTAGAAATTATCTTTTTTATAATCTTGCTTGTCGACATGGTTGCAATAGTAAATTATGTATTTGTCGTCAAATATTCTCTGAAATGTGTGTGGATCGCCGGATTAACTTTACTTCAACTGGGCGAGTCGTTCCACATATATATATATATATAAGATTCTTGATAACTTTTAACCTTGCCCCTCCTTTTGCTGCTACATACATATACACACATAGAGACGCACGCATATATCAGCGTTACATATTTTGACATACTTGTATAATTTTCAACCTTATATATTATATAATACTGAAGATTGAAAATCCTAAGAAATTTTAGTAAAACTACATACTTACACATCGGATCTATGCTAGAGATTCTAAATATGCTTTAGTATTACATACCCAATATTATAAATGATATACGACTGAAATACAGATACAGAATGCTTATAACGTTATCTATAGCATAATATGGTAAACAGTAAGAAAATGAGACTGAGTAAGCGAATATAAACTTAATGACCCAACAGATCATTATACAAAACGAACGTTCGAATATTGAAAGTGGTGAAGCACAAAGTTTCGCCCAAGAAGTTGAATTTCTGAAACAGTTTAATAAGTTGTCAAAACACAAGCTGTTTGCAGAACAATCATATCTTTTTTATTATGATGTATATAATGTCGTAAGTATACATCTTCGGTATCCTTATAATAAGCACAACAGATATCTCAGTACATTTTATAAATGACTTCGTCGGTAAGTCGAATGAATGATTCATAAACGGTTTGCGCGTTATGTGTTCATTAGTGAGCATTGTTGTTGCGTCGTCCTCGTCTCTTGCGACTACTACTGCCGGACGGACGATTCGATGAGGCCCACTGTTCGTAAAAGCGTTCAGCTTCCAGCCATTCTTGATATTTGTACCACCATTCTTCCCACTTGATGTAGTCATCGAGGGTAAGGTCGCGAAGGTATCCTCTGGCCTTGTAGTAGTCGTATCGAACGCGCACGTCGTCCCAACACTCGAGACCTCTTGGTCCTTGAGCTAAAAGCGATTCGGGATAATGTCCAGGCGGCGGCGAATCGTAACCCAAACGTGCGATCCTCTCTTCACCCTCTATGACAACTTTCATCGCGTTCTCGCCGTCCTTCGTGATACGCATGTTCTCCATATCCCTGCGGTCTACACTCCATTGTGCCATTTTACCGAATCTACGAAGGGGAGAAATTTTGCGGTTGACTAACGCTGCTGAAAAAACATCGCAATAAACATACAAATATATAAACTAGTCGTTTCCATAAAAGGCTGTAATTTTACCAGCAAAGTGACCTGTAGCATCTTTTTCTTACTTGATCTCTAAGGAAGGGATCTAGCAGTCAGAAGATGGAAAACTTCACCCGTTAATACTTATAGTAATTTTAGCCTGGCAAGATATTGCCAGGAAGAAACTTGTCAAATAATTAATCACCGCTGTTGACTACGATTATCGATTGATTATAGTGAGTTTTTCGCGAAATACCGTTCGGACAATGTCATCCTCGGCGGTCCGACGTGAGATGTGGTTGAGGAACTGTCGCTGTCATCGCTAGGCGACGATTCCGGTGGCGGTCGCATCATTGGCGGCGCTCCATGAGATGAGTGCGTTTTTTCTACTTTTACCGGTTTACGCATCTACACAATTTTAAAGGAATTTTATTCCTCATACACACATGTACGCATGTACCAAACGACCAGACATACCAGAGATTAGAAAACACAAGGGAACTACGCAACATTCTTGTTCACTCATTATTCGGAGGAATTGGATTCTATCATTAGAGATTTACTTCTTTCCAACAGCATACTCTCTCATCGCATCTCTCAAGTATCTCCGTAGCGTTAACATTAACATAGAAGATACTAGAGATAAACGGTCGTTTTACCAATGGGATGGGCTCAGGGACGCGCGGATCCTCCGGCAACCTGCTGTGGTGTTTCTCCTTACGGCGAACCTTGGCCTCCTTTTCCTTCAGGGTCTTGTAATCCTTCTGATGACGCGACGACAGCGGCTGCGGTGCCGGCGGCGGTGTGCGCGGACGCGGTAAAGGCGGCGATCTCGGTCTGGTACGCGGTGGCAGAGCTCGCGAACTGGATGGCACCACTTCTTTCGGATGCTGTCTGCTGCGCACCGGCGTGACCGATCGCGAACGCGAACGTGACGGTGGTGCGACGCGCCGTCGTTCTTTCGGCGAACAGACGGAACACGATCTGTCGGAACAGGTGCTGCCGGTGCTGGGACTGCGCGCGGACGGTCTGCTCCGATTGTGCTCGCGCGTTGAACGCTCCCGTGGCGAGCGACTTCGCGCGCGCGGACTGCGCGGTCGAGGACTGTGCGGGCTGCGCGGTCTTGGGCTTCTCGGACTTCTGGGGTGTCCTCTGCTGCTGGGCTCGCCGCTACCGGTGCCGCCGACATACAATTCCTTGTAGCCGCTGTGACGCCATCTGTTCGGATCGCGTTCTTCCGCTTCCAGCAGCTTCTTATTCCAGTAACTCGACTGCGACTCACGCGCCTTTCGCATCACATTATCTATCTCCTTGCGCTTGCTGGAACTCTCGCCGTGTGGTCTGGGCTGCGAGACACTCGTGTCCATTCGTAATCTACTGGAGCTGCTGCCGCTGCCGCTACCGCCTCTTCTTCTGCTCTCATAATCTCGCGACATTATTCCTGGAAAAAGGAAAGGAATATATTATGTCAGATGTGTCATATTTTGCTTTGTGCACGCAAATGAAATAAGCGATTATGATGGGAATGTTGCAGAATCGCACAAAGCAAAACTCACCTTATGACAGAGATATAAAGGAAGACTGATCGTGCGGATCTTCTGCTTGGTAATAGCAGAAGACGCTTGGACAATCCAGACACACCTGTGGAGCCGTGTCAATAATGTTAATCTTCGATAGACAATGCTGCGACCATAAGGATTATACGACGAACGCCGCGAACGCGAAGAGAAGAGAGAATCAGAAGCACTCGTCCTTAGGGGGTCGACTGGCCTAGATGAAAAATTCTATACGTCACAAATCCGGTATAAGCGTCAGCTGGGTAGTCGAGAGACGTTAATAATTAGCTTTCTTTAAAGTGCGCTTTTGCGTTTGTTTTGTTTTCTGTTTGTTTGTTTGCTTTTTTTATTTTTTTTTTGGTTTCTTAGGAGGTACTTTCTTTTCTCACGTGAATCCGATTTGTTTCGCGGCAGTCCCACATGTGCAACGTAATTCGTCTTCGCCGTGAGGCGGACAACACCCGCACGCGATGCCTTACCATATCGGCCACTCACCGCACGTTCCAGAGATTGTGGTACCGCGATCCCATGAGCGTCGCGGACGTTCCGCGCGCGTGAACCAAACCGGCCGGAGTTTTTTTTCCCTCCGGGCGAGGATACGCGAGAGTTTTCCCGTGGGGGAACATCGGCGGGATGTTCAAGCGCGAACCGTGGTCGCGATCTCGCGTGGCGTCGCAGGCGCGTCGGGGATGACGCGCCTGCAATACGCCCGCCGGACGGAGCAGTTAAACGTTCGGCGCTCGGCACTCGCGCGCGCTCGCCGGCCGAATGTAACGCGCCGCGCGCGCCCAATTTAGCATCGACATTCAGCTGATCGATCGATCGATCGGTCCGTGTCACGGCCGCGCCGACGGACGAGTCACTTTTCGCGGCTGGCATCGCCATCGCCACACGGCAACTCGCGACCACTCGCGACGCGACATTCGCGGGCACGGCTTGCGCCCTCGTCTCACGAACCCACGAGAGAACGGGCTTCGAGACACGAGCGTTCTGTCACGTGCCGGTAACGACGCGGTGACGGACGTGCTCAGGCGGACGTTAGCCGGCCAACACCGCGGCGAGCACCTCGACGTGTTCGGCGACGTCAAGTCGATCGTAAACGGCGACGGGATGCCACGAGAGAACCGCTCGAAGAGAGAGAGTCCGTGGAACCGGTATAAGCGCGCGCGTTTGTCCGCCTCCTTCGCTCCTTCATTTCGTAAAAGCGAAGGTCGGCGGCGCCTCCTTTTCGCTCCCATTCTCCCTCTCACTCTCTCTTTCGCGCTCTCTTTCTCACGTCCTCTCGCTCGCTCTCTCTCTCTCTCTCTCGCTCTCTTTCCCTCTCTCTCCACTTGCTGCGTACACACGTCGCGCACCAGCTGCCCCTCGCTCACACTCTCTCCCTTTCTCACTCTCTATCTCTCACTCTCTATCTCTCTCTCTCTCTCTCTCTCTCTATCTCACTCCCTCTAGCATCGACCTCTTACTTAATGCGTCGTCACAGAACTCCGAATTAACGGGAAGCGCCGAGAAATTCCGCTGTGCGGATTCATCGACTTTTCACGCGTACGTCAGCACGAGCATCGCGTCGTTCGTCGCGACTTGCGTGTCCGACGAGATACGCGCGCGGCACCGGCGACCGTTTTCACGTTTCCCGTTCGCGCGCGCGACGGCGTTCGCAGCAGCTCTGAAAATCAATCGGCCATGTAGCCAAGCCTTGAGCGCGACTCGACTCGATCCGGACAATACTCTCGGCGGCGCCCGCGTATATCCAGCGGGACGGACGGACACTCACTTTTCTTAACGCGGCGACCCGAAAACTTGCATTTTCTTGCACGTGTGTCGGCGATTCACTTCCGCGTCACATCGGGTACGTGCCTAAAGAGCCCCGTTACAACAGGCGTTCTCTCCTGACGGCTCGACCGGATGGAAACACGGATGAGCGGCGCTGCTGTTCCCGGTTCGAAGCGCGGATCGTGCGCGTGCGTCGCAGCGCGAGTCTTGAATGATAATAGCATGGCGTTCTAAACGTTTCGAATTCGATTCACGCTTCCGTGAATTTAGGACGAACAGACCACGAAAATGGTGATTGCCATCGGATTCGAGGGTAGCGCGAACAAACTCGGCGTAGGAATCATTCGCGACCAGCAGGTGTTGTCGAATGTGCGACACACGTATGTCACTCCGCCGGGAGAAGGTAACCTCTCATCCACCAGAGTCCGTTGATAGTTTCATATTTTCATAATAGACTTTGTCAACTTTTCAGAAGTTTCAACAACTTCGAGATAAGCGTAGTCGATCTAATAAATTTGGAGATTTATATGTATACTGCTTGTTGTTAGGTTTCTTGCCTCGGGAAACAGCACAGCATCATAGGAAGTATGTGCTGGAGGTATTGCGAAAAGCCTTGGATGATGCAAAGATTACTTTGAAAGATGTGGATGTCATCTGCTATACGAAGGGACCGGGAATGGGAGCACCTCTTACAGTTACAGCTTTGGTGGCTAGAACTGTTGCTCAGTTGTACAATAAACCTATGGTTGCAGTTAATCATTGCATCGGTCATATTGAGATGGGACGTTTGGTCACAGGCAGCGAAAATCCCACTGTTTTGTATGTTTCTGGTGGAAATACTCAAATCATCGCGTATTCTCAACAGAGGTATCATATTTTTGGCGAAACAATTGACATAGCAGTAGGCAATTGCTTGGATAGATTCGCAAGATTGTTGAAGCTTTCAAATGATCCCAGTCCTGGATACAATATAGAACAATTAGCGAAAAAGTAAGTAGATTTTTGTGTTGTATTATTGCTTCATTAGGGACCTTGGAACTTAATTCTCAACTAAAACTGTTTTCTTGTGTGAAGGGGTAAGAAATTAGCACCATTGCCATATGTGGTAAAAGGAATGGACGTATCATTCTCTGGTATTTTGAGTCACATAGAGGATCATCTTTCTGAATGGTTGGACACAAAAGCATTTACTCCCGAAGACTTGTGTTTCTCTCTGCAAGAGACAGTGTTTGCCATGCTCATTGAGATCACAGGTAACTGCAAGCCAACGGTTTTATCTTTTGCATTCTTATTTGCTTATTCTATATAATATTGCAGAACGTGCAATGGCACATGTAAAGTCGAACGAAGTACTGATCGTGGGTGGTGTGGGCTGCAATGAAAGACTGCAGGAAATGATGGGCATCATGTGCAAAGAAAGGGATGCCACTCTTTATGCGACAGACGAGCGCTTCTGTATAGACAATGGTGTAATGATCGCAGTCGCCGGTTTGCTTCAGTACAGATGTCATGGTAGTACACCATGGTGGGAAACCACTTGTGTCCAAAGGTACCGAACGGATGACGTGCATATTACTTGGAGAAAATAAAGATATATATTTTTAAGTAAGTCCTTTGGTGCACCTGTATCCCTATATTTTTTAAGAAGACGTCTTGGACAGTTTTATCGCTATAAAAGGGGTGCTTATATAATTGTAAGAAGTATGTGTGTATATACTTTGTGTATATATGTACCACAAATTATATATTTATAACTTGAATAAAAAAACTATAACTTCTCTTAAAGAAGAAATATTAATTTCTAATTTTAGAGAACAGTATTTCAGTTTTGTACAAGTAGAAAGGTGTAGGGTGGGGTCAAAATAAAAAGCGATTTATTTCAATTCATCTGCGTTTCACAAAAGTTTTCATAGATTCTGGTTTAATTCTAGGCTCCTTTTGCATACCGTCACCCAAGTTGACACGTTACCAATTTCGCGAGCGATTATACAAATGTGCAAAAAATGTAGCAACCATGAAAGATCGATCGTACATTATTCGTGACGACTTCTATGCCGCTCCTAAAAATATCCTCGCGATGCGATCGTACAGGCAATAAACGGCCGTGTTATATCCGGAAACGTGGACCAGCCTACTACAGTAACCTGGTTTCTGCGACGGAGAGTGGATAGATAACCCTGCCGACTCGATAGTAACTTGCATCGATGTTGCAACTGCTCTTGGTTCTGCGTACTTCTGCGTGCTCCACCAGGTGGTTCGATATTGACCCCGTTCGGATACGATATCGATCCGACTATCATCCACACACAGAACGGTTCCTTCGGCGCACATATGATGCTTTATCGATTCGGTCCTTGGCGAGGCGAGGACGAACGCGTTGCCTTCGGCGCAGAGGCCGAACCGCGTGGCTTCGCGTCGGAAACGCGAATTCCGACGATATCGCGCTACGAGGTCGCGCGTGCCGAAAACGGGGTTTAGGTAGGAGAGAAACAGGGATGGAAATGTCGCTCGACCGTCCAACGCTTGGTGCCCTCCGCAAAACGCAACGAATTCTTCACGGAATTGCGATCAACTATGGTACATCATGTTCACGTTACATCGCTAATATAGCTAATATAGTAACAATCTATGCTTAAATGCTTAAACCTTAGCTTTCTTTTTAATTCGATTTTTTCTTCATTTTGATTACAGCCGCCGCGAGATTCATTTGTGCCGGGTTGTAGTGAGAATCGAGTGCGTCTCCTCGGTGTGCAAAAAGTAAGTTGAAGCCAGCGATTTGCATGTACAACGGTAATTCGTTCATCCATAATTCGATACATTAATCTTCTTGCGTTGCAGGCTCCTCTGATTAACATTAAAAATCTCTCTGCTCGCGATGACGTCGCGTGCACGCTGCGCTGATCATTCTTCCTACGTGTCTGCTTTCACGCATCCCCGCTCCGGAAGCTTCGCTTCGTCACTGGAACAGGGTGCAGGGGGATACGCGCGAGGCGCACAGGGTGGCTCGGGATTATCGCCGAGGCAGGCGCACCGCTGGCTCGCGTCCAAGTAGTGCCTCTGTCGGCGCCAACAGCAGTTACAGTGGCAGAGGCTGTACCCATCACCTCTACCCACCACTACCAGGAGCGACGGACGGCAGCCGGTAGTAGTAGTAGTAGTAGTAATACTAGCGGTAGTCAAGCGATTCCGAGTTCCTCGGCCGCGCGACTTTCTCTCCCTCTCTTTCTTTTTTTCCTTCTTCCGTCTTTTAATTAATCGATCGATGATCGGTGCGACCATTCAAGCGATTGACACAATGGTATCACGATGGCAAAGTCGTCAACTTTTTTCCCCCCCTATTCATCCGACGCAAATGTGCCGCGCGGAAGTCTGATTCCCCGGTACGAGGCATCTCCGCGGATCGAGAGAGAGAGAGAGAGAGAGAGAGAAAGAGAGAGAGAGAGAGAGAGAGAGAGAGAGAGAGAGAGAGAGAGAGAGAGAGAGAGAGAGAGAGAGAGAAAAAGAATGTGTCGCGCACCACCCTCGTTCTCTTGGCCGAATGCGCGACTGTGCCACATTTTAAGTAGCGTTTAATCGATAGCCGCGAGCGGGCGTCGATCGCAGCGCCCGGTGTGAAACAAGTGGTGGTAGTGCCAGTGCGGTCGTCGTCGCCGTCGTCGCCGTCGTTGCCGTCGCCGTCGTCGTCGTCGTCGTCATCGTCGTCGTCGTCGTCGTCGTCGTCGTCGTCGTCGCCGTCGCCGTCGCCGTCATCGTCGTCGCCGTCGTCGTCACCACCATCACCGTCATCTTCATCGCTGGTCCACCGTTCATCACCCTCGTCTTCGCGGACGTCCTTCACAGGGCTGCGCGACAAGATGCGGCGATCTAGCGCGGCGCGTCGTCACGCGCCGTTTTCACGGTCGAGGAGCAGTGGCTACGGTGCCTGAAGCTGAAGAGTGAGAGAGGTGAGTCGCGTAGATTCGCGTGTACCACTGCTGGTGCTGTTGCTGCTGTTGCTGCTGCTGGTTGGCTCGCTTCGCGCGCGCCTCTCGTCCGTCTATTTCCGTATAGTAGCTGCCGACGCGCGAGAGGCGCGCACGGCCACCAGTACGCGCGTCGTCGAGAACGCTCTCCCGGATCACACGGCACAGGACCGCAGACGCGAGACCCAGATAGCTCCACGGGGATCGTTCCCGTCCGTTACACGCGCGTACTCTCAGCTGGCCGCCCTTGGCTCTGTCAAGTCGCTCTGAGGACACCCTGGGCGCTCTCGGAGACTCCTGCGTTGCTCTGCTTGTTCGGGTCGGCGGTTTATCGTCCCTCTTTCTCTCCCTTTCTGTTTCTCTGATAACGGGCAGAGAAGTTTGATTAATCGAGGCTTAATCTGTTTGCTCTCATTGAGCGAAGCTTGACAGAAAGAATTTACTTGAGATAACAGTATTCTGCTTTCGGCGGCTCGATAGATCGCGAAGATCGAGAGATTGAGATTAGAATCAGTTCTGTGGAAGGTAGCTCGGACTTTGTTCCGAATAAAAGTTCTGGAAGACGACCTTCCTCTAGTAGCGAATTCATTTCTAAGATCACGGAAATACGTTGTTCCGACGCGTCAGGACTGTTCCTAATCATTGCGATAGCATCCAATTAGACATAGAAGACAAAAGTGAGGAGGAGAGAGATATTGACGAAAGCGTAGCGAGGCTTGAGAGACTCGGGAGGTCGTAGCGTAGGCGGCAGCGAGGCGTGCGCCTCTGTTTCCGGGAGTAAAACAGTTACGGTAGATTCGCCAGAAATCTCTTACATCGTTTAATTATACGGAGGGAAAGTTACGTCACACACAGTCCTCTTGATCGCGCTGTTGCGTTCTCGTAGCATCGAGAATCTCAAGTTTCTCCGGGTCGAAGTGAGCTCCTTCGTGCTACGCAAACGTGCGTTCGCGTAGACCATGTCCTACCTACTGCTGCCTTTTACTACTGTCTGACGACCGCTGGCCGTTGGTCGTTACTACTGCCGCTCGTAAAGCACCCTAATGCCGAGCGGCGTAAACCCATTCGCGACGCTTATTAAGCGAATGACGTATCCCTTTTACCTCTGTTTCTTGAACGTGAACGAGGAGGAGGCTTCGTAGACGAGGGTCTCTTTGTTTCCTCTGTTTAGTTTCTTTCTTTCGCGGCGAGATTTCGCGTTAATGAATCATTCGTCGTGAACCGTGACGCGCCAGCGACGTCGCGTTGACGCGGCGCCAAGAGGCGAAGTTGCAAATGACGTTGTGATGCAATCCGATTGTTGCACGCTGAATCGCCGTCGCGTCGGTTCTGCCGGAGGTCTTTGTGTTCCGGCGAAATTTTAAACTGAGCGCGCGCGGTGATGAGGCAACGCGTTCCCGAGATATTTGCGGAGCGTGTTCCTCGGATGTTCCGAAATGTCGTCGAAGATATTCGCGGATTATGCACTCTCATGCATCGACAAGAGGCTCTCCTCTCTCGGAGCGCTCCGGCGTTTCTCCCCCTCGCCATGAATATTCTCCGGGATATATTTTTGAGACACTCCTCTTCAATATTAGAGAGTTTCGCGAAAACATTCTCTCGAGGGTGGTCCTCCGTTCAGAATATATTATTTGCCGAATATGCTCCGTCGCGCGTTTGCCAGACGAAGCCGGGAGAAACGGACAAATAACGTCGAGAAATAACGCTGAAATCGATAACCGGGGCATTGGCGAATAAAGGCGGCGAAAGCAAGAGAGAGAGGGGGGGGAGAAGGAGAGAAAGAGACAGAGAGAGAGAGAGAGAGAGAGAGAGAGAGAGAGAGAGAGAGAGAGAGAGAGGAGAGGAGAGGTCGGTGGTAGACGTGGATCTTCTGAAATGATGCCACGGATAAATGTCGAGCCGCTCGACCTTTCAGCCGCCGCGAAGAATTCAATCGCGCAATCCGCCGATGTCACAATATGAATTTCATGTGAGAGAGACTCTCGATTGCGTCGAAACGCGTGCGTGTAATCCGCCCAAAGCGTCGCGAATAGCGTATACCAATCGGCCGGCCGTCCCGATCGTACACAGTGCCTCTTATCCCGAATCTCTTCCGTTATGCTAAAGAGGAACCGGGGACTGCTCGTCGCGTCCGGTGCTCTTCGTTCGACCGGGTTAAATATCAGGAAGCAGCGGCGCATTAAAATTCCACAGTCGCGTGCCCGGGCGATCGGGATCAGATATGGTATCGCGAGTTCGCATATAAATCGTGCTCGTTATTACGAATCGACAATGCTCGCCGAAATCGACCGCCGTTGTTCGCGGAGTCGCGAAACGGAGAAACGGGTAGCGCTCGTTTTTTTGACGAACGATCGTATGTATGTGGTCACAAAGGACTCGCTCGATGACAATTTCCCAAGGATCGAATGGCAAAAAAAGGTTGACGCTCCTCTTCCGCTCCGGCCACCGCCACCGCCACCGCGTACGCTGGACCGAAAAGGTCAAAGATCACAGCGGTGAATCTTCGTGCAAATGTTTTCGACGCGCCGATCGATCGACGCCGGATGTTTCGCGGAGCGTACACGCACGGGGAGGCGCGTTTTCCCGGGACGGGAGAGGCTGACTAGAGGTGTAGAAGTGTGCACGTCTCTTCTCCTCTCCTCCAGCACGCAGACCAAGCCACGCTCTCTCCCGACGCGCTGGCTAGCTGGGTCATTGCGGGAGAAAAAGATCGATTCGTCGTTTCGTCGTCGCTCCCTGGCGGGAAACTCGCTCTCTCCCCGGGAAACACCCTCCCTGAGGAATGCCGCCGTGGTCCTCTTAGGCGTCCCTTATACACGCGTGTAGACGTGTCATTCCGCCTCGCGAGCGAAACGACGCGTCCTATCCCGAGCTAGACAGCTCTCAATACGCCAAGTTCTCCCCTTATTGTTACTTGGATATGGCATCACATCGCGATAAGATCAGGATTTATTATTAACCTTCCTATTTCCGCAAGATCTGCCAGGCATCTTCGCGTTGTGAGGACAATTCGTTCGAATCGAGTCTACTCCTGCGTACTTATTCAATTAAACATCGCTCACTTCATTTCACCGCCCACTTCGTCAGCTATTCATAGCTTCTTCGAGCTTTGATTTATCGTTCGAGATGTATACGCTTTTTTTTATACACTTTTGTCATTATCCGTGTAATACTTTGGCTCTCGAAGTCGTTCCTTATCCGCCTCATTCGACGCAATTTGCTCCTCGTTTTATTCGTATCTCTCTCTCTCTCTCTCTCTCTCTCTCTCTCTCTCTCTCTGCTCCTCTCTCTCTCTCTCTCTCTCTCTCTCTCTCTCTCTCGTTGAAATTAGCTGACAACTACGTCATTCTGTGTTATTCTGTTCTGGAAGAGAATTAGAGACGAGGGGTGATCGCCGATCCGCCATTCGGCTCTAATTGATCCCGTGATGTTGATTTGATAGAGTTTATAGGCCGGTTGGATCGCGTCAAGTAACGAGCGCCGTGTGCTAGGAGCGTTACAGATACGACGGGTATAACGCTTTTAATAAAGTTACGAGTTCGCGGGGGCCATGTGGTGAGTTATATCGATTATTTTCTTCGGGAGAGTTATTTGTCCCTGAGGTAACGTGCAGAAACTAGGACTTGTATACGATCCCCGCCCTGTGAATTCTGCCCTTCCTTCGCATTTATTCATCTCGCCTGCCGAGGGAGGTAAATTTTTGCGCGCAGCGTCATTTTTTTTCATTATATATGACTTAAAAGCAAAAGTAGCGTCACATGTCAGCACTTTGCTGTTACCGTGTGTAGGCTTTAATATTTCGTGCTGGAATACCTGCAAGAGTCGTGCAAACGAGATTGTCACGTAAACTCGTTAGGTTCCGTCGTATATTTTATATAATTCACATAATAAGAAAATTTTCACGTCGAGACGCGGGTCAAAGGCGCGCTCGTCTTAACGTCGCTTTAACGAACGCTAATTTTTCGTCTCACGAGCGGAGAATGAGAGAATATTGCGCAAAAACAAATCGGAAGAGAAACTCGTAGTAAAATGTCAAACACTCCGGAGAGAGAAAGAGCGAGAGAGAGCGAGAGAGAGAGAGAGAGAGAGAGAGAGAGAGAGAGATGCATATGCCTGCTGGAAACATTGTTTTGGGGTTAAATGCCACAGTAGCATTACAAGAATGTCGGGTTTGAAAAAGTTAAGATTCCTGTGTTATAAGGGGAGTATGCACGCGACATTCCGGACATGAAATGCTCGATAACAGATTACTCGCGGCATTGTGGCGCTGAAATCTTAAATCGAGCGAGTATTTATACATCGGCCATGCTGAAGGTGCGGGAAGTTCGCCGTTATCGTAGGACGAGATGATCGATACGTTCGTAAGAGCGTTTCTTTCCCATCTTCGGACGACGCGACGATGCATTCTTCAGAGAGAAGAAAAGAACGTAACGTGCATACACGTGATGAATCGCGAAATAACTCCACGGAGGATGCGAAGTTCCAAAGTTTCAAACGCATAAACCGAGAGGAGCTGGGGGGAGGGAGGGGGAGGGCCCGTTATTTATCGAAGCGCGACGAGGTAGCCGCGGTGCGACTTCCAACAATCGCAATATCATCGGAGCGACCCTCTCTCATAGAGCCGGGCTATCTGTTTAGTGCTAAATTTACCGGCACTCGAGCGTAATTAGACGAGCGGCTCTATTTTCGGCCCCCGTGACCTTTGTCGGATTCGGGATTCTCGTAACGCGTGACCCGCCGTGCACACACGCGCGTTTCCCCGGGGGTTAAACGGGATTACGGCCGAGCGAGCATTACGGGGCTGCGTGTAAGACGGCCAATGAATGAAGAAGACAGCGTGGAAAGTTGAGCCGATCAATATGCAAAATATACGCAAGATCTCGTCCGGATCGCCTGCGCGCTCTCAAGCTACAGAGCTAAGCGGCTCATTAACGTTGGAAAGCAGCGTTACGAACCCTTGCTAATTCATTGATTATCTGTCATGCAATTTCCGCTGATTATTTGTCATGTAATTTCCGCTGAGAAACGTTCACAACAGCTGACTGAACCGTGACTGGCGATGGTGACCGGTCGGTCATCGGTCACTTGGCGAATTTTTAGGTCATGTCTACAATAGATGATTTAAGTTTTAAAAAACTGACCAATTGTAGTCGAATATTCTTCTTAACATTGTCTGCGATTGATCAATTTCTTAAGACTTAAGGCTTAAAGTACCAATTTAAGTTGTAATTTCTAGCCTTAAGTGAATTGGGCCCAATTCCCAACATGTTAAGTAAGCACTTTAAACCTAAAGCATTAAGAAACTGACCAATCACAATCAAAGTTAAGGAGAATATTCGACTATAATTGGTCAAGTTCTTAAAGCTTAAATCATCTGTTGTAGACTAAGCCTTAGAGGAACCTAAATCATCTTCGGACTATTTCTCGCGACGGGGTCGTTTCTGTGCCATGAACGTTCACGCAGGTCGAGAAGGTATCGAAGGTAACGAAGGTCGAAAGGTTCCCTCCTGTGTCAATCGCCTCGGTGATTTTATCGCGACCTGTCGCCTACGTTCGCCTAGGCTCAGACTTGCTATCTGCGCCTATTTCTTTGGCTTAATCTCGTCTGAGTTTTGTTGGAGTTTCAAGCAGTGCAATAGTCACATGTCACGCACGCCTCTCGCGGTCGCGGCATTAATCTAACTTTGCCAGTCCTAATCACCTCTTTGTGCGTCTTCGTCGTCTCCCGGTGACACATTTCTGGGATGTTCGTCCACGTTCCTGCCAGTTTTCATCACGAATTAACCGTTGACCGTTAATCGCTTCTTACCTGCGTGCCGCTATTTGGTGAGCGGTAAAAATAGCCGCGACATGCCGCAGTCGATCGCTAATCGACCGTATTTTTAAGCGAATCGCCGTTATTTTCGCGCGTCTTTTTCAAGCTGAACGTAACGATATTACGGTTCGGTTATTAATAAACCGTGCGTCTCCCGAGAAACACTGTTTATCTCGGAGGATCTTCCAATTGTTTACGCAGCGTCTCTTTAATGAGAATTTCTCACGACGAGAAAGCAAGACGACGCAATAACGGAAGCTGTTCTGAGAGGAGCACGCAATTCTCGAATACGTCAAGTGGCGAATCAATCGTACAACGACTTGCATATTTTTATTACAATTGTAACGAACTATATAACAATGAACGTATATATCGCTTGTGCCATTCGAACGTTACTAACGACGCGGTAGAAAAGAGGGAGTCTCAAAGATTCGACGCGCGAAAGTTCCGCTAAGAAATCGTTGTTGCTGAAAAGCGACTCGTCGCTCTTTCTCTTCGCCACCCGACGAAACAACAGGTCCGATAATTCGGTCCGACGTACATGTGTTTCTTGACCTAGAGGAGGCTCGCGTTTCGCGAGGAGGTTCGCGTGAACCATCGCCGGGATAATTACATTCTACTAATTCATTGTAGCGTGATCGTTATCCACTTACGATATCGCGCTTACGGCGAAGGCGAATAGCTCCGTCGGTTAATTGATCGCCGCGCACGCCGGTCGAAATGTCTATGTTTAGGCGATATAATTATCGCGCGGCGAGCGACAGTTAATGTCAGAGTTTTCCATTTCGCGTTCTTACGAGATGAACGCGCCGGCGAGGGTAATTGCGACGGTGGACTTGATATTATCGTCACAACCGTTTCTATTCTCGGCGTCACCGTTCATCGGACACCACACCGCGCTCCAGCGCGATTGAATAAAAAATGACTTCTCTGCTGCCACAAGTTATATTGGAAAATCGTGTCGGAAGCTGCGCGTGGCCTTCCGGGTGAAAGAGAGACGCGTGAAAAATGTAACATTCGGACATTATATCCGCGTCGCGGCGCATTTATATCGCAATGTCTAGCTGATAAGGATAATTTCAGTTATCGAGCGATTATCGCGCCCGAAACTGCGCCGGGGTAGGTTCTTCTTCACCCGAGAAGCTCTAGCCCCGAATATTATTAAGTACGTAGATAAATCGATCGCATCACGTACGTCCGATGTGTCTTTCAGATTACGATGCGACGGAGTTGGTCGACCGAGTCGACAGAGGGGTGCGGACGGATTTACGGATGAAGCTGAAGAAGAATACCGTGGACGAGGAGGAGGAGGACGACGACGAAGAAGAAGAAGAAGAAGAAGAAGAAGAAGAAGAAGAAGAAGAAGAAGAAGAGGAGGAGGAGGAAGAAGAAGAAGAAAAAGAAGAAGAAGAAGAAGACGACGAAGAAGAAGAGAAAGTAGAAGAAGAGGAGAAGGGCGAGCAGGAGAAGGAGAGAAAAACGAGAAAAAGGACAAACACGAACAAGACGTCGCGTGTCAGACATCGGACGGGCGAGCGATCGCCGTCGAGGAACATCGACTCGCGATCGCGCTATTCGCCGACGACTTGAAGCCGCCGTGACTCGGCGCGTCCGATGCTGAACGAGAGACGGCTCGAAGACAACACACTGGCGGACGGGGAACGTAATGGTAGCGCCGTGGTTGCTGGCCCGGCGCTCTCATTGTCGTCGCCGTCGTGCACGGTGCCCTACATCGGCACTGACCAGGGCTACGTGTTCGAGGGTGGCGGCACGACGACGTTGCAGCAGCTCGGTGCAGTCGGTGCTTCCGCGACCGGCTGCACCGGTGGCGGAGGAGGTCTCGGGTTCGGTGCGTCGACGGGTAGTTCGGGGGGTGGGTTGAGCGGAGGGATGGGACTCGGAGGAGTCGGTACCGGAGGAGCCGCGGGGATTGCGGGTATGGGCGGAGGTGGAGGAGGAGTGGGAGGGGGTGGAAGTGGTACAGGAGGAGGAGGAAGCGCGAACAAGGAGGTCCGTTACGCTCCGTTCTCGTCGTCTGTAGGACCGGTCGGTACCGTGGCGCCGGTAAACCTGCCGTCTCTACCGCCGCCGCCGCCGCCGCCGCCGCCACCGCCGCCGCCGCCCCTGCCGCTGCAGATGCAGCAGCAGCGTGCCTTCTCGAGGTCGATGACGTCCCTACCGCCTGAGCCGTTCATGATCATGCGGTCGAAGGCGCTGAACCGGCGCGTCTCGATCAACGTCGGCGGCGTGAAGCACGAGGTGCTCTGGCGCACCCTCGAACGTCTGCCGCACACTCGTCTAGGTCGGCTGCGGGACTGCAACACCCACGAGGCGATCACCGAACTCTGCGACGACTACTCTCTGATCGACAACGAATACTTCTTCGACCGTCACCCCAAGTCCTTCAGCTCGATCCTCAACTTCTATCGTACGGGCAAGCTCCATCTAGTGGACGAGATGTGCGTGCTGGCGTTCAGCGACGATCTCGAGTATTGGGGTGTCGACGAGCTCTATCTCGAGAGCTGTTGTCAGCACAAGTACCACCAGCGCAAGGAGCACGTGCACGAGGAGATGCGCAAGGAGGCAGAGTCGCTACGGCAACGCGAGGAGGAGGAGTTCGGCGAGGGACAATGCGCCCAGTATCAAAAATGGCTCTGGGATCTCCTGGAGAAACCCACCACGTCTATCGGTGCAAGGGTAAGTCCTGCTGTGCCGATCAAAAGGGACCGACTCGAGCGGGAATGGGACACGATCTGTGTCCGCACACGCACACACACACACACGCGCACACACACACACACACACACACACACACACACATACACACACACACAGAGAGAGAAACCGCGGAACGTCGCGAAACGTCGCGCATCGTCGCCTACGCACGCGCATATATACTATGTGCTCCCGAAAATACAGGAAGCGGTAGTGGGGTTAGTCAGAGGGGGTAGTGATGGTAGTGGCGGCGGTGGTAGTGGTGGTGGTGGTGTGTGTGTCTCGTATTTTATCTCTATTCCAATTTTCTGCTGTCTTCAACGTATGCTTTGCTGAATATATTCAACGCGATATTACCTCCCTCGAGCCATAGTTTCCAACATAAATTCTAGCTTAATGCAAATTTAAAGAAGTGATTTCATTTGAGATTCAATTAGGAGGAGGCGGTACTTCAGCTTGAGCCTCACCAATTCGTTCGCCGGGGACGATCGGATTCGCCAAGAGATCCACTACCGATTCCTACGCGTCGCGGGACACCCGGTAGAATCGCGATTTGTTATCGGGAAACGACTGTTGAACTCGAGCCAAGAATTTGAGCTGTCGCAACAAGGACGCGTCACGCGGCACTCGACATTGATCGGATTAACTTATTAGAGACCACCGTCTAAATATTTATAAGAGAAAAACACAAACGCGCGCGATGATTGTTGAGAATGCCGGCCGGCGTAGCGAAGTCGCGGTCTCTCTCGGCCGACGATTATTTAGACGGTGATCTTTAATAGGGTCACCGCTTTCGAGATGGACGTGCTCGTGTTTTCGTGCTGTTTTCTGGCTCATTCTCGTGGCTGTCGTTTATATCTACGCGCAGAGATATATAGAGAGAGCGAGAGAGAGAGCGAGAGAGAGAGAGAGAGAGAGAGAGAGAGAGAGAGAGAGAGAGAGAGAGAGAGAGAAAGAGAAAGAGAAAGAGAGAGAGAGAGAGAGCGAAGCATTGGGAAGTTACCAAGATGAACCTACACATGTTTCTCGATGTTTGTACAATGCGACGTAGTCTCTTCGTTGTTATTCGTAGTCCGAGTTGCACCGACGGTCCCGATTGACTTTTTCCCGACAATTAGCCGAATAGCCAACGACTGCGCTTCTGTATCGCTCACTGATGCGTATCGCATAATGAAGTTGCGGCCAATTAAAATTGGCGGAATTGCATCAGCGTTAGCGCTTTGCGCCATCGTGACTGCTCGACGATATCGTCGAGCAAGCGGAAGCATCGATATCTTCATTGGTGTATCATTGTGTGACGTGCCAATTCCGGGAGTCCTTTAGCTTCGAAAATAAAATCGCGAGCTTCAATCGCGACGTCGGTGCGACTGGCTGATCGTTAAGCTTCGCTTTCAAGCTCTTCAACAGGATGGTCTCCTCTCCTCCTGCCTGGCGCGATTGGACGATTCGCGACGTTTCCACCCTCATACACCGTGAAGCTTTCCTTATACGTCCGTCTCTACGCAGAGAAGCTTGTGTCGATGATCTCTGTCTCGTAGTCTCTCTGGCCAATTCAACTCCCACGCTATTTATCGCGCTTTTTCGTTCTTCGCGTTGGCCTTTCGCACGCGCGCGCGTGTCGATGTTGGCAGGAAGCGATCGAGCCGAAATGTCGAGCAACACACGAGTGATATATACTGATCTCGTCGCGAATTCGGGATCGTAAAACTTCGCCAGGATCGCGCAGCGTGATACGAATTCTTTGGCGCGGTCGTGTCTGAAATTGCAGAGAGAGAAAGAGATCTCGCTTAAATCGCGAACACTTTTCCAACTTGTCTGCTTGCCACTAACCCACTTAACGATGTGTCCACGCTTACAGTTTGTGCCGGAGCCTTAATTCGAGCAAAGGTATTATTAAATCGATATTACAGCATCGATTCGACGTAGCTCGCATATAGGCGAACAGAGTAGAGAGAACGTTTTGCGACCGTATGACTTTCAAATTCACTTTCGTCTTAGATAATCCCGCGAGCCGCTCGATCGGCAGCTCGCAGTCGATTTCGCCGGTATCTCAGAATTATTCATATTATTTTTATCCTTTTCCGTTTCTCACGTTATAGTGAGGGCGACGCGACGGTGCGATATAAATCCCACTTGGCGATGTGCGATTCCATTGCGATTTCTACGACGTGATTCGTACTTTTTATATCTGTTTTTTTCCCCCCCGTGAATACCATTATATGAAATTACCAATACGTTGACGTAAGTTTATGAAGTAAAGTGTCGGGTCCCGGAATTTCAGCAGTATTGACAACCGTGTCTGTGATCTCGAAGCGGCAGATTATCGATATAGTCTCACCGCTTGGGATTCCGCTTGGACCGCTGACACCGCTTGGAAGAGAAGAAGCCTCGGTCCGTTTGTAGTTGAAAATTTCCTCCCAACCGCGCAGAGAGCACACTGACATTCGACGAGCGAGATAACTCTCCGAAATTCGTCGTGTCCGTTGAGAGAAATCGAGCAGAAGTCGCCTCCCATCGATGGGAATCTCGGCGGAGGGTTAACGAAGTAATTTCGGCGGATGATCCGACGCGGAAGATGATCTCCACGCGATATCCTCGAACACGCCAAATCGAGTCCGCGCAGCGAGTCGATCGAGCGCGCGGCTGCCGATATATACGTAACTCATCAAATCGACTCATAATCTAGATCAGTTCTGTCACCCCGGCATCTAGTTGTCGACGTACTGATTAACGAGTCATATAGGTAGAGTTTTCACTTAGGCGCATTCTCATGTACCCTGAACGAGATCTAACAATCTGTCAGATGTAACACATGTCTGCTGCCATTTCTTTTAGTGTACGAGTAAGTATGTGCATTACGTACGTTTCGTAGACTGGCGAATGATTACACCGACGTTGACGTCGACCTCTGTAATGTGTCTTTTATTTCTAGGTGCTGTTGCCCGACAGTTGCCACACACTAATCTGTCTCTCTCTCTCTCTCTTTCTCTCTCTCTCTTTTTTTCTCTCTCTTCATATTATAATCTCTCTCCAGCCTTTTCTAGCCCGTTTTGAGTTGTTTGTCACACACTGTCCCTGAATACGTATACGAGTATCGCGCCGCTCAACAAGCGGCCACCGATGATAATGGGAGTGTTTTATACGCGATTACCAGGTATCACGTTGATTCTTTCTCGACACCGCTCCCTAATAACGTCATAGTAGTCATTTCGCTACCGGCGAATTCAATTCGACACACGTCATATGTATATAAGCACGCGTGCCTCATGTGCACCTGTATCGAGATACGTATATATGTACGATTACGTAAATCTTTATTTATAATTTACTTATGTATTATGTGTGTGGTACATACAACTTTTTATATTTTTTATAACAGACAGATTCATATACCGAAGTATACCGAGGTTCACAGGGAAGGGGGAGGGGGATGCGGGGTGTGCCGGCTTCGCAACTTCTCCCTTTTCATTAACGATACCGACACAAGATGACTAACGATTTTTTCAAACCAATTGCAATGTCTTGTGACACTTTGTGGTAACTGTAACTGTAATGGATCGATCCATTCTTGTCTGAATGAAATTCAAGAATAATTCAAGAAGCGAGTCAAGAGTTGCGAGAGCAACGAAATCGAATCTTTCAATTTAAAGCGGATTTAAAGCGGGTTTTTGCTCAACGGAAAGTTCTCGTTTAAATTCCTGCTGCTTTTGCAGAACGAGATACTTAATGTCGCAAAACTGTCGAGATACGATGAATCGTGTATTTCTCCGTCTTTTCCGCACGACACGATGATCGATTTCGGTTTCTTTGAAGAACAGGTGGAATGAAAATGAATCTGGGACACCTTGCATCATTGATTAACCGTATAAAGAGTAACCGTATATGATGAGTGATATAAAACCGAGGAGATCATACAACGAAATACGTATTAATTTACTCCTACGTCGAGTCCGATGTAGACACACGCGGATGTTCGATATATGTACTTCGTAGCAACATTGTCGTCGCAAAATAAAGAGCATACATTAGAATCACGCATTTTCGTGCGCTGAATGTGAGACACCAAGAGGGAAGAAGAAAATGAGAAAAATCATCACTTTGCCTGAATGTCGAGACGTCGATAATGAACGGACGATCGTGACTAGCAAGATTTCGCACGGGTTAAGGTCTTTGCAATATAAATAACAAATAACACGACGAAATAACTTTTATTTGCAATTCCATCGGTAAGGTACGCTTGAGAATTAAAGCGAGAAGTTCGCAAGTGCAACTCGATCTTCCCTGTGGAGACAGATGAACTTGAAATATTCGTCGAATCGTTTAGACGGAGCGCGCGCGATGGCCGCGCGGCGAGAGAGCTCGCATTAGCTTGAAATAACATTCTAACGCGTTCGTCGAGTTCGCGCGCGTACTCGAAGAAACGAACTCGAGGACATGCGCTCGGCGCTCGGCGCATCTGCCCGAGAATGAAATCAATGAATCGGACTCGACGATGGATCTTGCCGATTCGTTCCAAGGAGGAGGATCTTCACCCAGTGACCAAGCGACGATACACCTTGCCTCACGAACGTTGTCGTTGTCGTTTGAATCCTCGATGTATACTTGACACACCACAAACAATACACATTGCACACACTGTTGCTCTGATGATGATGATGAAGTGATATGTGCGGGGTTATCACGTGGCACTCACCCCCGATTCCTCCAAAAACCGAGAAAACCGAGAATGAACTGCCAAATCCTCTGTCGATGTGTACACCCTCTCTCAGCTCATCGCACTGTCCCGAAGTCATCCACCTTCACCTCCTCCTCCTCCTCCTCCTCCTCCTCCTCCTCCTTCTCCTCCTCCTCCTCCTCCTCCTCCTCCTCCTCCTCCTCCTCCTCTTCCTCTTCTCCAAGTCGCCCGAACCGAACGATGTCGGCGTCCGACACTTACGTGTGTCATACTCACGTTTCTTTCATGAAGAGAGTGGCTTTCTGAATCGGATTTCTCTCGCCCTTGTCTCGCTGCACGTCCGTGTGACAACGGCTGCGGCACGGCGCATTATTAACGCTTCCGAATGCTGAACCAAAACACACCAGCAGCAGCGGCGGTTGCACCGAGAGAGATCCACCATTGCGCCGAGACACACCACCCCGTGTTCGTTCTTTCCTCACGTGAACCGTTTCTCGTCGTTCGTCTAAACGCGCTCCCTTTTAACGGGCCTATCAATATTACAACACAGAAAGTATCGATCTGCTGAGTGTATTTAAAGCACGTGAGGGGCCATAACTACGGTCGACATCGGCGGATATACCTTCAGCCATAATGTAAGTTCCCGCGAGAATATTGTCGAATGTCGCTGAAATGTGCCGTCGCGAGTACCGAGTCGATTCAGGATCGGGTGGATCGCTCGGCCGAATGTGAGGGTGAACGCAAACGAGAATCATGATGGAATGGCCTATTCGCGAACAGCTAGCGAGCCAGCTATACCGATCCGCGTAAATGGCACGGACAATTTCACGCGGCACGAAGACGGTAATGCGTCCGATCAATTTATGCGTTCGCTCAAACGCTTGTATTACTTCGTCAGATCGCGGAGGGATGAAAAAAAGTCGCTTAGCGATGAGGTCTCCGACAAAGTCATAATTTTGTGAGCGAAACTCGATCCTCATATTTATTAGAGATGTGCGAACTATTCCAATTCGAATCGAATCGAAAATCCGAATCCGAATAATTCGAATAGGAATCAAATGCATTATCGTTTGCGCGCATCAGCTATGAAACGGGCCATCTGTATGTTTGAACCCTTAACTTGTAATTGATTTAACTGATAATTAATAACTTAATTATAAATTACTTTAAATATTTAAATATATATTTTATTTTAAGATGATATCATCAATATTCCCTTTCATATTGAAATCTTCCATCATTATTTACATGTTTAATAGTCATGTTAAATTTTTTAATGATTCGATTCGATTCGACATAAAAATTCTTGATTCGCACATCTCTAATGTTTATTAATTAGTTCATTGTTATGAACCTGAAAGAGATTCTCGTCATTATTTTCGTCAGATAATGCCGTTATTTTTGCAAAAGATCAAATCTCGCATACGCAGTCGAACTTAACAGGCGCGAAACGATGTAAATAAAACGGTAACGCAGCCCCTGTCGCCGACGAAGACCTAGCAGAATTCGGTTGTCGAACACGGCTGAACGGTATATCCGTCCGACCAGCGACTGTAGTCATCTACTTGAACGTCCGCAGGCTTTCTTTCACTCGCTGGCCACTGCACACTTTACGCGCACCAGCTCAAACGATATATGTACGAACTTACGGTTTTGTCCGCCGTCGGCTTCCTTTGTTCAGTCTCTCGGCTTCTTCTTTTATATACGCAGCTATATAATACGCGATATACCAGCGCATATATACTCTATTTATATATTTACATATATGAACCCCACGAGAGAGAGAGAGAGAGAGAGAGAGAGAGAGAGAGAGAGAGAAAGAGAACGCACGAATCAAGTAACTGGCTTGACCACACCATACCACACCACATCGAACCTCCGTCCCGCATTTCGAAAGAAAGAAAGAAAGTTCTGCACGGGCTTGCTTGATAACAACACGTCATCATACAACACACATACACATGTACACGCACTTTGTTGTTGAACACAATAGCCTTTCGGGGGCCGCACTGATGTCCGATACGACCGACACGGTGACATCCTACGAGGATGAGCGCACCGTATCTGTCTGCATGTTGAAACGCGCGACAAACGCGATTATTCCCCTCGCTGTGTGTATCCCTGAATTTTTTGCTTGCGAGATTACTTTGTACACGAAAAAGATACGTTCGGGGGCGATCCGCGGTTGACCGATAAACGAGCGTAACGAGCGGTAAGAATAATAGAGCGATGCGGAGAACAATCGTTAATGCATACGAAATACGATTCCTTTTCGTGAAACTAGGCCTGACGTCGAAAAGCTTTCTTTCGTTGAATCTTTGACATGACAATGACGTGTGTGATAAAGTAACGACTGGACACGTGCGCGTACTTTCGCTCGATTTTTTATTCACCCCTCGCGTCACGCTACGTAATTTTTTTTTCAAGAGGAAAGTACGCGATATATATAGATATAGAATCACGTGTTCGCTTGCCGAACGAAGAAGCCAACGTGTTCCCTAGCTCGCCTCCGAATGTACTTCGCGCTTCTCTCATGTACTTACTGTACTGTGTGTATAAATTTGCGAAGCAAGCTCCCTTGTTTGTTTTTTACGTTTGAGTAACCTCATGATTTCGCTGAGTCCTCGAAGCGACGAATTGATTTCGCATTGTAGCGATTGCACTGGCGTGAGAATAGAAGTAGCAAGGAGGGCGGGAGGGGGCGAAGGGTTTTCACAACAGGGGCAACTGGTGACTTCTCTCGGGGTGCAAGAAAGAGGGGAGGGTGGGGGGCACAAGGGGTTCGGGCAAGGGAGCGGGGTTTTGAAGGGACATACAGATATGTTTGATACGCTGGCCGAACAATGTAATGAAACTTGTGTGAGTCGAGCGACGTCGGGCAGACTGCGTTTGAACGACGAGACAGTTCCTCGGTGTGAAGCGAAGCTGCTGAGTCATTTGGCGTCTCTGCGTGGAGAACACGATCGTTCCGCTCTCCGTCGATTCGGCTCGCCGAGATCGACGTCTCCTCTCGGTTTCGCCAATGGTGTTTGATTGTTCCTTCGTTCCTTCGTTTGTTCGTTCGTTCGTTCGTTCGTTCGTTCGTTCGTCCGTTCGTCGTCAACGTCGTGATCGGAAGGCTGTTACTCTTTCTCTCGACGCTTTCACTCCATGAATCCTGATCTCCCGATTTCTCCCGGTTTCGCGAGGAAGGATCCTCCAGACATCCTCGATCAGATGGACCCGATCGTCAGTTGTCCTCCGCTTCATCCAAAATGCGCGTAGAAGAAGTATGTAGTTTCGTATGTACTTGGTACTTACACTTTCTTCAACAGTGTGCTGACAGTTGATCCTGATGAGTAAATTGCTGTCTTTCTTTAAGCTCGCTAATCTTGGGAAGTGTCCTCGACGGTTTCGAGAGATCGTCCATATTTTACGATTCGTGTAAGCCGCGAACGGGATATGTCCAATAATTGGTCGTGTAAAACGAAATTTGCACGTACACGAGTCGTCGTCGTCGTCGTCGTCGTCGTCGTCGTCGTCGTCGTACGTATTAACACAAGTGTTAACACAAGAGAATACGATCGGAGAGGGTTGCTTTTCGCGTGTCGCCAGTTATCGCTTGCTTCACTGTAAATATCGCAATATATATGCCACGAAGTTTATATTATCAAGTATATATTTATATATATATATATATATATCCTATCTGTATATACATATATATTCGCTTTCGTTTTTTATCGTTATACAAAGCGTTGTAATCGTCTGCAGTACCTCTATTGGCTTTTCGTATATTTTATTATAACGCTTTCCCACAGCGGGAGCTTCCGTCTTTTTACCGCTACGATAACTGTATATCGCTTGCCAAGTATTCCGACCGGCGACTGTTGTTTTAATCATGTTTACATTCGATTGTTGTACATGTCGCCTTGTGTGAGAATCTAATGTTTTCTCGTTTTCTTGCGCTGGCAACGCTTTCCTCAACTGAACTTGGCACGCCGCCGTAATCCCTGCGAAGGAGCGCTCGGCCG